CGCCTGATTTGTATTCTTTCAGGTCTGCACCCATAACACTCTCAAAAGAGCTCCAGCACTAAGGCTGTGTCAGGGACTGCGCCTGATTTGTGTTCTTTCAGGTCAGCACCCATAACACTCTCAAAAGAGCTCCAGCACTAAGGCTGTGTCAGGGACTGCGCCTGATTTGTGTTCTTTCAGGTCTGCACCCATAACACTCTCAAAAGAGCTCCAGCACTAAGGCTGTGTCAGGGACTGCGCCTGATTTGTGTTCTTTCAGGTCAGCACCCGTAACACTCTCAAAAGAGCTCCAGCACTAAGGCTGTGTCAGGGACTGCGCCTGATTTGTATTCTTTCAGGTCTGCACCCATAACACTCTCAAAAGAGCTCCAGCACTAAGGCTGTGTCAGGGACTGCGCCTGATTTGTGTTCTTTCAGGTCTGCACCCATAACACTCTCAAAAGAGCTCCAGCACTAAGGCTGTGTCAGGGACTGCGCCTGATTTGTATTCTTTCAGGTCAGCACCCATAACACTCTCAAAAGAGCTCCAGCACTAAGGCTGTGTCAGGGACTGCGCCTGATTTGTGTTCTTTCAGGTCTGCACCCATAACACTCTCAAAAGAGCTCCAGCACTAAGGCTGTGTCAGGGACTGCGCCTGATTTGTGTTCTTTCAGGTCTGCACCCATAACACTCTCAAAAGAGCTCCAGCACTAAGGCTGTGTCAGGGACTGCGCCTAATTTGTGTTCTTTCAACACATCTTTCAGGTCAGCACCCGTAACACTCTCAAAAGAGCTCCAACACTAAGGCTGTGTCAGGGACTGCGCCTGATTTGTGTTCTTTCAGGTCAGCACCCATAACACTCTCAAAAGAGCTCCAGCACTAAGGCTGTGTCAGGGACTGCGCCTGATTTGTGTTCTTTCAGGTCAGCACCCATAACACTCTGAAAAGAGCTCCAGCACTAAGGCTGTGTCAGGGACTGCGCCTGATTTGTGTTCTTTCAGGTCTGCACCCATAACACTCTCAAAAGAGCTCCAGCACTAAGGCTGTGTCAGGGACTGCGCCTGATTTGTGTTCTTTCAGGTCTGCACCCATAACACTCTCAAAAGAGCTCCAGCACTAAGGCTGTGTCAGGGACTGCGCCTGATTTGTGTTCTTTCAGGTCAGCACCCATAACACTCTCAAAAGAGCTCCAGCACTAAGGCTGTGTCAGGGACTGCGCCTAATTTGTGTTCTTTCAGGTCTGCACCCATAACACTCTGAAAAGAGCTCCAGCACTAAGGCTGTGTCAGGGACTGCGCCTGATTTGTGTTCTTTCAGGTCTGCACCCATAACACTCTCAAAAGAGCTCCAGCACTAAGGCTGTGTCAGGGACTGCGCCTGATTTGTATTCTTTCAGGTCTGCACCCATAACACTCTCAAAAGAGCTCCAGCACTAAGGCTGTGTCAGGGACTGCGCCTGATTTGTATTCTTTCAGGTCAGCACCCATAACACTCTCAAAAGAGCTCCAGCACTAAGGCTGTGTCAGGGACTGCGCCTGATTTGTGTTCTTTCTCAGGTCTGCACCCATAACACTCTCAAAAGAGCTCCAGCACTAAGGCTGTGTCAGGGACTGCGCCTGATTTGTGTTCTTTCAGGTCAGCACCCATAACACTCTCAAAAGAGCTCCAGCACTAAGGCTGTGTCAGGGACTGCGCCTGATTTGTGTTCTTTCAGGTCAGCACCCATAACACTCTCAAAAGAGCTCCAGCACTAAGGCTGTGTCAGGGACTGCGCCTGATTTGTGTTCTTTCAGGTCTGCACCCATAACACTCTCAAAAGAGCTCCAGCACTAAGGCTGTGTCAGGGACTGCGCCTGATTTGTGTTCTTTCAGGTCTGCACCCATAACACTCTCAAAAGAGCTCCAGCACTAAGGCTGTGTCAGGGACTGCGCCTGATTTGTGTTCTTTCAGGTCTGCACCCATAACACTCTCAAAAGAGCTCCAGCACTAAGGCTGTGTCAGGGACTGCGCCTGATTTGTGTTCTTTCAGGTCTGCACCCATAACACTCTCAAAAGAGCTCCAGCACTAAGGCTGTGTCAGGGACTGCGCCTAATTTGTGATCTTTCAGGTCAGCACCCGTAACACTCTCAAAAGAGCTCCAGCACTAAGGCTGTGTCAGGGACTGCGCCTGATTTGTGTTCTTTCAGGTCAGCACCCATAACACTCTCAAAAGAGCTCCAGCACTAAGGCTGTGTCAGGGACTGCGCCTGATTTGTGTTCTTTCAGGTCTGCACACATAACACTCTCAAAAGAGCTCCAGCACTAAGGCTGTGTCAGGGACTGCGCCTGATTTGTGATCTTTCAGGTCTGCACCTAACACTTCGGACTGCGCCTGATGTGTTCTTTCAGGTCTGCACCCATAACACTCTGAAAAGAGCTCCAGCACTAAGGCTGTGTCAGGGACTGCGCGCGATTTGTGTTCTTTCAGGTCTGCACCCATAACACTCTCAAAAGAGCTCCAGCACTAAGGCTGTGTCAGGGACTGCGCCTGATTTGTAATCTTTCAGGTCAGCACCCATAACACTCTCAAAAGAGCTCCAGCACTAAGGCTGTGTCAGGGACTGCGCCTGATTTGTAATCTTTCAGGTCTGCACCCATAACACTCTCAAAAGAGCTCCAGCACTAAGGCTGTGTCAGGGACTGCGCCTAATTTGTGTTCTTTCAACACATCTTTCAGGTCAGCACCCGAAACACTCTCAAAAGAGCTCCAACACTAAGGTTGTGTCAGGGACTGCGCCTGATTTGTAATCTTTCAGGTCAGCACCCATAACACTCTCAAAAGAGCTCTAGCACTAAGGCTGTGTCAGGGACTGCGCCTGATTTGTGTTCTTTCAGGTCTGCAAACATAACACTCTCAAAAGAGCTCCAGCACTAAGGCTAGGTCAGGGACTGCGCCTGATTTGTAATCTTTCAGGTCAGCACCCATAACACTCTCAAAAGAGCTCCAGCACTAAGGCTGTGTCAGGGATTGCGCCTGATTTGTGTTCTTTCAGGTCAGCACCCATAACACTCTGAAAAGAGCTCCAGCACTAAGGCTGTGTCAGGGACTGCGCCTGATTTGTGTTCTTTCAGGTCTGCACCCATAACACTCTGAAAAGAGCTCCAGCACTAAGGCTGTGTCAGGGACTGCGCCTGATTTGTGTTCTTTCAGGTCAGCACCCATAACACTCTGAAAAGAGCTCCAGCACTAAGGCTGTGTCAGGGACTGCGCCTGATTTGTGTTCTTTCAGGTCTGCACCCATAACACTCTCAAAAGAGCTCCAGCACTAAGGCTGTGTCAGGGACTGCGCCTAATTTGTGTTCTTTCAGGTCTGCACCCATAACACTCTGAAAAGAGCTCCAGCACTAAGGCTGTGTCAGGGACTGCGCCTGATTTGTGTTCTTTCAGGTCAGCACCCATAACACTCTCAAAAGAGCTCCAGCACTAAGGCTGTGTCAGGGACTGCGCCTGATTTGTAATCTTTCAGGTCAGCACCCATAACACTCTCAAAAGAGCTCCAGCACTAAGGCTGTGTCAGGGACTGCGCCTGATTTGTGTTCTTTCAGGTCTGCACCCATAACACTCTCAAAAGAGCTCCAGCACTAAGGCTAGGTCAGGGACTGCGCCTGATTTGTAATCTTTCAGGTCAGCACCCATAACACTCTCAAAAGAGCTCCAGCACTAAGGCTGTGTCAGGGACTGCGCCTGATTTGTAATCTTTCAGGTCTGCACCCATAACACTCTCAAAAGAGCTCCAGCACTAAGGCTGTGTCAGGGACTGCGCCTGATTTGTGTTCTTTCAGGTCAGCACCCATAACACTCTGAAAAGAGCTCCAGCACTAAGGCTGTGTCAGGGACTGCGCCTGATTTGTAATCTTTCAGGTCAGCACCCATAACACTCTCAAAAGAGCTCCAGCACTAAGGCTGTGTCAGGGACTGCGCCTGATTTGTGTTCTTTCAGGTCAGCACCCGTAACACTCTCAAAAGAGCTCCAGCACAAAGGCTGTGTCAGGGACTGCGCCTGATTTGTGTTCTTTCAGGTCAGCACCCATAACACTCTCAAAAGAGCTCCAGCACTAAGGCTGTGTCAGGGACTTCGCCTGATTTGTGTTCTTTCAGGTCTGCACCCATAACACTCTCAAAAGAGCTCCAGCACTAAGGCTGTGTCAGGGACTGCGCCTGATTTGTGTTCAAAGAACACATCATTCGGGACAGCGCCCGTTATACTCATAAAAGAGCACCAGCACTAAGGCTGTGTCAGGACTGCGCCTGATATGCGTTCAATGAACACGTCATTTGGGACAGCGCCCGTAATACTCATAAAAGAGCACCAGCACTAAGGCTGTCAGGACTGCGCCTGATATGTGTTCAAAGAACACATCATTCGGGACAGCGCCCGAAATACTCATTAAAGAGCACCAGCACTAAGGCTGTGTCAGGACTGCGCCTGATATGCGTTCAAAGAACACATCATTCGGGACAGCACCCGTTATACTCATAAAAGAGCACCAGCACTAAGGCTGTCAGGACTGCGCCTGATATGCGTTCAAAGAACACATCATTCGGGACACAGCCCGTAATACTCTCAAAAGAGCACCAGCACTAAGGCTGTCAGGACTGCGCCTGATATGCGTTCAAAGAACACATCATTCGGGACAACGCCCGTAATACTCATAAAAGAGCACCAGCACTAAGGCTGTCAGGACTGCGCCTGATATGTGTTCAAAGAACACATCATTCGGGACAGCGCCCGTTATACTCTCAAAAGAGCACCAGCACTAAGGCTGTCAGGACTGCGCCTGATATGCGTTCAAAGAACACATCATTCGGGACAGCACCCGTTATACTCATAAAAGAGCACCAGCACTAAGGCTGTCAGGACTGCGCCTGATATGCGTTCAAAGAACACATCATTCGGGACACAGCCCGTAATACTCTCAAAAGAGCACCAGCACTAAGGCTGTCAGGACTGCGCCTGATATGCGTTCAAAGAACACATCATTCGGGACAGCGCCCGTAATACTCATAAAAGAGCACCAGCACTAAGGCTGACAGGCCTGCGCCTGATATGTGTTCAAAGAACACATCTTCCGGGACTGCGCCCGCCACGCGCACAGGGTGCACGTCTGCCGAGGCCAGCTTCTCAAGGTTGCTGGCCTAAGGAACACACCATGACCGCACTATATTGGCAGTCAGTTTCAACCAGCAAGCCACACACTAGCCTGTAAACATAAGTTTCACAATAAAAATTTAAATACAAATTAAAAATTAAAGAAAAAAAATACAATTGAAATACTTACATACATGCTTATACGGCCTCTCCTGACCGTGCACCGTCCTCGGATGCACTGGTGATCTCTTCTTCAGGAGAACGGCATCTTGCTCGCCATAGTCACCAATATGTGGTTCGTGTGTTCTTGAGGAAGCAGAAGGATCAGTACACGCAGCTGAAGGCTCACCAACGTCATCGGGGTATTCGTCATCGCAATCTGTGCAAAAGTTATCCTGTTAGTTAATCACGACGACATTTCGTTAGTGCCTAGTCTATCATACATATCGCATCCAAGGCCCTCATACAAAATCACACTACCACAACTTTAGTTAAAACACTTCACTTTCAAAAGTAATGCATACATCATCTCACACATTCTCATACTTGAACTTGTACAAGTTCCCACGTTAGTAACGTGAACCAGGACTGCGTCTGATGTGTTCAAAGAACACATCTTCCGGGACAGCGCTTTCCACGCGCACAGGATGCACGTCTGCCAAGGCCCGCTTCTCAAGGTTGCTGGCCTCAGGAACACACCATGACCGCACTTCATTGGCAGTCAGTTTCAACCAGCAAGGCACACACTAGCCTGTAAACATAAGTTTCACAATAAAAATTTAAATACAAATTAAAAATTAAAGAAAAAAATACAATTAAAATACTTACATACATGCTTATACGGCCTCTCCTGACCGTGCACCGTCCTCGGATGCACTGGTGATCTCTTCTTCAGGAGAACGGCATCTTGCTCGCCATAGTCACCAATATGTGGTTCGTGTGTTCTTTAGGAAGCTGAAGGATCAGTTCACGCAGCTGAAGGCTCATCAACCTCATCGGGGTATTCGTCATCGCAATCTGTGCAAAATTAATCCTGTTAGTTAATCACGACGACATTTCGTTAGTGCCTAGTCTATCATACATCACGCATCCAAGGCCCTCATACAAAATCACACTACCACAACTTTAGTTAAAACACTTCACTTTCAAAAGTATGCATACATCATCTCACAAAAAATCTCGCACATTCTCATACTTGAACTTGTACAAATTCCCACGTTAGTAACGTGATCCAGGACTGCGTCTGATGTGTTCAAAGAACACATCTTCCGGGACAGCGCCCGCCACGCGCACAGGATAAACGTCTGCCAAGGCCCGCTTCTCAAGGTTGCTGGCCTCAGGAACACACCATGACCGCACTACATTGGCAGTCAGTTTCAACCAGCAAGGCACACACTAGCCTGTAAACATAAGTTTCACAATAAAAATTTAAATACAAATTAAAAATTAAAGAAAAAAAATACAATTGAAATACTTACATACATGCTTATACGGCCTCTCCTGACCGTGCACCGTCCTCGGATGCACTGGTGATCTCTTCTTCAGGAGAACGGCATCTTGCTCGCCATAGTCACCAATATGTGGTTCGTGTGTTCTTGAGGAAGCAGAAGGATCAGTACACGCAGCTGAAGGCTCACCAACGTCATCGGGGTATTCGTCATCGCAATCTGTGCAAAAGTTATCCTGTTAGTTAATCACGACGACATTTCGTTAGTGCCTAGTCTATCATACATATCGCATCCAAGGCCCTCATACAAAATCACACTACCACAACTTTAGTTAAAACACTTCACTTTCAAAAGTAATGCATACATCATCTCACACATTCTCATACTTGAACTTGTACAAATTCCCACGTTAGTAACGTGATCCAGGACTGCGTCTGATGTGTTCAAAGAACACATCTTCCGGGACAGCGCCCGCCACGCGCACAGGATAAACGTCTGCCAAGGCCCGCTTCTCAAGGTTGCTGGCCTCAGGAACACACCATGACCGCACTACATTGGCAGTCAGTTTCAACCAGCAAGGCACACACTAGCCTGTAAACATAAGTTTCACAATAAAAATTTAAATACAAATTAAAAATTAAAGAAAAAAAATACAATTAAAATACTTACATACATGCTTATACGGCCTCTCCTGACCGTGCACCGTCCTCGGATGCACTGGTGATCTCTTCTTCAGGAGAACGGCATCTTGCTCGCTATAGTCACCAATATGTTGTTCGTGTGATCTTGAAGAAGCAGAAGGATCAGTACACGCAGTTGAGGGCTCACCAACGTCATCAGGGTATTATTAAGCTTACAAAATCACACACAGTACAAAATCTTACATCTACAATGTGTGACAATTAATGTAAACAAGTTTCACAAAAAAAATTTAAATAGAAATTAAAAAATTAAAGAAAAAAATACAATTAAAATACTTACATACATGCTTATACGGCCTCTCCTGACCGTGCACCGTCCTCGGATGCACTGGTGATCTCTTCTTCAGGAGAACGGCATCTTGCTCGCCATAGTCACCAATATGTGGTTCGTGTGTTCTTTAGGAAGCTGAAGGATCAGTTCACGCAGCTGAAGGCTCATCAACCTCATCGGGGTATACGTCATCGCAATCTGTGCAAAATAATCCTGTTAGTTAATCACGACGACATTTCGTTAGTGCCTAGTCTATCATACATCACGCATCCAAGGCCCTCATACAAAATCACACTACCACAACTTTAGTTAAAACACTTCACTTTCAAAAGTATGCATACATCATCTCACAAAAAATCTCGCACATTCTCATACTTGAACTTGTACAAATTCCCACGTTAGTAACGTGAACCAGGACTGCGTCTGATGTGTTCAAAGAACACATCTTCCGGGACAGCGCCCGCCACGCGCACAGGATGCACGTCTGCCAAGGCCCGCTTCTCAAGGTTGCTGGCCTCAGGAACACACCATGACCGCACTTCATTGGCAGTCAGTTTCAACCAGCAAGGCACACACTAGCCTGTAAACATAAGTTTCACAATAAAAATTTAAATACAAATTAAAAATTAAAGAAAAAAATACAATTAAAATACTTACATACATGCTTATACGGCCTCTCCTGACCGTGCACCGTCCTCGGATGGCACTGGTGATCTCTTCTTCAGGAGAACGGCATTTTGCTCGCCATAGTCACCAACATGTTGTTCGTGTGATCTTGAAGAAGCAGAAGGATCAGTACACGCAGTTGAGGGCTCACCAACGTCATCAGGGTATTATTAAGCTTACAACATCACACACAGTACAAAATCTACTAATTATTTTACGAAATCTTACATCTGAAATGTGTGACAATTAATGTAAACATAAGTTTCACAAAAAAATTTAAATAGAAATTAAAAATTAAAGAAAAAAAATACAATTAAAATACTTACATACATGCTTATACGGCCTCTCTCCTGACCGTGCACCGTCCTCGGATGCACTGGTGATCTCTTCTTCAGGAGAACGGCATCTTGCTCGCCATAGTCACCAATATGTTGTTCGTGTGATCTTGAAGAAGCAGAAGGATCAGTACACGCAGTTGAGGGCTCACCAACGTCATCAGGGTATTATTAAGCTTACAAAATCACACACAGTACAAAATCTTACATCTACAATGTGTGACAATTAATGTAAACAAGTTTCACAAAAAAAATTTAAATAGAAATTAAAAAATTAAAGAAAAAAATACAATTAAAATACTTACATACATGCTTATACGGCCTCTCCTGACCGTGCACCGTCCTCGGATGCACTGGTGATCTCTTCTTCAGGAGAACGGCATCTTGCTCGCCATAGTCACCAATATGTTGTTCGTGTGATCTTGAAGAAGCAGAAGGATCAGTACACGCAGTTGAGGGCTCACCAACGTCATCAGGGTATTATTTAGCTTACAAAATCACACACAGTACAAAATCTTACATCTAAAATGTAAGACAATTAATGTAAACAAGTTTCACAAAAAAAATTTAAATAGAAATTAAAAAATTAAAGAAAAAAATACAATTAAAATACTTACATACATGCTTATACGGCCTCTCCTGACCGTGCACCGTCCTCGGATGCACTGGTGATCTCTTCTTCAGGAGAACGGCATCTTGCTCGCCATAGTCACCAATATGTGGTTCGTGTGTTCTTTAGGAAGCTGAAGGATCAGTTCACGCAGCTGAAGGCTCATCAACCTCATCGGGGTATTCGTCATCGCAATCTGTGCAAAATTAATCCTGTTAGTTAATCACGACGACATTTCGTTAGTGCCTAGTCTATCATACATCACGCATCCAAGGCCCTCATACAAAATCACACTACCACAACTTTAGTTAAAACACTTCACTTTCAAAAGTATGCATACATCATCTCACAAAAAATCTCGCACATTCTCATACTTGAACTTGTACAAATTCCCACGTTAGTAACGTGAACCAGGACTGCGTCTGATGTGTTCAAAGAACACATCTTCCGGGACAGCGCCCGCCACGCGCACAGGATGCACGTCTGCCAAGGCCCGCTTCTCAAGGTTGCTGGCCTCAGGAACACACCATGACCGCACTTCATTGGCAGTCAGTTTCAACCAGCAAGGCACACACTAGCCTGTAAACATAAGTTTCACAATAAAAATTTAAATACAAATTAAAAATTAAAGAAAAAAAATACAATTAAAATACTTACATACATGCTTATACGGCCTCTCCTGACCGTGCACCGTCCTCGGATGGCACTGGTGATCTCTTCTTCAGGAGAACGGCATCTTGCTCGCCATAGTCACCAACATGTTGTTCGTGTGATCTTGAAGAAGCAGAAGGATCAGTACACGCAGTTGAGGGCTCACCAACGTCATCAGGGTATTATTAAGCTTACAACATCACACACAGTACAAAATCTACTAATTATTTTACGAAATCTTACATCTGAAATGTGTGACAATTAATGTAAACATAAGTTTCACAAAAAAATTTTAAATAGAAATTAAAAATTAAAGAAAAAAAATACAATTAAAATACTTACATACATGCTTATACGGCCTCTCCTGACCGTGCACCGTCCTCGGATGCACTGGTGATCTCTTCTTCAGGAGAACGGCATCTTGCTCGCCATAGTCACCAATATGTTGTTCGTGTGATCTTGAAGAAGCAGAAGGATCAGTACACGCAGTTGAGGGCTCACCAACGTCATCAGGGTATTATTTAGCTTACAAAATCACACACAGTACAAAATATGTTGTTCGTGTGATCTTGAAGAAAGCAGAAGGATCAGTACACGCAGTTGAGGGCTCACCAACGTCATCAGGGTATTATTAAGCTTACAAAATCACACACAGTACAAAATCTTACATCTACAATGTGTGACAATTAATGTAAACAAGTTTCACAAAAAAAATTTAAATAGAAATTAAAAAATTAAAGAAAAAAATACAATTAAAATACTTACATACATGCTTATACGGCCTCTCCTGACCGTGCACCGTCCTCGGATGCACTGGTGATCTCTTCTTCAGGAGAACGGCATCTTGCTCGCCATAGTCACCAATATGTTGTTCGTGTGATCTTGAAGAAGCAGAAGGATCAGTACACGCAGTTGAGGGCTCACCAACGTCATCAGGGTATTATTAAGCTTACAAAATCACACACAGTACAAAATCTTACATCTACAATGTGTGACAATTAATGTAAACAAGTTTCACAAAAAAAATTTAAATAGAAATTAAAAAATTAAAGAAAAAAATACAATTAAAATACTTACATACATGCTTATACGGCCTCTCCTGACCGTGCACCGTCCTCGGATGCACTGGTGATCTCTTCTTCAGGAGAACGGCATCTTGCTCGCCATAGTCACCAATATGTTGTTCGTGTGATCTTGAAGAAGCAGAAGGATCAGTACACGCAGTTGAGGGCTCACCAACGTCATCAGGGTATTATTTAGCTTACAAAATCACACACAGTACAAAATCTTACATCTACAATGTGTGACAATTAATGTAAATAAGTTTCACAAAAAAAATTTAAATAGAAATTAAAAAATTAAAGAAAAAAATACAATTAAAATACTTACATACATGCTTATACGGCCTCTCCTGACCGTGCACCGTCCTCGGATGCACTGGTGATCTCTTCTTCAGGAGAACGGCATCTTGCTCGCCATAGTCACCAATATGTGGTTCGTGTGTTCTTTAGGAAGCTGAAGGATCAGTTCACGCAGCTGAAGGCTCATCAACCTCATCGGGGTATTCGTCATCGCAATCTGTGCAAAATTAATCCTGTTAGTTAATCACGACGACATTTCGTTAGTGCCTAGTCTATCATACATCACGCATCCAAGGCCCTCATACAAAATCACACTACCACAACTTTAGTTAAAACACTTCACTTTCAAAAGTATGCATACATCATCTCACAAAAAATCTCGCACATTCTCATACTTGAACTTGTACAAATTCCCACGTTAGTAACGTGAACCAGGACTGCGTCTGATGTGTTCAAAGAACACATCTTCCGGGACAGCGCCCGCCACGCGCACAGGATGCACGTCTGCCAAGGCCCGCTTCTCAAGGTTGCTGGCCTCAGGAACACACCATGACCGCACTTCATTGGCAGTCAGTTTCAACCAGCAAGGCACACACTAGCCTGTAAACATAAGTTTCACAATAAAAATTTAAATACAAATTAAAAATTAAAGAAAAAAAATACAATTAAAATACTTACATACATGTTTATACGGCCTCTCCTGACCGTGCACCGTCCTCGGATGGCACTGGTGATCTCTTCTTCAGGAGAACGGCATCTTGCTCGCCATAGTCACCAATATGTTGTTCGTGTGATCTTGAAGAAGCAGAAGGATCAGTACACGCAGTTGAGGGCTCACCAACGTCATCAGGGTATTATTAAGCTTACAAAATCACACACAGTACAAAATCTTACATCTACAATGTGTGACAATTAATGTAAACAAGTTTCACAAAAAAAATTTAAATAGAAATTAAAAAATTAAAGAAAAAAATACAATTAAAATACTTACATACATGCTTATACGGCCTCTCCTGACCGTGCACCGTCCTCGGATGCACTGGTGATCTCTTCTTCAGGAGAACGGCATCTTGCTCGCCATAGTCACCAATATGTTGTTCGTGTGATCTTGAAGAAGCAGAAGGATCAGTACACGCAGTTGAGGGCTCACCAACGTCATCAGGGTATTATTTAGCTTACAAAATCACACACAGTACAAAATATGTTGTTCGTGTGATCTTGAAGAAGCAGAAGGATCAGTACACGCAGTTGAGGGCTCACCAACGTCATCAGGGTATTATTTAGCTTACAAAATCACACACAGTACAAAATCCTACATCTACAATGTGTGACAATTAATGTAAATAAGTTTCACAAAAAAAAATTTAAATAGAAATTAAAAAATTAAAGAAAAAAAATACAATTAAAATACTTACATACATGCTTATACGGCCTCTCCTGACCGTGCACCGTCCTCGGATGCACTGGTGATCTCTTCTTCAGGAGAACGGCATCTTGCTCGCCATAGTCACCAATATGTTGTTCGTGTGATCTTGAAGAAGCAGAAGGATCAGTACACGCAGTTGAGGGCTCACCAACGTCATCAGGGTATTATTTAGCTTACAAAATCACACACAGTACAAAATATGTTGTTCGTGTGATCTTGAAGAAGCAGAAGGATCAGTACACGCAGTTGAGGGCTCACCAACGTCATCAGGGTATTATTTAGCTTACAAAATCACACACAGTACAAAATCCTACATCTACAATGTGTGACAATTAATGTAAATAAGTTTCACAAAAAAAAATTTAAATAGAAATTAAAAAATTAAAGAAAAAAATACAATTAAAATACTTACATACATGCTTATACGGCCTCTCCTGACCGTGCACCGTCCTCGGATGCACTGGTGATCTCTTCTTCAGGAGAACGGCATCTTGCTCGCCATAGTCACCAATATGTTGTTCGTGTGATCTTGAAGAAGCAGAAGGATCAGTACACGCAGTTGAGGGCTCACCAACGTCATCAGGGTATTATTTAGCTTACAAAATCACACACAGTACAAAATATGTTGTTCGTGTGATCTTGAAGAAGCAGAAGGATCAGTACACGCAGTTGAGGGCTCACCAACGTCATCAGGGTATTATTTAGCTTACAAAATCACACACAGTACAAAATCCTACATCTACAATGTGTGACAATTAATGTAAATAAGTTTCACAAAAAAAATTTAAATAGAAATTAAAAAATTAAAGAAAAAAATACAATTAAAATACTTACATACATGCTTATACGGCCTCTCCTGACCGTGCACCGTCCTCGGATGCACTGGTGATCTCTTCTTCAGGAGAACGGCATCTTGCTCGCCATAGTCACCAATATGTGGTTCGTGTGTTCTTTAGGAAGCTGAAGGATCAGTTCACGCAGCTGAAGGCTCATCAACCTCATCGGGGTATTCGTCATCGCAATCTGTGCAAAATTAATCCTGTTAGTTAATCACGACGACATTTCGTTAGTGCCTAGTCTATCATACATCACGCATCCAAGGCCCTCATACAAAATCACACTACCACAACTTTAGTTAAAACACTTCACTTTCAAAAGTATGCATACATCATCTCACAAAAAATCTCGCACATTCTCATACTTGAACTTGTACAAATTCCCACGTTAGTAACGTGAACCAGGACTGCGTCTGATGTGTTCAAAGAACACATCTTCCGGGACAGCGCCCGCCACGCGCACAGGATGCACGTCTGCCAAGGCCCGCTTCTCAAGGTTGCTGGCCTCAGGAACACACCATGACCGCACTTCATTGGCAGTCAGTTTCAACCAGCAAGGCACACACTAGCCTGTAAACATAAGTTTCACAATAAAAATTTAAATACAAATTAAAAATTAAAGAAAAAAAATACAATTAAAATACTTACATACATGCTTATACGGCCTCTCCTGACCGTGCACCGTCCTCGGATGGCACTGGTGATCTCTTCTTCAGGAGAACGGCATTTTGCTCGCCATAGTCACCAACATGTTGTTCGTGTGATCTTGAAGAAGCAGAAGGATCAGTACACGCAGTTGAGGGCTCACCAACGTCATCAGGGTATTATTAAGCTTACAACATCACACACAGTACAAAATCTACTAATTATTTTACGAAATCTTACATCTGAAATGTGTGACAATTAATGTAAACATAAGTTTCACAAAAAATTTTTAAATAGAAATTAAAAATTAAAGAAAAAAAATACAATTAAAATACTTACATACATGCTTATACGGCCTCTCCTGACCGTGCACCGTCCTCGGATGCACTGGTGATCTCTTCTTCAGGAGAACGGCATCTTGCTCGCCATAGTCACCAATATGTTGTTCGTGTGATCTTGAAGAAGCAGAAGGATCAGTACACGCAGTTGAGGGCTCACCAACGTCATCAGGGTATTATTAAGCTTACAAAATCACACACAGTACAAAATATGTTGTTCGTGTGATCTTGAAGAAGCAGAAGGATCAGTACACGCAGTTGAGGGCTCACCAACGTCATCAGGGTATTATTTAGCTTACAAAATCACACACAGTACAAAATCCTACATCTACAATGTGTGACAATTAATGTAAATAAGTTTCACAAAAAAAATTTAAATAGAAATTAAAAAATTAAAGAAAAAAATACAATTAAAATACTTACATACATGCTTATACGGCCTCTCCTGACCGTGCACCGTCCTCGGATGCACTGGTGATCTCTTCTTCAGGAGAACGGCATCTTGCTCGCCATAGTCACCAATATGTGGTTCGTGTGTTCTTTAGGAAGCTGAAGGATCAGTTCACGCAGCTGAAGGCTCATCAACCTCATCGGGGTATTCGTCATCGCAATCTGTGCAAAATTAATCCTGTTAGTTAATCACGACGACATTTCGTTAGTGCCTAGTCTATCATACATCACGCATCCAAGGCCCTCATACAAAATCACACTACCACAACTTTAGTTAAAACACTTCACTTTCAAAAGTATGCATACATCATCTCACAAAAAATCTCGCACATTCTCATACTTGAACTTGTACAAATTCCCACGTTAGTAACGTGAACCAGGACTGCGTCTGATGTGTTCAAAGAACACATCTTCCGGGACAGCGCCCGCCACGCGCACAGGATGCACGTCTGCCAAGGCCCGCTTCTCAAGGTTGCTGGCCTCAGGAACACACCATGACCGCACTTCATTGGCAGTCAGTTTCAACCAGCAAGGCACACACTAGCCTGTAAACATAAGTTTCACAATAAAAATTTAAATACAAATTAAAAATTAAAGAAAAAAAATACAATTAAAATACTTACATACATGCTTATACGGCCTCTCCTGACCGTGCACCGTCCTCGGATGGCACTGGTGATCTCTTCTTCAGGAGAACGGCATTTTGCTCGCCATAGTCACCAACATGTTGTTCGTGTGATCTTGAAGAAGCAGAAGGATCAGTACACGCAGTTGAGGGCTCACCAACGTCATCAGGGTATTATTAAGCTTACAACATCACACACAGTACAAAATCTACTAATTATTTTACGAAATCTTACATCTGAAATGTGTGACAATTAATGTAAACATAAGTTTCACAAAAAATTTTTAAATAGAAATTAAAAATTAAAGAAAAAAAATACAATTAAAATACTTACATACATGCTTATACGGCCTCTCCTGACCGTGCACCGTCCTCGGATGCACTGGTGATCTCTTCTTCAGGAGAACGGCATCTTGCTCGCCATAGTCACCAATATGTTGTTCGTGTGATCTTGAAGAAGCAGAAGGATCAGTACACGCAGTTGAGGGCTCACCAACGTCATCAGGGTATTATTAAGCTTACAAAATCACACACAGTACAAAATCTTACATCTACAATGTGTGACAATTAATGTAAACAAGTTTCACAAAAAAAATTTAAATAGAAATTAAAAAATTAAAGAAAAAAATACAATTAAAATACTTACATACATGCTTATACGGCCTCTCCTGACCGTGCACCGTCCTCGGATGGCACTGGTGATCTCTTCTTCAGGAGAACGGCATTTTGCTCGCCATAGTCACCAACATGTTGTTCGTGTGATCTTGAAGAAGCAGAAGGATCAGTACACGCAGTTGAGGGCTCACCAACGTCATCAGGGTATTATTAAGCTTACAACATCACACACAGTACAAAATCTACTAATTATTTTACGAAATCTTACATCTGAAATGTGTGACAATTAATGTAAACATAAGTTTCACAAAAAATATTTAAATACAATTTAAAAATTAAAGAAAAAAATACAATTAAAATACTTACATACATGCTTATACGGCCTCTCCTGACCGTGCACCGTCCTCGGATGCACTGGTGATCTCTTCTTTAGGAGAACGGCATCTTGGTCGCCATAGTCACCAATATGTGGTTCGTGTGTTCTTCAGGAAGCAGAAGGATCAGTACACGCAGCTGAAGGCTCACCAACATCATCGGGGTATTCGTCATCGCAATCTGTGCAAAAGTTATCCTGTTAGTTAATCTCGACGACATTTCGTTAGTGCTTAGTCTTTCATACATCACGCATCCAAGGCCCTCATACAAAATCACACTACCACAACTATAGTTAAAACCTTTCACTTTCAAAAGTAATGCATACATCATCTCACACATTCTCATACTTGAACTTGTACAAGTTCCCACGTTAGTAACGTGAACCAGGACTGCGTCTGCTCATCGGGGTATTCGTCATCGCAATCTGTGCAAAATTAATCCTGTTAGTTAATCACGACGACATTTCGTTAGTGCCTAGTCTATCATACATCACGCATCCAAGGCCCTCATACAAAATCACACTACCACAACTTTAGTTAAAACACTTCACTTTCAAAAGTATGCATACATCATCTCACAAAAAATCTCACACATTCTCATACTTGAACTTGTACAAGTTCCCACGTTAGTAACGTGAACCAGGACTGCGTCTGATGTGTTCAAAGAACACATCTTCCGGGACAGCGCTTTCCACGCGCACAGGATGCACGTCTGCCAAGGCCCGCTTCTCAAGGTTGCTGGCCTCAGGAACACACCATGACCGCACTTCATTGGCAGTCAGTTTCAACCAGCAAGGCACACACTAGCCTGTAAACATAAGTTTCACAATAAAAATTTAAATACAAATTAAAAATTAAAGAAAAAAATACAATTAAAATACTTACATACATGCTTATACGGCCTCTCCTGACCGTGCACCGTCCTCGGATGCACTGGTGATCTCTTCTTCAGGAGAACGGCATCTTGCTCGCCATAGTCACCAATATGTGGTTCGTGTGATCTTGAAGAAGCAGAAGAATCAGTACACGCAGCTGAGGGCTCACCAACGTCATCAGGGTATTATTAAGCTTACAACATCACACACAGTACAAAATTTACTAATTATTTTACAAAATCTTACAATTGAAATGCGTGACAATTAATGTAAACATAAGTTTCACAAAAAAAATTAAATAGAAATTAAAAATTAAAGAAAAAAAATACAATTAAAATACTTACATACATGCTTATACGGCCTCTCCTGACCGTGCACCGTCCTCGGATGCACTAGTGATCTCTTCTTCAGGAGAACGGCACCTTGCTAGCCATAGTCACCAATATGTGGTTCGTGTGATCTTGAAGAAGCAGAAGGATCAGTACACGCAGCTGAAGGCTCACCAACCTCATCGGGGTATTCGTCATCGCAATCTGTGCAAAAGTTATCCTGTTAGTTAATCACGATGACATTTCGTTAGTTCCTAGTCTATCATACATCACGCATCCAAGGCCCTCATACAAAATCACACTACCACAACTTTAGTTAAAACACTTCACTTTCAAAAGTAATGCATACATCATCTCACACATTCTCATACTTGAACTTGTACAAGTTCCCACGTTAGTAACGTGAACCAGGACTGCGCCTGATGTGTTCAAAGAACACATCTTCCGGGACAGCGCCCGCCACGCGCACAGGATGCACGTCTGCCAAGGCCCGCTTCTCAAGGTTGCTGGCCTCAGGAACACACCATGACCGCACTTTATTGGCAGTCAGATTCAACCAGCAAGGCACACACTAGCCTGTAAACATAAGTTTCACAATAAAAATTTAAATACAAATTAAAAATTAAAGAAAAAAAATACAATTAAAATACTTACATACATGCTTATACGGCCTCTCCTGACCGTGCACCGTCCTCGGATGGCACTGGTGATCTCTTCTTCAGGAGAACGGCATTTTGCTCGCCATAGTCACCAACATGTTGTTCGTGTGATCTTGAAGAAGCAGAAGGATCAGTACACGCAGTTGAGGGCTCACCAACGTCATCAGGGTATTATTATTAAACAACATCACACACAGTACAAAATCTACTAATTATTTTACGAAATCTTACATCTGAAATGTGTGACAATTAATGTAAACATAAGTTTCACAAAAAAAATTTAAATAGAAATTAAAAATTAAAGAAAAAAAATACAATTAAAATACTTACATACATGCTTATACGGCCTCTCCTGACCGTGCACCGTCCTCGGATGCACTGGTGATCTCTTCTTCAGGAGAACGGCATCTTGCTCGCCATAGTCACCAATATGTTGTTCGTGTGATCTTGAAGAAGCAGAAGGATCAGTACACGCAGTTGAGGGCTCACCAACGTCATCAGGGTATTATTAAGCTTACAAAATCACACACAGTACAAAATCTTACATCTACAATGTGTGACAATTAATGTAAACAAGTTTCACAAAAAAAATTTAAATAGAAATTAAAAAATTAAAGAAAAAAATACAATTAAAATACTTACATACATGCTTATACGGCCTCTCCTGACCGTGCACCGTCCTCGGATGCACTGGTGATCTCTTCTTCAGGAGAACGGCATCTTGCTCGCCATAGTCACCAATATGTGGTTCGTGTGTTCTTTAGGAAGCTGAAGGATCAGTTCACGCAGCTGAAGGCTCATCAACCTCATCGGGGTATTCGTCATCGCAATCTGTGCAAAATTAATCCTGTTAGTTAATCACGACGACATTTCGTTAGTGCCTAGTCTATCATACATCACGCATCCAAGGCCCTCATACAAAATCACACTACCACAACTTTAGTTAAAACACTTCACTTTCAAAAGTATGCATACATCATCTCACAAAAAATCTCGCACATTCTCATACTTGAACTTGTACAAATTCCCACGTTAGTAACGTGAACCAGGACTGCGTCTGATGTGTTCAAAGAACACATCTTCCGGGACAGCGCTTTCCACGCGCACAGGATGCACGTCTGCCAAGGCCCGCTTCTCAAGGTTGCTGGCCTCAGGAACACACCATGACCGCACTTCATTGGCAGTCAGTTTCAACCAGCAAGGCACACACTAGCCTGTAAACATAAGTTTCACAATAAAAATTTAAATACAAATTAAAAATTAAAGAAAAAAAATACAATTAAAATACTTACATACATGCTTATACGGCCTCTCCTGACCGTGCACCGTCCTCGGATGGCACTGGTGATCTCTTCTTCAGGAGAACGGCATTTTGCTCGCCATAGTCACCAACATGTTGTTCGTGTGATCTTGAAGAAGCAGAAGGATCAGTACAGGCAGTTGAGGGCTCACCAACGTCATCAGGGTATTATTAAGCTTACAACATCACACACAGTACAAAATCTACTAATTATTTTACGAAATCTTACATCTGAAATGTGTGACAATTAATGTAAACATAAGTTTCACAAAAAAATTTAAATAGAAATTAAAAATTAAAGAAAAAAATACAATTAAAATACTTACATACATGCTTATACGGCCTCTCCTGACCGTGCACCGTCCTCGGATGCACTGGTGATCTCTTCTTCAGGAGAACGGCATCTTGCTCGCCATAGTCACCAATATGTGGTTCGTGTGATCTTGAAGAAGCAGAAGAATCAGTACACGCAGCTGAGGGCTCACCAACGTCATCAGGGTATTATTAAGCTTACAACATCACACACAGTACAAAATTTACTAATTATTTTACAAAATCTTACAATTGAAATGCGTGACAATTAATGTAAACATAAGTTTCACAAAAAAAAATTAAATAGAAATTAAAAATTAAAGAAAAAAAAATACAATTAAAATACTTACATACATGCTTATACGGCCTCTCCTGACCGTGCACCGTCCTCGGATGCACTAGTGATCTCTTCTTCAGGAGAACGGCACCTTGCTAGCCATAGTCACCAATATGTGGTTCGTGTGATCTTGAAGAAGCAGAAGGATCAGTACACGCAGCTGAAGGCTCACCAACGTCATCGGGGTATTCGTCATCGCAATCTGTGCAAAAGTTATCCTGTTAGTTAATCACGTCGACATTTCGTTAGTTCCTAGTCTATCATACATCACGCATCCAAGGCCCTCATACAAAATCACACTACCACAACTTTAGTTAAAACACTTCACTTTCAAAAGTAATGCATACATCATCTCGCAACACATCTCACACATTCTCATACTTGAACTTGTACAAGTTCCCACGTTAGTAACGTGAACCAGAACTGCGCCTGATGTGTTCAAAGAACACATCTTCCGGGACAGCGCCCGCCACGCGCACAGGATGCACGTCTGCCAAGGCCCGCTTCTCAAGGTTGCTGGCCTCAGGAACACACCATGACCGCACTTTATTGGCAGTCAGATTCAACCAGCAAGGCACACACTAGCCTGTAAACATAAGTTTCACAAATTTTTTTTAAATATATATTAAAAATTAAAGAAAAAAATACAATTAAAATACTTACATACATACTTATACGGCCTCTCCTGACCGTGCACCGTCCTCGGATGCACTGGTGATCTCTTCTTCAGGAGAACGGCACCTTGCTCGCCATAGTCACCAATATGTGGTTCGTGTGATCTTGAAGAAGCAGAAAGATCAGTACACGCAGCTGAAGGCTCACCAACGTCATCGGGGTATTCGTCATCGCAATCTGTGCAAAAGTTATCCTGTTAGTTAATCACGACGACATTTCGTTAGTTCCTAGTCTATTATACATCACGCATCCAAGGCCCTCATACAAAATCACACTACCACAACTTTAGTTAAAACACTTCACTTTCAAAAGTAATGCATACATCATCTCACACATTCTCATACTTGAACTTGTACAAGTTCCCACGTTAGTAACGTGAACCAGGACTGCGCCTGATGTGTTCAAAGAACACATCTTCCGGGACAGCGCCCGCCACGCGCACAGGATGCACGTCTGCCAAGGCCCGCTTCTCAAGGTTGCTGGCCTCAGGAACACACCATGACCGCACTTTATTGGCAGTCAGATTCAACCAGCAAGGCACACACTAGCCTGTAAACATAAGTTTCACAAATTTTTTTTAAATATATATTAAAAATTAAAGAAAAAAATACAATTAAAATACTTACATACATACTTATACGGCCTCTCCTGACCGTGCACCGTCCTCGGATGCACTGGTGATCTCTTCTTCAGGAGAACGGCATCTTGCTCGCCATAGTCGCCAATATGTGGTTCGTGTGATCTTGAAGAAGCAGAAGGATCAGTACACGCAGCTGAAGGCTCACCAACGTCATCGGGGTATTCGTCATCGCAATCTGTGCAAAAGTTATCCTGTTAGTTAATCACGACGACATTTCGTTAGTTCCTAGTCTATCATACATCACGCATCCAAGGCCCTCATACAAAATCACACTACCACAACTTTAGTTAAAACACTTCACTTTCAAAAGTAATGCATACATCATCTCACACATTCTCATACTTGAACTTGTACAAGTTCCCACGTTAGTAACGTGAACCAGAACTGCGCCTGATGTGTTCAAAGAACACATCTTCCGGGACAGCGCCCGCCACACGCACAGGATGCACGTCTGCCGAGGCCCGCTTCTCAAGGTTGCTGGCCTCATGAACACAGAATGACCGCACCACATTGGCAGTTTGTTTCAACCAGCAAGACACACACTAGCCTGTAAACATAAGTTTCACAATTTTTTTTTAAATATATATTAAAAATTAAAGAAAAAAAATACAATTAAAATACTTACATACATGCTTATACGGCCTCTCCTGACCGTGCACCGTCCTCGGATGCACTGGTGATCTCTTCTTCAGGAGAACGGCACCTTGCTCGCCATAGTCACCAATATGTGGTTCGTGTGATCTTGAAGAAGCAGAAGGATCAGTACACGCAGCTGAAGGCTATCCAACGTCATCGGGGTATTCGTCATCGCAATCTGTGCAAAAGTTATCCTGTTAGTTAATCACGACGACATTTCGTTAGTTCCTAGTCTATCATACATCACGCATCCAAGGCCCTCATACAAAATCACACTACCACAACTTTAGTTAAAACACTTCACTTTCAAAAGTAATGCAAACATCATCTCGCAACACATCTCACACATTCTCATACTTGAACTTGTACAAGTTCCCACGTTAGTAACGTGAACCAGGACTGCGCTTGATGTGTTCAAAGAACAAATCTTCCGGGACAGCGCCCGCCACGCGCACAGGATGCACGTCTGCCAAGGCCCGCTTCTCAAGGTTGCTGGCCTCAGGAACACACCATGACCGCACTACCTTGGCAGTCAGTTTCAACCAGCAAGGCACACACTAGCCTGTAAACATAAGTTTCACAAAAAATTTAAAACGAAATTAATTGTTAAAAAAAATACAATTAAAATACTTACATACATGCTTATACGGCCTCTCCTGACCGTGCACCGTCCTCGGATGCACTGGTGATCTCTTCTTCAGGAGAACGGCATCTTGCTCGCCATAGTCACCAATATGTGGTTCGTGTGTTCTTGAGGAAGCAGAAGGATCAGTACACGCAGCTGAGGGCTCACCAACGTCATCAGGGTATTATTAAGCTTACAACATCACACACAGTACGAAATCCACTAATTATTTAACAAAATCTTACAATTGAAATGCGTGACAATTAATGTAAACATAAGTTTCACAAAAAAAATTAAATAGAAATTAAAAATTAAAAAAGAAAATTCTCGAAATCACACTTAATCTACCTTAAAATTTACTTATACAATCAAAACAACACGACTTTGGGTATTTTAAAAACAACCGTTAACCTTAAAACAATAACACAAAAATCACCGAATAAAAATAACACAAAACGTACTCACAGTATGCGGCCTCGACACCAACCACCTTCCTTGTCAACGTCCGAGCAACAACAGAGCCCGTGGCACACTGAGGCCTTTCTTTTATAGAAGGCGGGTGGGGATCGAAACCACCCACTATGATTTCAACTTATATTTATTTATTTATTTATTTCTTAAGCTTAAAACATCACAAAGTACAAAATCTACTATTCTACGAAATCTTACATCTGAAATGTGTGACAATTAATGTAAACATAAAAAAAATACAATTAAAATACTTACATGCTTATACGGCCTCTCCTGACCGTGCACCGTCCTCGGATGCACTAGTGATCTCTTCTTCAGGAGATCGGCACCTTGCTCGCCATAGTCACCAATATGTGGTTCGTGTGATCTTGAAGAAGCAGAAGGATCAGTACACGCAGCTGAAGGCTCACCAACGTCATCGAGGTATTCGTCATCGCAATCTGTTCAAAAGTTATCCTGTTAGTTAATCACGACGACATTTCGTTAGTTCCTAGTCTATCATACATCACGCATCCAAGGCCCTCATACAAAATCACACTACCACAACTTTAGTTAAAACACTTCACTTTCAAAAGTAATGCATACATCATCTCGCAACACATCTCACACATTCTCATACTTGAACTTGTACAAGTTCCCACGTTAGTAACGTGAACCAGGACTGCGCCTGATGTGTTCAAAGAACACATCTTCCGGGACAGTGCCCGCCACGCGCACAGGATGCACGTATGCCGAGGCCCGCTTCTCAAGATTGCTGGCCTCATGAACACAGAATGACCGCACCACATTGGCAGTTTGTTTCAACCAGCAAGACACACACTAGCCTGTAAACATAAGTTTCACAAAAAAAATTTAAATAGAAATTAAAAATTAAAGAAAAAAAATACAATTAAAATACTTACATACATGCTTATACGGCCTCTCCTGACCGTGCACCGTCCTCGGATGCACTAGTGATCTCTTCTTCAGGAGAACGGCATCTTGCTCGCCATAGTCACCAATATGTGGTTCGTGTGATCTTGAAGAAGCAAAAGAATCAGTACACGCAGCTGAGGGCTCACCAACGTCATCAGGGTATTATTAAGCTTACAACATCACACACAGTACAAAATTTACTAATTATTTTACAAAATCTTACAATTGAAATGCTTGACAATTAATGTAAACATAAGTTTCACAAAAATTTTTTAAATAGAAATTAAAAATTAAAGAAAAAATACAATTAAAATACTTACATACATGCTTATACGGCCTCTCCTGACCGTGCACCGTCCTCGGATGCACTGGTGAGCTCTTCTTCAGGAGAAAGGCATCTTGCTCGCCATAGTCACCAATATGTGGTTCGTGTGATCTTGAAGAGGCAGAAGAATCAGTACACGCAGCTGAGGGCTCATCAACGTCATCAGGGTATTATTAAGCTAACAACATCACACACAGTACAAAATTTACTAAATATTTTACAAAATCTTACAATTGAAATGCGTGACAATTAATGTAAACATAAGTTTCACAAAAAAAAATTAAATAGAAATTAAAAATTAAAAAAGAAAATTCTCGAAATCACACTTAATCTACCTTAAAATTTATTTATACAATCAAAACAACACGACTTTGGGTATTTTAAAAACAACCGTTAACCTTAAAACAATTACACAAAAATCACCGAATAAAAATAACACAAAACGTACTCACAGTATGCGGCCTCGACACCAACCACCTTTCTTGTCAACGTCCGAGCGACAACAGAGCCCGTGGCAGACTGAGGCCTTTCTTTTATAGAAGGCGGGTGGGGATCGAAACCACCCACTATGATTTCAACTTATATTTTTTTATTTATTTAGTTCTTAAGCTTAAAACATCACACACAGTACAAAATCTACTAATTATTTTACGAAATCTTACATCTGAAATGTGTGACAATTAATGTAAACATAAGTTTCACAAAAAAAATTTAAATAGAAATTAAAAATTAAAGAAAAAAAATACAATTAAAATACTTACATACATGCTTATACGGCCTCTCCCGACCGTGCACCGTCCTCGGATGCACTGGTGATCTCTTCTTCAGGAGAACGGCATCTTGCTCGCCATAGTCACCAATATGTGGTTCGTGTGATCTTGAAGAAGCAGAAGGATCAGTACACGCAGCTGAAGGCTCACCAACGTCATCGGGGTATTCGTCATCGCAATCTGTGCAAAAGTTATCCTGTTAGTTAATCACGACGACATTTCGTTAGTTCCTAGTCTATCATACATCACGCATCCAAGGCCCTCATACAAAATCACACTACCACAACTTTAGTTAAAACACTTCACTTTCAAAAGTAATGCATACATCATCTCGCAACACATCTCACACATTCTCATACTTGAACTTGTACAAGTTTCCACGTTAGTAACGTGAACCAGGACTGCGCCTGATTTGTTTAAAGAACACATCTTCCGGGACAGCGCCCGCTACGCGCACAGGATGCACGTCTGCCAAGGCCCACTTCTCAAGTCTGTTGGCCTCAGGAACACACCATGACCGCACTACATTAGCAGTCAGTTTCAACCAGCAAGGCACACACTAGCCTGTAAACATAAGTTTCACAAATTTTTTAAAAATATATATTAAAAATTAAAGAAAAAAATACAATTAAAATACTTACATACATGCTTATACGGCCTCTCCTGACCGAGCACCGTCCTCGGATGCACTGGTGATCTCTTCATCAGGAGAACGGCATCTTGCTCGCCATAGTCACCAATATGTGGTTCGTGTGTTCTTGAGGAAGCAGAAGGATCAGTACACGCAGCTGAAGGCTCACCAACATCATCGGGGTATTCGTCATCGCAATCTGTGCAAAAGTTATCCTGTTAGTTAATCTCGACGACATTTCGTTAGTGCTTAGTCTTTCATACATCACGCATCCAAGGCCCTCATACAAAATCACACTACCACAACTATAGTTAAAACCTTTCACTTTCAAAAGTAATGCATACATCATCTCACAAAACATCTCACACATTCTCATACTTGAACTTGTACAAGTTCCCACGTTAGTAACGTGAACCAGGACTGCGCCTGATGTGTTCAAAGAACACATCTTCCGGGACAGTGCCCGCCACGCGCACAGGATGCACGTATGCCGAGGCCCGCTTCTCAAGGTTGCTGGCCTCATGAACACAGAATGACCGCACCACATTGGAGGTTTGTTTCAACCAGCAAGACACACACTAGCCTGTAAACATAAGTTTCACAAAAAAATTTAAATAGAAATTAAAAATTAAAGAAAAAAAATACAATTAAAATACTTACATACATGCTTATACGGCCTCTCCTGACCGTGCACCGTCCTCGGATGCACTGGTGATCTCTTCTTCAGGAGAACGGCATCTTGCTCGCCATAGTCACAAATATGTGGTTCGTGTGTTCTTGAGGAAGCAGAAGGATCAGTACACGCAGCTGAGGGCTCACCAACGTCATCAGGGTATTATTAAGCTTACAACATCACACACAGTACGAAATCCACTAATTATTTAACAAAATCTTACAATTGAAATGCGTGACAATTAATGTAAACATAAGTTTCACAAAAAAAAATTAAATAGAAATTAAAAATTAAAAAAGAAAATTCTCGAAATCACACTTAATCTACCTTAAAATTTACTTATACAATCAAAACAACACGACTTTGGGTATTTTAAAAACAACCGTTAACCTTAAAACAATAACACAAAAATCACCGAATAAAAATAACACAAAACGTACTCACAGTATGCGGCCTCGACACCAACCACCTTTCTTGTCAACGTCCGAGCGACAACAGAGCCCGTGGCAGACTGAGGCCTTTCTTTTATAGAAGGCGGGTGGGGATCGAAACCACCCACTATGATTTCAACTTATATTTTTTTATTTATTTAGTTCTTAAGCTTAAAACATCACACACAGTACAAAATCTACTAATTATTTTACGAAATCTTACATCTGAAATGTGTGACAATTAATGTAAACATAAGTTTCACAAAAAAAATTTAAATAGAAATTAAAAATTAAAGAAAAAAAATACAATTAAAATACTTACATACATGCTTATACGGCCTCTCCTGACCGTGCACCGTCCTCGGATGCACTGGTGATCTCTTCTTCAGGAGAACGGCATCTTGCTCGCCATAGTCACCAATATGTGGTTCGTGTGATCTTGAAGAAGCAGAAGAATCAGTACACGCAGCTGAGGGCTCACCAACGTCATCAGGGTATTATTAAGCTTACAACATCACACACAGTACAAAATTTACTAATTATTTTACAAAATCTTACAATTGAAATGCGTGACAATTAATGTAAACATAAGTTTCACAAAAAAATTTTAAATAGAAATTAAAAATTAAAGAAAAAAAATACAATTAAAATACTTACATACATGCTTATATGGCCTCTCCTGACCGTGCACCGTCCTCGGATGCACTGGTGATCTCTTCTTCAGAAGAACGGCATCTTGCTCGCCATAGTCACCAATATGTGGTTCGTGTGATCTTGAAGAAGCAGAAGAATCAGTACACGCAGCTGAGGGCTCATCAACGTCATCAGGGTATTATTAAGCTAACAACATCACACACAGTACAAAATTTACTAAATATTTTACAAAATCTTACAATTGAAATGCGTGACAATTAATGTAAACATAAGTTTCACAAAAAAAAATTAAATAGAAATTAAAAATTAAAAAAGAAAATTCTCGAAATCACACTTAATCTACCTTAAAATTTATTTATACAATTAAAATACTTACATACATGCTTATACGGCCTCTCCTGACCGTGCACCGTCCTCGGATGCACTGGTGATCTCTTCCTCGGGAGAACCTTATCTTGCTCGCCATAGTCACCAATATGTGGTTCGTGTGATCTTGAAGAAGCAGAAGAATCAGTACACGCAGCTGAGGGCTCACCAACGTCATCAGGGTATTATTAAGCTTACAACATCACACACAGTACAAAATTTACTAATTATTTTACAAAATCTTACAATTGAAATGCGTGACAATTAATGTAAACATAAGTTTCACAAAAAAATTTTAAATAGAAATTAAAAATTAAAGAAAAAAAATACAATTAAAATACTTACATACATGCTTATATGGCCTCTCCTGACCGTGCACCGTCCTCGGATGCACTGGTGATCTCTTCTTCAGAAGAACGGCATCTTGCTCGCCATAGTCACCAATATGTGGTTCGTGTGATCTTGAAGAAGCAGAAGAATCAGTACACGCAGCTGAGGGCTCATCAACGTCATCAGGGTATTATTAAGCTAACAACATCACACACAGTACAAAATTTACTAAATATTTTACAAAATCTTACAATTGAAATGCGTGACAATTAATGTAAACATAAGTTTCACAAAAAAAAATTAAATAGAAATTAAAAATTAAAAAAGAAAATTCTCGAAATCACACTTAATCTACCTTAAAATTTATTTATACAATCAAAACAACACGACTTTGGGTATTTTAAAAACAACCGTTAACCTTAAAACAATTACACAAAAATCACCGAATAAAAATAACACAAAACGTACTCACAGTATGCGGCCTCGACACCAACCACCTTTCTTGTCAACGTCCGAGCGACAACAGAGCCCGTGGCAGACTGAGGCCTTTCTTTTATAGAAGGCGGGTGGGGATCGAAACCACCCACTATGATTTCAACTTATATTTTTTTATTTATTTAGTTCTTAAGCTTAAAACATCACACACAGTACAAAATTTACTAATTATTTTACAAAATCTTACAATTGAAATGCGTGACAATTAATGTAAACATAAGTTTCACAAAAAAATTTTAAATAGAAATTAAAAATTAAAGAAAAAAATACAATTAAAATACTTACATCCATGCTTATATGGCCTCTCCTGACCGTGCACCGTCCTCGGATGCACTGGTGATCTCTTCTTCAGAAGAACGGCATCTTGCTCGCCATAGTCACCAATATGTGGTTCGTGTGATCTTGAAGAAGCAGAAGAATCAGTACACGCAGCTGAGGGCTCATCAACGTCATCAGGGTATTATTAAGCTAACAACATCACACACAGTACAAAATTTACTAAATATTTTACAAAATCTTACAATTGAAATGCGTGACAATTAATGTAAACATAAGTTTCACAAAAAAATTTTAAATAGAAATTAAAAATTAAAGAAAAAAAATACAATTAAAATACTTACATACATGCTTATATGGCCTCTCCTGACCGTGCACCGTCCTCGGATGCACTGGTGATCTCTTCTTCAGAAGAACGGCATCTTGCTCGCCATAGTCACCAATATGTGGTTCGTGTGATCTTGAAGAAGCAGAAGAATCAGTACACGCAGCTGAGGGCTCATCAACGTCATCAGGGTATTATTAAGCTAACAACATCACACACAGTACAAAATTTACTAAATATTTTACAAAATCTTACAATTGAAATGCGTGACAATTAATGTAAACATAAGTTTCACAAAAAAAAATTAAATAGAAATTAAAAATTAAAAAAGAAAATTCTCGAAATCACACTTAATCTACCTTAAAATTTATTTATACAATCAAAACAACACGACTTTGGGTATTTTAAAAACAACCGTTAACCTTAAAACAATTACACAAAAATCACCGAATAAAAATAACACAAAACGTACTCACAGTATGCGGCCTCGACACCAACCACCTTTCTTGTCAACGTCCGAGCGACAACAGAGCCCGTGGCAGACTGAGGCCTTTCTTTTATAGAAGGCGGGTGGGGATCGAAACCACCCACTATGATTTCAACTTATATTTTTTTATTTATTTAGTTCTTAAGCTTAAAACATCACACACAGTACAAAATCTACTAATTATTTTACGAAATCTTACATCTGAAATGTGTGACAATTAATGTAAACATAAGTTTCACAAAAAAAATTTAAATAGAAATTAAAAATTAAAGAAAAAAAATACAATTAAAATACTTACATACATGCTTATACGGCCTCTCCTGACCGTGCACCGTCCTCGGATGCACTGGTGATCTCTTCTTCAGGAGAACGGCATCTTGCTCGCCATAGTCACCAATATGTGGTTCGTGTGATCTTGAAGAAGCAGAAGAATCAGTACACGCAGCTGAGGGCTCATCAACGTCATCAGGGTATTATTAAGCTAACAACATCACACACAGTACAAAATCTACTAATTATTTTACGAAATCTTACATCTGAAATGTGTGACACTTAATGTAAACATAAGTTTCACAAAAAAATTTAAATAGAAATTAAAAATTAAAAAAAAAAATACAATTAAAATACTTACATACATGCTTATACGGCCTCTCCTGACCGTGCACCGTCCTCGGATGCACTGGTGATCTCTTCTTCAGGAGAACGGCATCTTGCTCGCCATAGTCACCAATATGTGGTTCGTGTGTTCTTGAGGAAGCAGAAGGATCAGTACACGCAGCTGAAGGCTCACCAACATCATCGGGGTATTCGTCATCGCAATCTGTGCAAAAGTTATCCTGTTAGTTAATCTCGACGACATTTCGTTAGTGCTTAGTCTTTCATACATCACGCATCCAAGGCCCTCATACAAAATCACACTACCACAACTATAGTTAAAACCTTTCACTTTCAAAAGTAATGCATACATCATCTCACAAAACATCTCACACATTCTCATACTTGAACTTGTACAAGTTCCCACGTTAGTAACGTGAACCAGGACTGCGCCTGATGTGTTCAAAGAACACATCTTCCGGGACAGTGCCCGCCACGCGCACAGGATGCACGTATGCCGAGGCCCGCTTCTCAAGGTTGCTGGCCTCATGAACACAGAATGACCGCACCACATTGGCAGTTTGTTTCAACCAGCAAGACACACACTAGCCTGTAAACATAAGTTTCACAAAAAAATTTAAATAGAAATTAAAAATTAAAGTAAAAAATACAATTAAAATACTTACATACATGCTTATACGGCCTCTCCTGACCGTGCACCGTCCTCGGATGCACTAGTGATCTCTTCTTCAGGAGAACGGCATCTTGCTCGCCATAGTCACCAATATGTGGTTCGTGTGATCTTGAAGAAGCAGAAGAATCAGTACACGCAGCTGAGGGCTCACCAACGTCATCAGGGTATTATTAAGCTTACAACATCACACACAGTACAAAATTTACTAATTATTTTACAAAATCTTACAATTGAAATGCGTGACAATTAATGTAAACATAAGTTTCACAAAAAAAATTTAAATAGAAATTAAAAATTAAAGAAAAAAAATACAATTAAAATACTTACATACATGCTTATACGGCCTCTCCTGACCGTGCACCGTCCTCGGATGCACAGGTGATCTCTTCTTCAGGTGAACGGCATCTTGCTCGCCATAGTCACCAATATGTGGTTCGTGTGTTCTTGAGGAAGCAGAAGGATCAGTACACGCAGCTGAGAGCTCACCAACGTCATCAGGGTATTATTAAGCTAACAACATCACACACAGTACAAAATTTACTAAATATTTTACAAAATCTTACAATTGAAATGCGTGACAATTAATGTAAACAAGTTTCACAAAAAAAAATTAAATAGAAATTAAAAATTAAAAAGAAAATCTTGAAATCACACTTAATCTATCTTAAAATTTACTTATACAATCAAAACAACACGACTTTGGGTATTTTAAAAACAACCGTTAACCTTAAAACAATTACACAAAAATCACCGAATAAAAATAACACAAAACGTACTCACAGTATGCGGCCTCGACACCAACCACCTTTCTTGTCAACGTCCGAGCGACAACAGAGCCCGTGGCAGACTGAGGCCTTTCTTTTATAGAAGGCGGGTGGGGATCGAAACCACCCACTATGATTTCAACTTATATTGTTTTATTTATTTAGTTATTAAGCTTAAAACATCACACACAGTACAAAATCTACTAATTATTTTACGAAATCTTACATCTGAAATGTGTGACAATTAATGTAAACATAAGTTTCACAAAAAAAATTTAAATAGAAATTAAAAATTAAAGAAAAAAATACAATTAAAATACTTACATACATGCTTATACGGCCTCTCCTGACCGTGCACCGTCCTCGGATGCACTGGTGATCTCTTCTTCAGGAGAACGGCATCTTGCTCGCCATAGTCACCAATATGTGGTTCGTGTGTTCTTGAGGAAGCAGAAGGATCAGTACACGCAGCTGAAGGCTCACCAACATCATCGGGGTATTCGTCATCGCAATCTGTGCAAAAGTTATCCTGTTAGTTAATCTCGACGACATTTCGTTAGTGCTTAGTCTTTCATACATCACGCATCCAAGGCCCTCATACAAAATCACACTACCACAACTATAGTTAAAACCTTTCACTTTCAAAAGTAATGCATACATCATCTCACAAAACATCTCACACATTCTCATACTTGAACTTGTACAAGTTCCCACGTTAGTAACGTGAACCAGGACTGCGCCTGATGTGTTCAAAGAACACATCTTCCGGGACAGTGCCCGCCACGCGCACAGGATGCACGTATGCCGAGGCCCGCTTCTCAAGGTTGCTGGCCTCATGAACACAGAATGACCGCACCACATTGGCAGTTTGTTTCAACCAGCAAGACACACACTAGCCTGTAAACATAAGTTTCACAAAAAAAATTTAAATAGAAATTAAAAATTAAAGAAAAAAAATACAATTAAAATACTTACATACATGCTTATACGGCCTCTCCTGACCGTGCACCGTCCTCGGATGCACTAGTGATCTCTTCTTCAGGAGAACGGCATCTTGCTCGCCATAGTCACCAATATGTGGTTCGTGTGATCTTGAAGAAGCAGAAGAATCAGTACACGCAGCTGAGGGCTCACCAACGTCATCAGGGTATTATTAAGCTTACAACATCACACACAGTACAAAATTTACTAATTATTTTACAAAATCTTACAATTGAAATGCGTGACAATTAATGTAAACATAAGTTTCACAAAAAAAATTTAAATAGAAATTAAAAATTAAAGAAAAAAAATACAATTAAAATACTTACATACATGCTTATACGGCCTCTCCTGACCGAGCACCGTCCTCGGATGCACTGGTGATCTCTTCTTCAGGAGAACGGCATCTTGCTCGCCATAGTCACCAATATGTGGTTCGTGTGATCTTGAAGAAGCAGAAGAATCAGTACACGCAGCTGAGGGCTCATCAACGTCATCAGGGTATTATTAAGCTAACAACATCACACACAGTACAAAATTTACTAAATATTTTACAAAATCTTACAATTGAAATGCGTGACAATTAATGTAAACATAAGTTTCACAAAAAAAAATTAAATAGAAATTAAAAATTAAAAAAGAAAATTCTCGAAATCACACTTAATCTACCTTAAAATTTATTTATACAATCAAAACAACGACTTTGGGTATTTTAAAAACAACCGTTAACCTTAAAACAATTACACAAAAATCACCGAATAAAAATAACACAAAACGTACTCACAGTATGCGGCCTCGACACCAACCATCTTTCTTGTCAACGTCCGAGCGACAACAGAGCCCGAAGCAGACTGAGGCCTTTCTTTTATAGAAGGCGGGTGGGGATCGAAACCACCCACTATGATTTCAACTTATATTTTTTATTTATTTAGTTCTTAAGCTTAAAACATCACACACAGTACAAAATCTACTAATTATTTTACGAAATCTCACATCTGAAATGTGTGACAATTAATGTAAACATAAGTTTCACAAAAAAAATTTAAATAGAAATTAAACATTAAAGAAAAAAAATACAATTAAAATACTTACATACATGCTTATACGGCCTCTCCTGACCGTGCACCGTCCTCGGATGCACTGGTGATCTCTTCTTCAGGAGAACGGCATCTTGCTCGCCATAGTCACCAATATGTGGTTCGTGTGATCTTGAAGAAGCAGAAGGATCAGTACACGCAGCTGAAGGCTCACCAACGTCATCGGGGTATTCGTCATCGCAATCTGTGCAAAAGTTATCCTGTTAGTTAATCACGACGACATTTCGTTAGTGCCTAGTCTATCATACATCAAGCATCCAAGGCCCTCATACAAAATCACACTACCACAACTTTAGTTAAAAGACCACTTTCAAAAGTATGCATACATCATCACACAAAAAATCTCGCACATTCTCATACTTGCACTTGTACAAGTTCCCACGTTAGTAACGTGAACCAGGACTGCGTCTGATTTGTTCAAAGAACACATCTTCCGGGACAGCGCGGCGCCCGCCACGCGCACAGGATGCACGTCTGCCGAGGCCCGCTTCTCAAGGTTGCTAGCCTCAGGAACACACAATGACCGCACTACATTGGCAGTCCGTTTCAACCAGCAAGGCACACACTAGCCTGTAAACATAATTTAACAAAAAAAATTTAATTAGAAATTAAAAATTAAAGAAAAAAATACAATTAAAATACTTACATACATGCATATACGGCCTCTCTTGACCGTGCACAGTCCTCGGATGCACTGGTGATCTCTTCTTCAGGAGACCGGCATCTTGCTCGCCATAGTCACCAATATGTGGTTCGTGTATTCTTGAAGAAGCAGAAGGATCAGTACACGCAGCTGAAGGCTCACCAACGTCATCGGGGTATTCGTCATCGCAATCTGTGCAAAAGTTATCCTGTTAGTTAATCACGACGACATTTCGTTAGTGCCTAGTCTATCATACATCACGCATCCAAGGCCCTCATACAAAATCACACTACCACAACTTTAGTTAAAAGACCACTTTCAAAAGTATGCATACATCATCACACAAAAAATCTCGCACATTCTCATACTTGCACTTGTACAAGTTCCCACGTTAGTAACGTGAACCAGGACTGTGTCTGATTTGTTCAAAGAACACATCTTCCGGGACAGCGCGGCGCCCGCCACGCGCACAGGATGCACGTCTGCCGAGGCCCGCTTCTCAAGGTTGCTAGCCTCAGGAACACACAATGACCGCACTACATTGGCAGTCCGTTTCAACCAGCAAGGCACACACTAGCCTGTAAACATAATTTAACAAAAAAAATTTAATTAGAAATTAAAAATTAAAGAAAAAAATACAATTAAAATACTTACATACATGCTTATACGGCCTCTCCTGACCGAGCACCGTCCTCGGATGCACTGGTGATCTCTACTTCAGGAGAACGGCATCTTGCTCGCCATAGTCACCAATATGTGGTTCGTGTGATCTTGAAGAAGCAGAAGAATCAGTACACGCAGCTGAGGGCTCACCAACGTCATCAGGGTATTATTAAGCTTACAACATCACACACAGTACAAAATTTACTAAATATTTTACAAAATCTTACAATTGAAATGCGTGACAATTAATGTAAACATAAGTTTCACAAAAAAAATTTAAATAGAAATTAAAAATTAAAAAAAAATCTTGAAATCACACTTAATCTATCTTAAAATTTACTTATACAATCAAAACAACACGACTTTGGGTATTTTAAAAACAACCGTTAACCTTAAAACAATTACACAAAAATCACCGAATAAAAATAACACAAAACGTACTCACAGTATGCGGCCTCGACACCAACCACCTTTCTTGTCAACGTCCGAGCGACAACAGAGCCCGTGGCAGACTGAGGCCTTTCTTTTATAGAAGGCGGGTGGGGATCGAAACCACCCACTATGATTTCAACTTATATTTTTTTATTTATTTAGTTCTTAAGCTTAAAACATCACACACAGTACAAAATCTACTAATTATTTTACGAAATCTTACATCTGAAATGTGTGACAATTAATGTAAACATAAGTTTCACAAAAAAAATTTAAATAGAAATTAAAAATTAAAGAAAAAAAATACAATTAAAATACTTACATACATGCTTATACGGCCTCTCCTGACCGTGCACCGTCCTCGGATGCACTGGTGATCTCTTCTTCAGGAGAACGGCATCTTGCTCGCCATAGTCACCAATATGTGGTTCGTGTGTTCTTGAGGAAGCAGAAGGATCAGTACACGCAGCTGAAGGCTCACCAACATCATCGGGGTATTCGTCATCGCAATCTGTGCAAAAGTTATCCTGTTAGTTAATCTCGACGACATTTCGTTAGTGCTTAGTCTTTCATACATCACGCATCCAAGGCCCTCATACAAAATCACACTACCACAACTATAGTTAAAACCTTTCACTTTCAAAAGTAATGCATACATCATCTCACAAAACATCTCACACATTCTCATACTTGAACTTGTACAAGTTCCCACGTTAGTAACGTGAACCAGGACTGCGCCTGATGTGTTCAAAGAACACATCTTCCGGGACAGTGCCCGCCACGCGCACAGGATGCACGTATGCCGAGGCCCGCTTCTCAAGGTTGCTGGCCTCATGAACACAGAATGACCGCACCACATTGGCAGTTTGTTTCAACCAGCAAGACACACACTAGCCTGTAAACATAAGTTTCACAAAAAAATTTAAATAGAAATTAAAAATTAAAGAAAAAAAATACAATTAAAATACTTACATACATGCTTATACGGCCTCTCCTGACCGTGCACCGTCCTCGGATGCACTAGTGATCTCTTCTTCAGGAGAACGGCATCTTGCTCGCCATAGTCACCAATATGTGGTTCGTGTGATCTTGAAGAAGCAGAAGAATCAGTACACGCAGCTGAGGGCTCACCAACGTCATCAGGGTATTATTAAGCTTACAACATCACACACAGTACAAAATTTACTAATTATTTTACAAAATCTTACAATTGAAATGCGTGACAATTAATGTAAACATAAGTTTCACAAAAAAATTTAAATAGAAATTAAAAATTAAAGAAAAAAAATACAATTAAAATACTTACATACATGCTTATACGGCCTCTCCTGACCGAGCACCGTCCTCGGATGCACTGGTGATCTCTTCTTCAGGAGAACGGCATCTTGCTCGCCATAGTCACCAATATGTGGTTCGTGTGATCTTGAAGAAGCAGAAGAATCAGTACACGCAGCTGAGGGCTCATCAACGTCATCAGGGTATTATTAAGCTAACAACATCACACACAGTACAAAATTTACTAAATATTTTACAAAATCTTACAATTGAAATGCGTGACAATTAATGTAAACATAAGTTTCACAAAAAAAAATTAAATAGAAATTAAAAATTAAAAAAGAAAATTCTCGAAATTACACTTAATCTACCTTAAAATTTATTTATACAATCAAAACAACGACTTTGGGTATTTTAAAAACAACCGTTAACCTTAAAACAATTACACAAAAATCACCGAATAAAAATAACACAAAACGTACTCACAGTATGCGGCCTCGACACCAACCATCTTTCTTGTCAACGTCCGAGCGACAACAGAGCCCGAAGCAGACTGAGGCCTTTCTTTTATAGAAGGCGGGTGGGGATCGAAACCACCCACTATGATTTCAACTTATATTTTTTTATTTATTTAGTTCTTAAGCTTAAAACATCACACACAGTACAAAATCTACTAATTATTTTACGAAATCTCACATCTGAAATGTGTGACAATTAATGTAAACATAAGTTTCACAAAAAAAATTTAAATAGAAATTAAACATTAAAGAAAAAAAATACAATTAAAATACTTACATACATGCTTATACGGCCTCTCCTGACCGTGCACCGTCCTCGGATGCACTGGTGATCTCTTCTTCAGGAGAACGGCATCTTGCTCGCCATAGTCACCAATATGTGGTTCGTGTGATCTTGAAGAAGCAGAAGGATCAGTACACGCAGCTGAAGGCTCACCAACGTCATCGGGGTATTCGTCATCGCAATCTGTGCAAAAGTTATCCTGTTAGTTAATCACGACGACATTTCGTTAGTGCCTAGTCTATCATACATCACGCATCCAAGGCCCTCATACAAAATCACACTACCACAACTTTAGTTAAAAGACCACTTTCAAAAGTATGCATACATCATCACACAAAAAATCTCGCACATTCTCATACTTGCACTTGTACAAGTTCCCACGTTAGTAACGTGAACCAGGACTGCGCCTGATGTGTTCAAAGAACACATCTTCCGGGACAGTGCCCGCCACGCGCACAGGATGCACGTATGCCGAGGCCCGCTTCTCAAGGTTGCTGGCCTCATGAACACAGAATGACCGCACCACATTGGCAGTTTGTTTCAACCAGCAAGACACACACTAGCCTGTAAACATAAGTTTCACAAAAAAAATTTAAATAGAAATTAAAAATTAAAGAAAAAAATACAATTAAAATACTTACATACATGCTTATACGGCCTCTCTTGACCGTGCACAGTCCTCGGATGCACTGGTGATCTCTTCTTCAGGAGACCGGCATCTTGCTCGCCATAGTCACCAATATGTGGTTCGTGTATTCTTGAAGAAGCAGAAGGATCAGTACACGCAGCTGAAGGCTCACCAACGTCATCGGGGTATTCGTCATCGCAATCTGTGCAAAAGTTATCCTGTTAGTTAATCTCGACGACATTTCGTTAGTGCCTAGTCTATCATACATCACGCATCCAAGGCCCTCATACAAAATCACACTACCACAACTTTAGTTAAAAGACCACTTTCAAAAGTATGCATACATCATTACACAAAAAATCTCGCACATTCTCATACTTGAACTTGTACAAATTCCCACGTTAGTAACGTGAACCAGGACTGCGCCTGATGTGTTCAGAGAACATATCTTCCGGGTCAGCGCCCGCTACGCGCACAGGATGCACGTCTGCCAAGGCCCACTTCTCAAGTCTGTTGGCCTCAGGAACAAACCATGACCGCACTACATTGGAAGTCAGTTTCAACCAGCAAGGCACACACTAGCCTGTAAAAAAAAGTTTCACAAAAAAAATTTAAATATAAATTATTAGTTTAAAAAAAAATACAATTAAAATACTTACATAGATACTTATACGGCCTCTCCAGACCGTGCACCGTCCTTGGATGCACTGGTAATCTCTTCATCGGGAGAACGGCATCTTGCTCGCCATGGTCACCAATATGTGGTTCGTGTGTTATTGAGGAAGCAGAAGGATCAGTACACGCTGTTGAAGGCTCACCAACTTCATCGGGGTATTTGTCATCTCAATCTGTGCAAAAGTTATCCTGTTAGTTGATCACGACGACATTTCGTTAGTGCCTAGTCTATCATACATCACGCATCCAAGACCCTCATACAAAATCACACTACCACAACTTTAGTTAAAACCTTTCACTTTCAAAAGTATGCATACATCATCTCACAAAAAATCTCGCACATTCTCATACTTGAACTTGTACAAGTTCCCACGTTAGTAAAGTGAACCAGGACTGCGTCTGATGTGTTCAAAGAACACATCTTCCGGGATAGCGCCCGCCACGCGCACAGGATGCACGTCTGCCAAGGCCCGCTTCTCAAGGTTGCTGGCCTCAGGAACACACCATGACCGCACTACATTGGCAGTCAGTTTCAACCAGCAAGGCACACACTAGCCTGTAAACATAATTTAACAAAAAAAATTAAAAATATAATTTAAAAATTAAAGAAAAAAATACAATTAAAATACTTACATACATGCTTATACGGCCTCTCTTGACCTTGCACAGTCCTCGGATGCACTGGTGATCTCTTCTTCAGGAGACCGGCATCTTGCTCGCCATAGTCACCAATATGTGGTTCGTGTATTCTTGAAGAAGCAGAAGGATCAGTACACGCAGCTGAAGGCTCACCAACGTCATCGGGGTATTCGTCATCGCAATCTGTGCAAAAGTTATCCTGTTAGTTAACCACGACGACATTTCGTTAGTGCCTAGTCTATCATATATCACGCATCCAAGGCCCTCATACAAAATCACACTACCACAACTTTAGTTAAAAGACCACTTTCAAAAGTATGCATACATCATCACACAAAAAATCTCGCACATTCTCATACTTGCACTTGTACAAGTTCCCACGTTAGTAACGTGAACCAGGACTGCGTCTGATTTGTTCAAAGAACACATCTTCCGGGACAGCGCGGCGCCCGCCACGCGCACAGGATGCACGTCTGCCGAGGCCCGCTTCTCAAGGTTGCTAGCCTCAGGAACACACAATGACCGCACTACATTGGCAGTCCGTTTCAACCAGCAAGGCACACACTAGCCTGTAAACATAATTTAACAAAAAAAATTAATTAGAAATTAAAAATTAAAGAAAAAAATACAATTAAAATACTTACATACATGCATATACGGCCTCTCTTGACCGTGCACAGTCCTCGGATGCACTGGTGATCTCTTCTTCAGGAGACCGGCATCTTGCTCGCCATAGTCACCAATATGTGGTTCGTGTATTCTTGAAGAAGCAGAAGGATCAGTACACGCAGCTGAAGGCTCACCAACGTCATCGGGGTATTCGTCATCGCAATCTGTGCAAAAGTTATCCTGTTAGTTAATCACGACGACATTTCGTTAGTGCCTAGTCTATCATACATCACGCATCCAAGGCCCTCATACAAAATCACACTACCACAACTTTAGTTAAAAGACCACTTTCAAAAGTATGCATACATCATTACACAAAAAATCTCGCACATTCTCATACTTGCACTTGTACAAGTTCCCACGTTAGTAACGTGAACCAGGACTGCGTCTGATTTGTTCAAAGAACACATCTTCCGGGACAGCGCGGCGCCCGCCACGCGCACAGGATGCACGTCTGCCGAGGCCCGCTTCTCAAGGTTGCTAGCCTCAGGAACACACCATGACCGCACTACATTGGCAGTCCGTTTCAACCAGCAAGGCACACACTAGCCTGTAAACATAAGTTTCACAAAAAAAAATTTAATTAGAAATTAATAGTTAAAAAAAAAATACAATTAAAATACTTACATACATACTTATACGGCCTCTCCTGACCGTGCACCGTCCTCGGATGCACTGGTGATCTCTTCTTCGGGAGAACGGCATCTTGCTCGCCATGGTCACCAATATGTGGTTCGTGTGTTCTTGAGGAAGCTGAAGGATCAGTACACGCAGCTGAAGGCTCACCAACCTCATCGGGGTATTCGTCATCGCAATCTGTGCAAAATTAATCCTGTTAGTTAATCACGACGACATTTCGTTAGTGCCTAGTCTATCATACATCACGCATCCAAGGCCCTCATACAAAATCACACTACCACAACTTTAGTTAAAACACTTCACTTTCAAAAGTATGCATACATCATCTCACAAAAATCTTGCACATTCTCATACTTGAACTTGTACAAGTTCCCACGTTAGTAACGTGAACCAGGACTGCGTCTGATGTGTTCAAAGAACACATCTCCGCTCCTCCACATCCTGCCCGCTACGCGCACAGGATGCACGTCTGCCGAAGCCCGCTTCTCAAGGTTGCAGGCCTCAGGAACACACCATGACCGCACTACATTGGCAGTCCGTTTCAACCAGCAAGGCACACACTAGCCTGTAAACATAAGTTTCACAAAAAAAATTTAAATAGAAATTAATAGTTAAAAAAAATACAATTTAAATACTTACATACGTACTTATACGGCCTCTCCTGACCGTGCACCGTCCTCGGATGCACTGGTGATCTCTTCTTCGGGAGATCGGCATCTTGCTCGCCATGGTCACCAATATGTGGTTCGTGTGTTCTTGAGGAAGCTGAAGGATCAGTACACGCAGCTGAAGGCTCACCAACGTCATCAGGGTATTCGTCATCGCAATCTGTGTCCGAGCGTCCGAGCAGCAACAGAGCCTGTGGCACACTGAGGCCTTGTTGTTTTGATAGTATACTGCTCAAAACAATTAGCGGAACAAGATTTTTCTCCTTTCTATAGCTTAAACTAAAATTAGATTTTAATTAACTTGTACGCTATTTTTTACCTTGTTAATTTGATAATTACTACAATGAATAAAAAAATTCAATTTGTATTTTTTTTTTTAAAAAAAATTAAAATGTGCATTGTAGACGAGAAACTAATTGGTGATGAAAAAGGTCCATCAAAGAAATATTCTTATATCGTTTGAATATTCGTCTTTAGTGACTTTCAGTAACGTGTGTGGCCTCCATGAGCCCTAATCACGGCTTGACAACGACGCGGCATGCTTCGTATGATCCTCCGAATATCTTCTTGTGGAATTCGCTCCCATTCTTCAATCAACGCTTCAGTGAGCTGCTGCAGTGTTTGAGGTTCAATCGGACGCTTCCGGATGGCCTGTCAAGCAAGTCCCAAATGTGTTCAATTGGATTTAGGTCAGGGCTCATGGAAGGCCACTCCATTACACGGATTTCCTGCTGTCGTAAGTAATCTGACGTGATGGCTGCAGTATGCGGCCTGGCATTATCTTGCATTAAAAGAAAATCTGGGCCCATACCATATGCTGCGGGCCAAACATAATCTTCGAGCACATTTTCAATGTAAGTTTGAGGACACAAGCGCCCGGGAACAACGACGAGATCTGTGCGCTCGTCCAAACTAACTCCGCTCCAAACCATCACAGAGCCACATCCAAATTTGTCATATTCCTGGACTGCTGCTGCACTGTATCGCTCGCCTGGGCGTCTGTTAAAACGGAGACGACCATCGCAACGTGTTAGACGGAATCGTGATTCGTCAGTAAAAAGCACTGGCCTCCAATGTCGAAGTTGCCAATTAGCGTGATTTTGCGCGAACTGTCGGCGAGCTTGTCTATGTTGAATTGTTAGACGCACAGCCCGAACTGGTCGGCGTGATCTCAAATTGGCTTCCAACAACCTATTTCTTACTGTCTGTTCGGAAATTTCTACACCAGTAGCCGTCCTTAGTGTATTTTGTAGATCTCTTGCAGTTGTGTTGTGGTGCGGTTACGTAAAGCACAGTTGACGATGTAGCGATCTTGCAAACGTGTAGTTTTTCTCTTTCGACCTTGACCACGCCTTCGTGAGTATTCTCCCGTCTCACGGTATCGCTTCCAAAGTCTGTAGATAACAGAAGGGGCTACTCCTAGATCATTTCCTACATAACGCATAGTTCGACCCTCTTCAAGCAAAGCGATAGCTCGGGAGACATGCAATTCAGTCAGATCTGGCATTATGACCTAAACTCACTCGCTTCAATGAATAACAATACTCAAAAGGCTCACTTCAATTTCTATTAATACTCAAAAGATTGAAAAAAAAACTACTTAAAATGTGTTTTCTGTGATTAGAAAGTAATGAAAATTCAAAGACGTCACTTTGTTTTTCGTCTACAATGCACATTTTAATTTTTTTTAATAAAAAAAAATACAAATTGAATTTTTTTATTAATTGTAGTAATTAACAAATTAACAAGGTAAAAATAGCGTACAAGTTAATTTAAATCTAATTTTAGTTTAAGCAATAGAAAGGAGAAAAATCTTGTTCCGCTAATTGTTCTGAAAAGTATACTATCAAAACAACACGACTTTGAGTATTTTAAAATCAACCGTTAACCTTAAAAAAATTACACAAAAATCACCGAATAAAATTACACAAAATGTACTCACAGTATGCGGCGTCGACACCAACCACCTTTCTTGTCAACGTCCGAGCAGCAACAGAGCCCGTGGCACACTGAGGCCTTTCTTTTATAGAAGGCGGGTGGGGATCGAAACCACCCACTATGATTTCTGCTTATATTTTTTTATTTATTTAGTTATTAAGCTTAAAACATCACACACAGTACAAAATCTACTAATTATTTTACAAAATCTTACATCTGAAATGTGTGACAATTAATATAAACATAAGTTTCACAAAAAAAATTAAAATAGAAATTAAAAATTTAAAAAAAAATATACAATTAAAATACTTACATACATACTTATACGGCCTCTCCTGACCGTGCACCGTCCTCAGATGCACTGGTGATCTCTTCTTCGGGAGAACGGCATCTTGCTCGCCATGGTCACCAATATGTGGTTCGTGTGTTCTTGAGGAAGATGAAGGATCAGTACACGCAGCTGAAGGCTCACCAACGTCATCAGGGTATTCGTCATCGCAATCAGGAACTGGCCTCAGGAACACAGAATGACCGGACCACATTGGCAGTCCGTTTCGACCAGCAAGGCAGACACTTGCCTCACACCACACGCAAGCCAACATATCACGCGCGCATCCTTAACATAAGGAAGTAACACATTAGAAACAGCTTTTGACGGCTACCTTTAATATGAGAGCGAGGTGACGGCATCCTAATTGACCGTTCACGGGAAGCACGTGGCAACTTTTTCTAAAATTAACGGTTGTTTAAAAGGCTTAATTGTGAACGAAATCCTATCCCACTTCTGATTTTAGCAACCAGAAGGGATAATCAAATAAAAAAAAAACAATTTAAAAAACCTACGAAGTGATTTAACCAAAATTAACTTCATTAAAGAACAAATCACGGTATTCTCGAAATCACACTAAATCTACCTTAAAATTTACTTATACTATCAAAACAACACGACTTTGAGTATTTTAAAATCAACCGTTAACCTTAAAAAAATTACACAAAAATCACCGAATAAAATTACACAAAATGTACTCACAGTATGCGGCGTCGACACCAACCACCTTTCTTGTCAACGTCCGAGCAGCAACAGAGCCCGTGGCACACTGAGGCCTTTCTTTTATAGAAGGCGGGTGGGGATCGAAACCACCCACTATGATTTCTGCTTATATTTTTATATTTATTTAGTTATTAAGCTTAAAACATCACACACAGTACAAAATCTACTAATTATTTTACAAAATCTTACATCTGAAATGTGTGACAATTAATGTAAACAAGTTTCACAAAAAAAATTTTTAAAAGAAATTAACAATTAAAATACTTACATACATACTTATACGGCCTCCACTGACCGTGCACCGTCCTCGGATGCACTGGTGATCTCTTCTTCGGGAGAACGGCATCTTGCTCGCCATGGTCACCAATATGTGGTTCGTGTGTTCTTGAGGAAGCTGAAGGATCAGTACTCGCAGCTGAAGGCTCACCAACGTCATCAGGGTATTCGTCATCGCAATCAGGAACTGGCCTCAGGAACACAGAATGACCGCACCATATTGGCAGTCCGTTTCAACCAGCAAGGCAGACACTTGCCTCACACCACACGCAAGCCAACATATCACGCGCGCATCCTTAACATAAGGAAGTAACACATTAGAAACAGCTTTTGACGGCTACCTTCAATATGAGAGCGAGGTGACGGCATCCTAATTGACCGTTCACGGGAAGCACGTGGCAACTTATTCTAAAATTAACGGTTGTTTAAAAGGCTAATTTGTGAACGAAATCCTATCCCACTTCTGATTTTAGCAACCAGAAGGGATAATCAAATAATAAAAAACAATTAAAAAAAACCTACGAAGTGATTTAACCAAAAATAACTTCATTAAAGAACTAATCACGGTATTCTCAAAATCACACTAAATCTACCTTAAAATTTACTTATACTATCAAAACAACACGACTTTGAGTATTTTAAAATCAACCGTTAACCTTAAAAAAATTACACAAAAATCACCGAATAAAATTACACAAAATGTACTCACAGTATGCGGCGTCGACACCAACCACCTTTCTTGTCAACGTCCGAGCAGCAACAGAGCCCGTGGCACACTGAGGCCTTTCTTTTATAGAAGGCGGGTGGGGATCGAAACCACCCACTATGATTTCTGCTTATTTTTTATTTATTTATTTAGTTATTAAGCTTAAAACATCACACACAGTACACAATCTACTAATTATTTTACAAAATCTTACATCTGAAATGTGTGACAATTAATGTAAACATAAGTTTCACAAAAAAAATTTAAATAGAAATTAAAAATTAAAAAAAAAATACAATTAAAATACTTACATACATACTTATACGGCCTCTCCTGACCGTGCACCGTCCTCGGATGCACTGATGATCTCTTCTTCAGGAGAACGGCATCTTGCTCGCCATTGTCACCAATATGTGGTTCGTGTGTTCTTGAGGAAGCAGAAGGATCAGAACACGCAGCTGAAGGCTCACCAACCTCATCGGGGTATAGAAGGCGGGTGGGGATCGAAACCACCCACTATGATTTCTGCTTATTTTTTATTAATTTATTTAGTTATTAAGCTTAAAACATCACACACAGTACAAAATCTACTAATTATTTTACAAAATCTTACATCTGAAATGTGTGACAATTAATGTAAACATAAGTTTCACAAAAAAAATTTAAATAGAAATTAAAAAAAAAATACAATTAAAATACTTACATACATACTTATACGGCCTCTCCTGACCGTGCACCGTCCTCGGATGCACTGATGATCTCTTCTTCAGGAGAACGGCATCTTGCTCGCCATTGTCACCAATATGTGGTTCGTGTGTTCTTGAGGAAGCAGAAGGATCAGTACACGCAGCTGAAGGCTCACCAACCTCATCGGGGTATTCGTCATCGCAATCTGTGCAAAATAAATCCTGTTAGTTAATCACGACGACATTTCGTTAGTGCCTAGTCTATCATACATCACGCATCCAAGGCCCTCATACAAAATCACACTACCACAACTTTAGTTAAAACACTTCACTTTCAAAAGTATGCATACATCATCTCACAAAAAATCTTGCACATTCTCATACTTGAACTTGTACAAGTTCCCACGTTAGTAACGTGAACCAGGACTGCGTCTGATGTGTTCAAAGAACACATCTTCCGGGACAGCGCCCGCCACGCGCACAGGATGCACGTCTGCCGAAGCCCGCTTCTCAAGGTTGCTAGCCTCAGGAACACACCATGACCGCACTACATTGGCAGTCCGTTTCAACCAGCAAGGCACACACTAGCCTGTAAAAATAAGTTTCACAAAAAAAATTAAATAGAAATTAATAGTTAAAAAAAAATACAATTAAAATACTTACATACATACTTATACTAACTCTCCTGACCGTGCACCGTCCTCGGATGCACTGGTGATCTCTTCTTCGGGAGAACGGCATCTTGCTCGCCATGGTCACCAATATGTGGTTCGTGTGTTCTTGAGAAAGCTGAAGGATCAGTACACGCAGCTGAAGGCTCACCAACGTCATCAGGGTATTCGTCATCGCAATCAGGAACTGACCTCAGGAACACAGAATGACCGCACCACATTGGCAGTCCGTTTCAACCAGCAAGGCAGACACTTGCCTCACACCACACGGAAGCCAACATATCACGCGCGCATCCTTAACATAAGGAAGTAACACATTAGAAACAGCTTTTGACGGCTACCTTCAATATGAGAGCGAGGTGACGGCATCCTAATTGACCGTTCACGGGAAGCACGTGGCAACTTATTCTAAAATTAACGGTTGTTTAAAAGGCTTATTTGTGAACGAAATCCTATCCCACTTCTGATTTTAGCAACCAGAAGGGATAATCAAATAATAAAAAACAATTAAAAAAACCTACGAAGTGATTTAACCAAAAATAACTTCATTAAAGAACTAATCACGGTATTCTCAAAATCACACTAAATCTACCTTAAAATTTACTTATACTATCAAAACAACACGACTTTGAGTATTTTAAAATCAACCGTTAACCTTAAAAAAATTACACAAAAATCACCGAATAAAATTACACAAAATGTACTCACAGTATGCGGCGTCGACACCAACCACCTTTCTTGTCAACGTCCGAGCAGCAACAGAGCCCGTGGCACACTGAGGCCTTTCTTTTATAGAAGGCGGGTGGGGATCGAAACCACCCACTATGATTTCTGCTTATTTTTTATTTATTTATTTAGTTATTAAGCTTAAAACATCACACACAGTACAAAATCTACTAATTATTTTACAAAATCTTACATCTGAAATGTGTGACAATTAATGTAAACATAAGTTTCACAAAAAAAATTTAAATAGAAATTAAAAATTAAAAAAAAAATACAATTAAAATACTTACATACATACTTATACGGCCTCTCCTGACCGTGCACCGTCCTCGGATGCACTGATGATCTCTTCTTCAGGAGAACGGCATCTTGCTCGCCATTGTCACAAATATGTGGTTCGTGTGTTCTTGAGGAAGCAGAAGGATCAGAACACGCAGCTGAAGGCTCACCAACCTCATCGGGGTATAGAAGGCGGGTGGGGATCGAAACCACCCACTATGATTTCTGCTTATTTTTTATTAATTTATTTAGTTATTAAGCTTAAAACATCACACACAGTACAAAATCTACTAATTATTTTACAAAATCTTACATCTGAAATGTGTGACAATTAATGTAAACATAAATTTCACAAAAAAATTTAAATAGAAATTAAAAAAAAATACAATTAAAATACTTACATACATACTTATACGGCCTCTCCTGTTCGTGCACCGTCCTCGGATGCACTGATGATCTCTTCTTCAGGAGAACGGCATCTTGCTCGCCATTGTCACCAATATGTGGTTCGTGTGTTCTTAAGGAAGCAGAAGGATCAGAACACGCAGCTGAAGGCTCACCAACCTCATCGGGGTATAGAAGGCGGGTGGGGATCGAAACCACCCACTATGATTTCTGCTTATATTTTTTTAATTTATTTAGTTATTAAGCTTAAAACATCACACACAGTACAAAATCTACTAATTATTTTACAAAATCTTACATCTGAAATGTGTGACAATTAATGTAAACATAAATTTCACAAAAAAATTTAAATAGAAATTAAAAAAAAATACAATTAAAATACTTACATACATACTTATACGGCCTCTCCTGTTCGTGCACCGTCCTCGGATGCACTGATGATCTCTTCTTCAGGAGAACGGCATCTTGCTCGCCATTGTCACCAATATGTGGTTCGTGTGTTCTTGAGGAAGCAGAAGGATCAGTACACGCAGCTGAAGGCTCACCAACCTCATCGGGGTATTTCATCGCAATCTGTGCAAAATAAATCCTGTTAGTTAATCACGACGACATTTCGTTAGTGCCTAGTCTATCATACATCACGCATCCAAGGCCCTCATACAAAATCACACTACCACAACTTTAGTTAAAACACTTCACTTTCAAAAGTATGCATACATCATCTCACAAAAAATCTTGCACATTCTCATACTTGAACTTGTACAAGTTCCCACGTTAGTAACGTGAACCAGGACTGCGTCTGATGTGTTCAAAGAACACATCTTCCGGGACAGCGCCCGCCACGCGCACAGGATGCACGTCTGCCGAAGCCCGCTTCTCAAGGTTGCTAGCCTCAGGAACACACCATGACCGCACTACATTGGCAGTCCGTTTCAACCAGCAAGGCACACACTAGCCTGTAAACATAAGTTTCACAAAAAAAATTAAATAGAAATTAATAGTTAAAAAAAAATACAATTAAAATACTTACATACATACTTATACTAACTCTCCTGACCGTGCACCGTCCTCGGATGCACTGGTGATCTCTTCTTCGGGAGAACGGCATCTTGCTCGCCATGGTCACCAATATGTGGTTCGTGTGTTCTTGAGAAAGCTGAAGGATCAGTACACGCAGCTGAAGGCTCACCAACGTCATCAGGGTATTCGTCATCGCAATCAGGAACTGACCTCAGGAACACAGAATGACCGCACCACATTGGCAGTCCGTTTCAACCAGCAAGGCAGACACTTGCCTCACACCACACGGAAGCCAACATATCACGCGCGCATCCTTAACATAAGGAAGTAACACATTAGAAACAGCTTTTGACGGCTACCTTCAATATGAGAGCGAGGTGACGGCATCCTAATTGACCGTTCACGGGAAGCACGTGGCAACTTATTCTAAAATTAACGGTTGTTTAAAAGGCTTAATTGTGAACGAAATCCTATCCCACTTCTGATTTTAGCAACCAGAAGGGATAATCAAATAAAAAAAAACAATTTAAAAAACCTACGAAGTGATTTAACCAAAAATAACTTCATTAAAGATCAAATCACGGTATTCTCGAAATCACACTAAATCTACCTTAAAATTTACTTATACTATCAAAACAACACGACTTTGAGTATTTTAAAATCAACCGTTAACCTTAAAAAAATTACACAAAAATCACCGAATAAAATTACACAAAATGTACTCACAGTATGCGGCGTCGACACCAACCACCTTTCTTGTCAACGTCCGAGCAGCAACAGAGCCCGTGGCACACTGAGGCCTTTCTTTTATAGAAGGCGGGTGGGGATCGAAACCACCCACTATGATTTCTGCTTATATTTTTTTATTTATTTAGTTATTAAGCTTAAAACATCACACACAGTACAAAATCTACTAATTATTTTACAAAATCTTACATCTGAAATGTGTGTCAATTAATGTAAACATAAGTTTCACAAAAAAAATTTAAATAGAAATTAATAGTAAAAAAAATATACAATTAAAATACTTACATACATACTTATGCGGCCTCTCCTGACCGTGCACCGTCCTCGGATGCACTGGTGATCTCTTCTTCGGGAGAACGGCATCTTGCTCGCCATGGTCACCAATATGTGGTTCGTGTGTTCTTGAGAAAGCTGAAGGATCAGTACACGCAGCTGAAGGCTCACCAACGTCATCAGGGTATTCGTCATCGCAATCAGGAACTGACCTCAGGAACACAGAATGACCGCACCACATTGGCAGTCCGTTTCAACCAGCAAGGCAGACACTTGCCTCACACCACACGCAAGCCAACATATCACGCGCGCATCCTTAACATAAGGAAGTAACACATTAGAAACAGCTTTTGACGGCTACCTTCAATATGAGAGCGAGGTGACGGCATCCTAATTGACCGTTCACGGGAAGCACGTGGCAACTTATTCTAAAATTAACGGTTGTTTAAAAGGCTTAATTGTGAACGAAATCCTATCCCACTTCTGATTTTAGCAACCAGAAGGGATAATCAAATAAAAAAAAACAATTTAAAAAACCTACGAAGTGATTTAACCAAAAATAACTTCATTAAAGAACAAATCACGGTATTCTCGAAATCACACTAAATCTACCTTAAAATTTACTTATACTATCAAAACAACACGACTTTGAGTATTTTAAAATCAACCGTTAACCTTAAAAAAATTACACAAAAATCACCGAATAAAATTACACAAAATGTACTCACAGTATGCGGCGTCGACACCAACCACCTTTCTTGTCAACGTCCGAGCAGCAACAGAGCCCGTGGCACACTGAGGCCTTTCTTTTATAGAAGGCGGGTGGGGATCGAAACCACCCACTATGATTTCTGCTTATATTTTTTTATTTATTTAGTTATTAAGCTTAAAACATCACACACAGTACAAAATCTACTAATTATTTTACAAAATCTTACATCTGAAATGTGTGTCAATTAATGTAAACATAAGTTTCACAAAAAAAATTTAAATAGAAATTAATAGTAAAAAAAATATACAATTAAAATACTTACATACATACTTATGCGGCCTCTCCTGACCGTGCACCGTCCTCGGATGCACTGGTGATCTCTTCTTCGGGAGAACGGCATCTTGCTCGCCATGGTCACCAATATGTGGTTCGTGTGTTCTTGAGAAAGCTGAAGGATCAGTACACGCAGCTGAAGGCTCACCAACGTCATCAGGGTATTCGTCATCGCAATCAGGAACTGGCCTCAGGAACACAGAATGACCGTACCACATTGGCAGTCCGTTTCAACCAGCAAGGCAGACACTTGCCTCACACCACACGCAAGCTAACATATCACGCGCGCATCCTTAACATAAGGAAGTAACACATTAGAAACAGCTTTTGACGGCTACCTTCAATATGAGTGCGAGGTGACTGCATCCTAATTGACCGTTCACGGGAAGCACGTGGCAACATATTCTAAAATTAACGGTTGTTTAAAAGGCTTATTGTGAACGAAATCCTATCCCACTTCTGATTTTAGCAACCAGAAGGGATAATCAAATAAAAAAAAAAACAATTCAAAAAAACCTACGAGGTGATTTAACCAAAAATAACTTCATTAAAGAACTAATCACGGTATTCTCAAAATCACACTAAATCTACCTTAAAATTTACTTATATACTGCTCAAAACAATTAGCGGAACAAGATTTTTCTCCTTTCTATTGCTTAAACTAAAATTAGATTTAAATTAACTTGTACGCTATTTTTTACCTTGTTAATTTGATAATAATTACTACAATTAATAAAAAAATTCAATTTGTATTTTTTTTTATTAAAAAAAAATTAAAATGTGCATTGTAGACGAGAAACTAATTGGTGATAAAAAAGGTCCATCAAAGAAATATTCTTATATCGTTTGAATATTCGTCTTTAGTGACTTTCAGTAACGTGTGTGGCCTACATGAGCCCTAATCACGGCTTGACAACGACGCGGCATGCTTCGTATGATCCTCCGAATATCTTCTTGTGGAATTCGCTCCCATTCTTCAATCAACGCTTCAGTGAGCTGCTGCAGTGTTTGAGGTGCAATCGGACGCTTCCGGATGCGCCTGTCAAGCAAGTCCCAAATGTGTTCAATTGGATTTAGGTCAGGGCTCATGGAAGGCCACTCCATTACACGGATTTCCTGCTGTCGTAAGTAATCTGACGTGATGGCTGCAGTATGCGGCTTGGCATTATCTTGCATTAAAAGAAAATCTGGGCCCATATACCATATGCTGCGGGCCAAACATGATCTTCGAGCACATTTTCAATGTAAGTTTGAGGACACAAGCGCCCGGGAACAACGACGAGATCTGTGCGCTCGTCCAAACTAACTCCGCTCCAAACCATCACAGAGCCACATCCAAATTTGTCATATTCCTGGACTGCTGCTGCACTGTATCGCTCGCCTGGGCGTCTGTTAACACGGAGACGACCATCGCAACGTGTTAGACGGAATCGTGATTCGTCAGTAAAAAGCACTGGCCTCCAATGTCGAAGTTGCCAATTAGCGTGATTTTGCGCGAACTGTCGGCGAGCTTGTCTATGTTGAATTGTTAGACGTACAGCCCGAACTGGTCGGCGTGATCTCAAATTGGCTTCCAACAACCTATTTCTTACTGTCTGTTCGGAAATTTCTACACCAGTAGCCGTCCTTAGTGTATTTTGTAGATCTCTTGCAGTTGTGGTGCGGTTACGTAAAGCACAGTTGACGATGTAGCGATCTTGCAAACGTGTAGTTTTTCTCTTTCGACCTTGACCTCGCCTTTGTGAGTATTCTCCCGTCTCACGGTATCGCTTCCAAAGTCTGTAGATAACAGAAGGGGCTACTTCTAGATCATTTCCTACATAATGCATAGTTCGACCCTCTTCAAGCAAAGCGATAGCTCGGGAGACATGCAATTCAGTCAGATCTGGCATTATGACCTAAACTCACTCGCTTCAATGAATAACAATACTCAAAAGGCTCACTTCAATTTCTATTAATACTCAAAAGATTGAAAAAAACTACTTAAAATGTGTTTTCTGTGATTAGAAAGTAATGAAAATTCAAAGACGTCACTTGGTTTTTCGTCTACAATGCACATTTTAATTTTTTTTAATAAAAAAAATACAAATTGAACTTTTTTATTAACTGTAGTAATTAACAAATTAACAAGGTAAAATATAGCGTACAAGTTAATTTAAATCTAATTTTAGTTTAAGCAATAGAAAGGAGAAAAATCTTGTTCCGCTAATTGTTTTGAGCAGTATACTATCAAAACAACACGACTTTGAGTATTTTAAAATCAACCGTTAACCTTAAAAAAATTACACAAAAATCACCGAATAAAATTATACAAAATGTACTCACAGTATGCGGCGTCGACACCAACCACCTTTCTTGTCAACGTCCGAGCAACAACAGAGCCCGTGGCACACTGAGGCCTTTCTTTTTTAGAAGGCGGGTGGGGATCGAAACCACCCACTATGATTTCTGCTTATATTTTTTTATTTATTTAGTTATTAAGCTTAAAACATCACACACAGTACAAAATCTACTAATTATTTTACAAAATCTTACATCTGAAATGTGTGACAATTAATGTAAACAAGTTTCACAAAAAAAATTTAAATAGAAATTAAAAATTAAAAAAAAAATACAATTAAAATACTTACAAACATACTTATACGGCCTCTCCTGACCGTGCACCGTCCTCGGATGCACTGGTGATCTCTTCTTCAGGAGAACGGCATCTTGCTCGCCATAGTCACCAATATGTGGTTCGTGTGTTCTTGAGGAAGCAGAAGGATCAGTACACGCAGCTGAAGGCTCACCAACCTCATCGGGGTATTCGTCATCGCAATCTGTGCAAAATAAATCCTGTTAGTTAATCACGACGACATTTCGTTAGTGCCTAGTCTATCATACATCACGCATCCAAGGCCCTCATACAAAATCACACTACCACAACTTTAGTTGAAACACTTCACTTTCAAAAGTATGCATACATCATCTCACAAAAAATCTCGCACATTCTCATACTTGAACTTGTACAAGTTCCCACGTTAGTAACGTGAACCAGGACTGCGTCTGAAGTGTTCAAAGAACACATCTTCCGGGAAAGCGCCCGCCACGCACTCAGGATGCACGTCTGCCGAGGCCCGCTTCTCAAGGTTGCTAGCCTCAGGAACACACCATGACCGCACTACATTGGCAGTCCGTTTCAACCAGCAAGGCACACACTAGCCTGTAAACATAAGTTTCACAAAAAAAAATTAAATATAAATTAATAGTAAAAAAAATACAATTAAAATACTTACATACATACTTATACGGCCTCTCCTGGCCGTGCACCGTCCTCGGATGCACTGGTGATCTCTTCTTCAGGAGAACGGCATCTTGCTCGCCATAGTCACCAATATGTGGTTCGTGTTCTTGAGGAAGCAGAAGGATCAGTACACGCAGCTGAAGGCTCACCAACCTCATCGGGGTATTCGTCATCGCAATCTGTGCAAAAGTTATCCTGTTAGTTAATCACGACGACATTTCGTTAGTTCCTAGTCTATCATACATCACGCATCCAAGGCCCTCATACAAAATCACACTACCACAACTTTAGTTAAAACACTTCACTTTCAAAAGTAATGCATACATCATCTCGCAACACATCTCACACATTCTCATACTTGAACTTGTACAAGTTCCCACGTTAGTAACGTGAACCAGGACTGCGCCTGATGTGTTCAAAGAACAAATCTTCCGGGACAGCGCCCGCCACGCGCACAGGATGCACGTCTGCCAAGGCCCGCTTCTCAAGGTTGCTGGCCTCAGGAACACACCATAACCGCACTACATTGGCAGTCAGTTTCAACCAGCAAGGCACACACTAGCCTGTAAACATAAGTTTCACAATAAAAATTTAAATAGAAATTAATAGTTAAAAACAAAATACAATTAAATTACTTACATACATACTTATACGGCCTCTCCTGACCGTGCACCGTCCTCGGATGCACTGGTGATCTCTTCTTCGGGAGAACGGCATCTTGCTCGCCATGGTCACCAATATGTGGTTCGTGTTCTTGAGGAAGCAGAAGGATCAGTACACGCAGCTGAAGGCTCACCAACCTCATAGGGGTATTCGTCATCGCAATCTGTGCAAAATAAATCCTGTTAGTTAATCACGACGACATTTCGTTAGTGCCTAGTCTATCATACATCACGCATCCAAGGCCCTCATACAAAATCACACTACCACAACTTTAGTTAAAACACTTCACTTTCAAAAGTATGCATACATCATCTCACAAAAAATCTCGCACATTCTCATACTTGAACTTGTACAAGTTCCCACGTTAGTAACGTGAACCAGGACTGCGTCTGATGTGTTCAAAGAACACATCTTCCGGGACAGCGCCCGCCACGCGCACAGGATGCACGTCTGCCGAAGCCCGCTTCTCAAGGTTGCTAGCCTCAGGAACACACCATGACCGCACTACATTGGCAGTCCGTTTCAACCAGCAAGGCACACACTAGCCTGTAAACATAAGTTTCACAAAAAAAATTAAATAGAAATTAATAGTTAAAAAAAAATACAATTAAATTACTTACATACATACATATACGGCCTCTCCTGACCGAGCACCGTCCTCGGATGCACTGGTGATTTCTTCGGGAGAACGGCATCTTGCTCGCCATGGTCACCAATATGTGGTTCGTGTGTTCTTGAGGAAGCTGAAGGATCAGTACACGCAGCTGAAGGCTCACCAACGTCATCAGGGTATTCGTCATCGCAATCAGGAACTGGCCTCAGGAACACAGAATGACCGTACCACATTGGCAGTCCGTTTCAACCAGCAAGGCAGACACTTGCCTCACACCACACGCAAGCTAACATATCACGCGCGCATCCTTAACAAAAGGAAGTTACACATTAGAAACGGCTTTTGACGGCTACCTTCAATATGAGAGCGAGGTGACGGCATCCTAATTGACCGTTCACGGGAAGCACGTGGCAACTTATTCTAAAATTAACGGTTGTTTAAAAGGCTAATTTGTGAACGAAATCCTATCCCACTTCTGATTTTAGCAACCAGAAGGGATAATCAAATATAAAAAACAATTAAAAAAAACCTACGAAGTGATTTAACCAAAAATAACTTCATTAAAGAACTAATCACGGTATTCTCAAAATCACACTAAATCTACCTTAAAATTTACTTATACTATCAAAACAACACGACTTTGAGTATTTTAAAATCAACCGTTAACCTTAAAAAAATTACACAAAAATCACCGAATAAAATTACACAAAATGTACTCACAGTATGCGGCGTCGACACCAACCACCTTTCTTGTCAACGTCCGAGCAGCAATAGAGCCCGTGGCACACTGAGGCCTTTCTTTTATAGAAGGCGGGTGGGGATCGAAACCACCCACTATGATTTCTGCTTATTTTTTATTTATTTATTTAGTTATTAAGCTTAAAACATCACACACAGTACAAAATCTACTAATTATTGTACAAAATCTTACATCTGAAATGTGTGACAATTAATGTAAAACATAAGTTTCACAAAAAAAAATTTAAATAGAAATTAAAGATTAAAAAAAAATACAATTAAAATACTTACATACATACTTATACGGCCTCTCCTGACCGAGCACCGTCCTCGGATGCACTGGTGATCTCTTCTTCAGGAGAACGGCATCTTGCTCGCCAAAGTCACGAATATGTGGTTCGTGAGCTCTTGAAGAAGCAGAAGGATCAGTACACGCAGCTGAAGACTCACCAACCTCATCGGGGTATTCGTCATAGCAATCTGTGCAAAATAAATCCTGTTAGTTAATCACGACGACATTTCGTTAGTGCCTAGTCTATCATACATCACGCATCCAAGGCCCTCATACAAAATCACACTACCACAACTTTAGTTAAAACACTTCACTTTCAAAAGTATGCATACATCATCTCACAAAAAATCTCGCACATTCTCATACTTGAACTTGTACAAGTTCCCACGTTAGTAACGTGAACCAGGACTGCGTCTGATGTGTTCAAAGAACACATCTTCCGGGACAGCGCCCGGCGCGCGCACAGGATGCACGTCTGCCGAAGCCCGCTTCTCAAGGTTGCTAGCCTCAGGAACACACCATGACCGCACTACATTGGCAGTCCGTTTCAACCAGCAAGGCACAAACTAGCCTGTAAACATAAGTTTCACAAAAAAAATTAAATAGAAATTAATAGTTAAAAAAAAATACAATTAAATTACTTACATACATACTTATACGGCCTCTCCTGACCGTGCACCGTCCTCGGATGCACTGGTGATCTCTTCTTCGGGAGAACGGCATCTTGCTCGCCATGGTCACCAATATGTGGTTCGTGTGTTCTTGAGGAAGCTGAAGGATCAGTACACGCAGCTGAAGGCTCACCAACGTCATCAGGGTATTCGTCATCGCAATCAGGAACTGGCCTCAGGAACACAGAATGACCGTACCACATTGGCAGTCCGTTTCAACCAGCAAGGCAGACACTTGCCTCACACCACACGCAAGCTAACATATCACGCGCGCATCCTTAACAAAAGGAAGTTACACATTAGAAACGGCTTTTGACGGCTACCTTCAATATGAGAGCGAGGTGACGGCATCCTAATTGACCGTTCACGGGAAGCACGTGCCAACTTATTCTTAAATTAACGGTTGTTTAAAAGGCTTATTTGTGAACGAAATCCTATCCCACTTCTGATTTTAGCAACCAGAAGGGATAATCAAATAAAAAAAACAATTAAAAAAAACCTACGAAGTGATTTAACCAAAAATAACTTCATTAAAGAACTAATCACGGTATTCTCAAAATCACACTAAATCTACCTTAAAATTTACTTATACTATCAAAACAACACGACTTTGAGTATTTTAAAATCAACCGTTAACCTTAAAAAAATTACACAAAAATCACCGAATAAAATTACACAAAATGTACTCACAGTATGCGGCGTCGACACCAACCACCTTTCTTGTCAACGTCCGAGCAGCAATAGAGCCCGTGGCACACTGAGGCCTTTCTTTTATAGAAGGCGGGTGGGGATCGAAACCACCCACTATGATTTCTGCTTATTTTTTATTTATTTATTTAGTTATTAAGCTTAAAACATCACACACAGTACAAAATCTACTAATTATTTTACAAAATCTTACATCTGAAATGTGTGACAATTAATGTAAACATAAGTTTCACAAAAAAAATTTAAATAGAAATTAAAGATTAAAAAAAAAATACAATTAAAATACTTACATACATACTTATACGGCCTCTCCTGACCGAGCACCGTCCTCGGATGCACTGGTGATCTCTTCTTCAGGAGAACGGCATCTTGCTCGCCAAAGTCACGAATATGTGGTTCGTGAGCTCTTGAAGAAGCAGAAGGATCAGTACACGCAGCTGAAGACTCACCAACCTCATCGGGGTATTCGTCATCGCAATCTGTGCAAAATAAATCCTGTTAGTTAATCACGACGACATTTCGTTAGTGCCTAGTCTATCATACATCACGCATCCAAGGCCCTCATACAAAATCACACTACCACAACTTTAGTTAAAACACTTCACTTTCAAAAGTATGCATACATCATCTCACAAAAAATCTCGCACATTCTCATACTTGCACTTGTACAAGTTCCCACGTTAGTAACGAGAACCAGGACTGCGTCTGATGTGTTCAAAGAACACATCTTCCGGGACAGCGCCCGCCACGCGCACAGGATGCACGTCTGCCGAGGCCCGCTTCTCAAGGTTGCTAGCCTCAGGAACACACCATGACCGCACTACATTGGCAGTCCGTTTCAACCAGCAAGGCACACACTACCCTGTTAACATAAGTTTCACAAAAAAAATTTAAATAGAAATTAATAGTTAAAAAAAAATACAATTAAAATACTTACATACATACTATACGGCCTCTCCTGACCGTGCACCGTCCTCGGATGCACTGGTGATCTCTTCTTCGGGAGTACGGCATCTTGCTCGTCATGGTCACCAATATGTGGTTCGTGTGTTCTTGAGGAAGCTGAAGGATCAGTACACGCAGCTGAAGGCTCACCAACATCATCGGGGTATTCGTCATCGCAATCTGTGCAAAAGTTATCCTGTTAGTTAATCTCGACGACATTTCGTTAGTGCTTAGTCTTTCATACATCACGCATCCAAGGCCCTCATACAAAATCACACTACCACAACTATAGTTAAAACCTTTCACTTTCAAAAGTAATGCATACATCATCTCACAAAACATCTCACACATTCTCATACTTGAACTTGTACAAGTTCCCACGTTAGTAACGTGAACCAGGACTGCGTCTGATGTGTTCAAAGAACACATCTTCCGGGACAGCGCCCGGCACGCGCACAGGATGCACGTCTGCCGAAGCCCGCTTCTCAAGGTTGCTAGCCTCAGGAACACACCATGACCGCACTACATTGGCAGTCCGTTTCAACCAGCAAGGCACAAACTAGCCTGTAAACATAAGTTTCACAAAAAAAAATTAAATAGAAATTAATAGTTAAAAAAAAAATACAATTAAATTACTTACATACATACATATACGGCCTCTCCTGACCGAGCACCGTCCTCGGATGCACTGGTGATTTCTTCGGGAGAACGGCATCTTGCTCGCCATGGTCACCAATATGTGGTTCGTGTGTTCTTGAGGAAGCTGAAGGATCAGTACACGCAGCTGAAGGCTCACCAACGTCATCAGGGTATTCGTCATCGCAATCAGGAACTGGCCTCAGGAACACAGAATGACCGTACCACATTGGCAGTCCGTTTCAACCAGCAAGGCAGACACTTGCCTCACACCACACGCAAGCTAACATATCACGCGCGCATCCTTAACAAAAGGAAGTTACACATTAGAAACGGCTTTTGACGGCTACCTTCAATATGAGAGCGAGGTGACGGCATCCTAATTGACCGTTCACGGGAAGCACGTGGCAACTTATTCTAAAATTAACGGTTGTTTAAAAGGCTAATTTGTGAACGAAATCCTATCCCACTTCTGATTTTAGCAACCAGAAGGGATAATCAAATATAAAAAAACAATTAAAAAAAACCTACGAAGTGATTTAACCCTTTAATTCGCAGTGTTGTTGCTCAACGACATAGTAAACAAAAAAAAAAAACTTACGTATCGTTTTTATTTTTAATGATTATTCATGTTCACGGCTTAGGTGAAACAGAACGCAATTTGAAAAAAATATCAAACTGTCACTTTATGCGCTCTTTCTAACATTCGTTTGCAAGATGGCATCGCAAATGTTTGCAACGTCCGGATTAAAGGTAAATATATATTTTTTTGTGAGTATTAACTGATTTAAATGATTAAGTCACACTGATTTTATAAACTAGTATACCTACTAAATGTTTTAAAGTATTAATATGATTATTTTATCTTTTCAATAACGTTTTATAGTATTCGAAATAGGTGTGTTGTTGGTGAACAACACTGCGAGACATGCAGCAAGGTACTTGATGTTTTAGACGTTGTTCACGAGCTACACTGCCCGTTTACTAGCGTAATACTCTGCAATAAGTTTTTTTTGTTTCTTGAATGTTTTAAACCTTGTATACTATATTATATAACCTTGTATGCTATATTATTGGTTATGTGTGGTGAACGGTTTAGCATGTTTATTTTTTTGCGTTGCTTTGGGTGTAGTTTGGTATGGTTTGATTTTGTTTGCTCCAGATAAAACCAAAATGGCAACGTACGAGAGCTATAATGGCGCTAGTACCACCAGAAAAGGCACCGTCGTCGGATAGCAGTGGCTCTGACGATGAGAATCTCCTTCAAAAAAGAAATTATGATGATGATGATGTAACCTATTGCAGTTCGGATCCACAGTCTTATCCCTCTTCCTTGGACCGTATGAATATTTTGACTTCCGATGACGAAGACATAGAAAACATACCATCTCCTCATGCACCAATAGTATTGTCAGATGAAGAAACCGTTCCATTGTCACCCGTAATAAACAAAATGTTTCCCAGTGGTAGGCCACAGGAGCAATTACCTCTATTGAATTCAGTTTCATCAGTGCTATCTCCACTTATTAATTCCCCGGCTGCAACAACTCGTTCTAAAAGAAAGACAAACGCAGTGTCTAGAGTTGTCTCAAAACGAGTAAAGAAGTTTGTAAGGAAACCCTTAATATTTAAGTGGAAACGCAATAAATTTCAGCATTCAGCTATCATCGAATTACCGTCGTATGTACCACCAGTCGAAGCAACCGTAAAGTCACCCTTAGATTACTTTAACGCCTTTTTTTTTTCAGAAAATATTTTCAAGTTAATTACAGATAACACTAATTTGTATTCAGTTCAAAGTGGAGCAGCCCGGAGTATCAACATTACTACTGATGACATTAGAGATTTTATCGCCATAACTTTGCTGATGGGTGTAGTACAAATGCCAAGTTACAGAGACTATTGGAGTAATGCGTTGAGATATCCCCTTGTGGCTAATATAATGACTTTAAAAAAATATGAAAAAATACGACGATATCTTCATTTTGTAGACAACACAGACACAAATGACGACCGGTATTTCAAAGTTAGACCAATTTTGGAATGTGTTCGCAATAACTGTTTACAGCTTGAGGAAGAAAAAAAATACAGTGTCGATGAAATGATGGTGCCCTACAAAGGCACAAGAGCAGGAAGTAGACGCCAATATTTGCCAAAAAAGCCAAAAAAATGGGGCTTTAAAATCTTTGTAAGAGCAGGAGTATCCGGCTTAATATATGATTTCCTCCCTTACGGCGGTGAGGATACTTTCAGGGGGAGATGTTTTACAGAGTATGAGAATAGTTTGGGTCTTGGTGCTAAGGTCGTTATAGCACTCTGTAAGACCATTAAAGAAAAGCCTTCAACGGTTTATTTTGATAATTTTTTTACGTCGCTAGAACTTATTCAACATTTACGAAACGAATATGGCCTGTTTAGCTTAGGGACGATAAAGAATAATCGTTTGAGGGGATGTCAAACCATTTTGTCATCAGACAAGGTACTGGCAAAAAAAGGAAGAGGCGCAAATCAACAGATTGTGTGCAATGCCAATAAAATTGCCGTAGTCAAGTGGTTTGACAATAAAGTAGTGACATTAGCAAGTTCGTATGTTGATTCACATCCAAAAGAAAAGATAAAGCGGTATTGCAAGGAAACTAAATCTAAAGTTGATGTAGAGTGCCCACAAATAGTGAAGCATTACAACGCTCACATGGGCGGGGTGGATCTATCAGACATGCTGATATCTTTGTATCGCTCCAATTTTAAGACAAAAAGATGGTACATGGCTTTATTTTCACAGGCTCTGGATATTTGTGTTAATAATGCATGGCTGCAATATAGGAGAGATCGACTAAACACAAAAACAAAGTCTCTAAAAGAATTTAGGATAGATTTAGTGACAGAACTATTGCAGAAAAACAGAATTCATCAGGAAGATGTACAGGAAAATGATGCAGCTGTGAAAATAAAACTTCCTTCTGCTCCAAGACCACCTGATGCCGTCCGGTTCGACAATTTAGGGCACCTGCCGACTTTTGTAGCTCAAGGGAGGTGCAAGTACTGTAAAAAGGATACTCAAGTATCCTTTGTAACAAATGTAACCTTAGACTGTGTTTGGTAGCCAAAAGAAATTGTTTTTATAATTACCATGTTAGTGAGTAACATTCCTTAAGTTTGTTAAACGAACATTAAAATATATTTAAAAAAAAACGTGTTTTATCTTTTTGCTTTATTTCCTACAGTATGCCGCAGTGTTGGTTGTCAACGACATACATTATTCAATTTATATCTTAGAGGGATGCGCAGTGTCGTATTTTAACGACATATGTTTTCTCGAAATAGGCACATTCTATATTTTTTTTGTAATTTTTCTGTATAGTTTTAACTCATAAATAAAGCGTATAAATAGAAAAAAAATACGAATTTTGAGAATTTTTTGTTCTGCGAACTAAAGGGTTAACCAAAAATAACTTCATTAAAGAACTAATCACGGTATTCTCAAAATCACACTAAATCTACCTTAAAATTTACTTATACTATCAAAACAACACGACTTTGAGTATTTTAAAATCAACCGTTAACCTTAAAAAAATTACACAAAAATCACCGAATAAAATTACACAAAATGTACTCACAGTATGCGGCGTCGACACCAACCACCTTTCTTGTCAACGTCCGAGCAGCAACAGAGCCCGTGGCACACTGAGGCCTTTCTTTTATAGAAGGCGGGTGGGGATCGAAACCACCCACTATGATTTCTGCTTATTTTTTATTTATTTATTTAGTTATTAAGCTTAAAACATCACACACAGTACAAAATCTACTAATTATTTTATAAAATCTTACATCTGAAACGTGTGACAATTAATGTAAACATAAGTTTCACAAAAAAATTTAAATAGAAATTAAAGATTAAAAAAAAATACAATTAAAATACTTACATACATACTTATACGGCCTCTCCTGACCGAGCACCGTCCTCGGATGCACTGGTGATCTCTTCTTCAGGAGAACGGCATCTTGCTCGCCAAAGTCACGAATATGTGGTTCGTGAGCTCTTGAAGAAGCAGAAGGATCAGTACACGCAGCTGAAGACTCACCAACCTCATCGGGGTATTCGTCATAGCAATCTGTGCAAAATAAATCTTGTTAGTTAATCACGACGACATTTCGTTAGTGCCTAGTCTATCATACATCACGCATCCAAGGCCCTCATACAAAATCACACTACCACAACTTTAGTTAAAACACTTCACTTTCAAAAGTATGCATACATCATCTCACAAAAAATCTCGCACATTCTCATACTTGAACTTGTACAAGTTCCCACGTTAGTAACGTGAACCAGGACTGCGTCTGATGTGTTCAAAGAACACATCTTCCGGGACAGCGCCCGGCGCGCGCACAGGATGCACGTCTGCCGAAGCCCGCTTCTCAAGGTTGCTAGCCTCAGGAACACACCATGACCGCACTACATTGGCAGTCCGTTTCAACCAGCAAGGCACACACTAGCCTGTTAACATAAGTTTCACAAAAAAAATTAAATAGAAATTAATAGTTAAAAAAAAATACAATTAAATTACTTACATACATACATATACGGCCTCTCCTGACCGTGCACCGTCCTCGGATGCACTGGTGATCTCTTCTTCGGGAGAACGGCATCTTGCTCGCCATGGTCACCAATATGTGGTTCGTGTGTTCTTGAGGAAGCTGAAGGATCAGTACACGCAGCTGAAGGCTAACCAACGTCATCAGGGTATTCGTCATCGCAATCAGGAACTGGCCTCAGGAACACAGAATGACCGTACCACATTGGCAGTCCGTTTCAACCAGCAAGGCAGACACTTGCCTCACACCACACGCAAGCTAACATATCACGCGCGCATCCTTAACAAAAGGAAGTTACACATTAGAAACGGCTTTTGACGGCTACCTTCAATATGAGAGCGAGGTGACGGCATCCTAATTGACCGTTCACGGGAAGCACGTGGCAACTTATTCTTAAATTAACGGTTGTTTAAAAGGCTTATTTGTGAACGAAATCCTATCCCACTTCTGATTTTAGCAACCAGAAGGGATAATCAAATAAAAAAAACAATTCAAAAAAACCTACGAAGTGATTTAACCAAAAATAACTTCATTAAAGAACTAATCACGGTATTCTCAAAATCACACTAAATCTACCTTAAAATTTACTTATACTATCAAAACAACACGACTTTGAGTATTTTAAAATCAACCGTTAACCTTAAAAAAATTACACAAAAATCACCGAATAAAATTACACAAAATGTACTCACAGTATGCGGCGTCGACACCAACCACCTTTCTTGTCAACGTCCGAGCAGCAATAGAGCCCGTGGCACACTGAGGCCTTTCTTTTATAGAAGGCGGGTGGGGATCGAAACCACCCACTATGATTTCTGCTTATTTTTTATTTATTTATTTAGTTATTAAGCTTAAAACATCACACACAGTACAAAATCTACTAATTATTTTACAAAATCTTACATCTGAAATGTGTGACAATTAATGTAAACATAAGTTTCACAAAAAAAATTTAAATAGAAATTAAAGATTAAAAAAAAAATACAATTAAAATACTTACATACATACTTATACGGCCTCTCCTGACCGAGCACCGTCCTCGGATGCACTGGTGATCTCTTCTTCAGGAGAACGGCATCTTGCTCGCCAAAGTCACGAATATGTGGTTCGTGAGCTCTTGAAGAAGCAGAAGGATCAGTACACGCAGCTGAAGACTCACCAACCTCATCGGGGTATTCGTCATAGCAATCTGTGCAAAATAAATCCTGTTAGTTAATCACGACGACATTTCGTTAGTGCCTAGTCTATCATACATCACGCATCCAAGGCCCTCATACAAAATCACACTACCACAACTTTAGTTAAAACACTTCACTTTCAAAAGTATGCATACATCATCTCACAAAAAATCTCGCACATTCTCATACTTGCACTTGTACAAGTTCCCACGTTAGTAACGAGAACCAGGACTGCGTCTGATGTGTTCAAAGAACACATCTTCCGGGACAGCGCCCGCCACGCGCACAGGATGCACGTCTGCCGAGGCCCGCTTCTCAAGGTTGCTAGCCTCAGGAACACACCATGACCGCACTACATTGGCAGTCCGTTTCAACCAGCAAGGCACACACTACCCTGTTAACATAAGTTTCACAAAAAAAATTTAAATAGAAATTAATAGTTAAAAAAAAATACAATTAAAATACTTACATACATACTAATACGGCCTCTCCTGACCGTGCACCGTCCTCGGATGCACTGGTGATCTCTTCTTCGGGAGTACGGCATCTTGCTCGTCATGGTCACCAATATGTGGTTCGTGTGTTCTTGAGGAAGCTGAAGGATCAGTACACGCAGCTGAAGGCTCACCAACATCATCGGGGTATTCGTCATCGCAATCTGTGCAAAAGTTATCCTGTTAGTTAATCTCGACGACATTTCGTTAGTGCTTAGTCTTTCATACATCACGCATCCAAGGCCCTCATACAAAATCACACTACCACAACTATAGTTAAAACCTTTCACTTTCAAAAGTAATGCATACATCATCTCACAAAACATCTCACACATTCTCATACTTGAACTTGTACAAGTTCCCACGTTAGTAACGTGAACCAGGACTGCGCCTGATGTGTTCAAAGAACACATCTTCCGGGACAGTGCCCGCCACGCGCACAGGGTGCACGTATGCCGAGGCCCGCTTCTCAAGGTTGCTGGCCTCATGAACACAGAATGACCGCACCACATTGGCAGTTTGTTTCAACCAGCAAGACACACACTAGCCTGTAAACATAAGTTTCACAAAAAAATTTAAATAGAAATTAAAAATTAAAGAAAAAAAATACAATTAAAATACTTACATACATGCTTATACGGCCTCTCCTGACCGTGCACCGTCCTCGGATGCACTAGTGATCTCTTCTTCAGGAGAACGGCATCTTGCTCGCCATAGTCACCAATATGTGGTTCGTGTGATCTTGAAGAAGCAGAAGAATCAGTACACGCAGCTGAGGGCTCACCAACGTCATCAGGGTATTATTAAGCTTACAACATCACACACAGTACAAAATTTACTAATTATTTTACAAAATCTTACAATTGAAATGCGTGACAATTAATGTAAACATAAGTTTCACAAAAAAAATTTAAATAGAAATTAAAAATTAAAGAAAAAAATACAATTAAAATACTTACATACATGCTTATACGGCCTCTCCTGACCGAGCACCGTCCTCGGATGCACTGGTGATCTCTTCTTCAGGAGAACGGCATCTTGCTCGCCATAGTCACCAATATGTGGTTCGTGTGATCTTGAAGAAGCAGAAGAATCAGTACACGCAGCTGAGGGCTCATCAACGTCATCAGGGTATTATTAAGCTAACAACATCACACACAGTACAAAATTTACTAAATATTTTACAAAATCTTACAATTGAAATGCGTGACAATTAATGTAAACATAAGTTTCACAAAAAAAAATTAAATAGAAATTAAAAATTAAAAAAGAAAATTCTCGAAATCACACTTAATCTACCTTAAAATTTATTTATACAATCAAAACAACACGACTTTGGGTATTTTAAAAACAACCGTTAACCTTAAAACAATTACACAAAAATCACCGAATAAAAATAACACAAAACGTACTCACAGTATGCGGCCTCGACACCAACCACCTTTCTTGTCAACGTCCGAGCGACAACAGAGCCCGTGGCAGACTGAGGCCTTTCTTTTATAGAAGGCGGGTGGGGATCGAAACCACCCACTATGATTTCAACTTATATTTTTTTATTTATTTAGTTCTTAAGCTTAAAACATCACACACAGTACAAAATCTACTAATTATTTTACGAAATCTTACATCTGAAATGTGTGACAATTAATGTAAACATAAGTTTCACAAAAAAAATTTAAATAGAAATTAAAAATTAAAGAAAAAAAATACAATTAAAATACTTACATACATGCTTATACGGCCTCTCCTGACCGTGCACCGTCCTCGGATGCACTGGTGATCTCTTCTTCGGGAGAACGGCATCTTGCTCGCCATGGTCACCAATATGTGGTTCGTGTGTTCTTGAGGAAGCAGAAGGATCAGTACACGCAGCTGAAGGCTCACCAACCTCATCGGGGTATTCGTCATCGCAATCTGTGCAAAATAAATCCTGTTAGTTAATCACGACGACATTTCGTTAGTGCCTAGTCTATCATACATCACGCATCCAAGGCCCTCAAACAAAATCACACTACCACAACTTTAGTTAAAACACTTCACTTTCAAAAGTATGCATACATCATCTCACAAAAAATCTCGCACATTCTCATACTTGAACTTGTACAAGTTCCCACGTTAGTAACGTGAACCAGGACTGCGTCTGATGTGTTCAAAGAACACATCTTCCGGGACAGCGCCCGGCACGCGCACAGGATGCACGTCTGCCGAAGTCCGCTTCTCAAGGTTGCTAGCCTCAGGAACACACCATGACCGCACTACATTGGCAGTCCGTTTCAACCAGCAAGGCACACACTAGCCTGTAAACATAAGTTTCACAAAAAAAAATTAAATAGAAATTAATAGTTAAAAAAAATACAATTAAATTACTTACATACATACTTATACGGCCTCTCCTGACCGTGCACCGTCCTCGGATGCACTGGTGATCTCTTCTTCGGGAGAACGGCATCTTGCTCGCCATGGTCACCAATATGTGATTCGTGTGTTCTTGAGGAAGCTGAAGGATCAGTACACGCAGCTGAAGGCTCACCAACGTCATCAGGGTATTCGTCATCGCAATCAGGAACTAGCCTCAGAAACACAGAATGACCGTACCACATTGGCAGTCCGTTTCAACCAGCAAGGCAGACACTTGCCTCACACCACACGCAAGCCAACATATCACGCGCGCATCCTTAACATAAGGAAGTAACACATTAGAAACAGCTTTTGACGGCTACCTTCAATATGAGAGCGAGGTGACGGCATCCTAATTGACCGTTCACGGGAAGCACGTGGCAACTTATTCTAAAATTAACGGTTGTTTAAAAGGCTTATTTGTGAACGAAATCCTATCCCACTTCTGATTTTAGCAACCAGAAGGGATAATCAAATAAAAAAAAACAATTCAAAAAAACCTACGAAGTGATTTAACCAAAAATAACTTCATTAAAGAACAAATCACGGTATTCTCGAAATCACACTAAATCTACCTTAAAATTTACTTATACTATCAAAACAACACGACTTTGAGTATTTTAAAAACAACCGTTAACCTTAAAACAATTACACAAAAATCACCGAATAAAATTACACAAAATGTACTCACAGTATGCGGCGTCGACACCAACCACCTTTCTTGTCAACGTCCGAGCAGCAACAGAGCCCGTGGCACACTGAGGCCTTTCTTTTATAGAAGGCGGGTGGGGATCGAAACCACCCACTATGATTTCTGCTTATATTTTTTTATTTATTTAGTTATTAAGCTTAAAACATCACACACAGTACAAAATCTACTAATTATTTTACAAAATCTTACATCTGAAATGTGTGACAATTAATGTAAACAAGTTTCACAAAAAAAATTTTTAATAGAAATTAACAATTAAAAAAAAATACAATTAAAATACTTACATACATACTTATACGGCCTCCACTGACCGTGCACCGTCCTCGGATGCACTGGTGATCTCTTCTTCAGGAGAACGGCATCTTGCTCGCCATGGTCACCAATATGTGGTTCGTGTGTTCTTGAGGAAGCTGAAGGATCAGTACTCGCAGCTGAAGGCTAACCAACGTCATCAGGGTATTCGTCATCGCAATCAGGAACTGGCCTCAGGAACACAGAATGACCGCACCATATTGGCAGTCCGTTTCAACCAGCAAGGCAGACACTTGCCTCACACCACACGCAAGCCAACATATCACGCGCGCATCCTTAACATAAGGAAGTAACACATTAGAAACAGCTTTTGACGGCTACCTTCAATATGAGAGCGAGGTGACGGCATCCTAATTGACCGTTCACGGGAAGCACGTGGCAACTTATTCTAAAATTAACGGTTGTTTAAAAGGCTTATTTGTGAACGAAATCCTATCCCACTTCTGATTTTAGCAACCAGAAGGGATAATCAAATAAAAAAAAAACAATTAAAAAAACCTACGAAGTGATTTAACCAAAAATAACTTCATTAAAGAACAAATCACGGTATTCTCAAAATCACACTAAATCTACCTTAAAATTTACTTATACTATCAAAACAACACGACTTTGAGTATTTTAAAATCAACCGTTAACCTTAAAAAAATTACACAAAAATCACCGAATAAAATTACACAAAATGTACTCACAGTATGCGGCGTCGACACCAACCACCTTTCTTGTCAACGTCCGAGCAGCAACAGAGCCCGTGGCACACTGAGGCCTTTCTTTTATAGAAGGCGGGTGGGGATCGAAACCACCCACTATGATTTCTGCTTATTTTTTATTTATTTATTTAGTTATTAAGCTTAAAACATCACACACAGTACAAAATCTACTAATTATTTTACAAAATCTTACATCTGAAATGTGTGACAATTAATGTAAACATAAGTTTCACAAAAAAAATTTAAATAGAAATTAAAAATTAAAAAAAAAATACAATTAAAATACTTACATACATACTTATACGGCCTCTCCTGACCGTGCACCGTCCTCGGATGCACTGATGATCTCTTCTTCAGGAGAACGGCATCTTGCTCGCCATTGTCACCAATATGTGGTTCGTGTGTTCTTGAGGAAGCAGAAGGATCAGAACACGCAGCTGAAGGCTCACCAACCTCATCGGGGTATAGAAGGCGGGTGGGGATCGAAACCACCCACTATGATTTCTGCTTATTTTTTATTAATTTATTTAGTTATTAAGCTTAAAACATCACACACAGTACAAAATCTACTAATTATTTTACAAAATCTTACATCTGAAATGTGTGACAATTAATGTAAACATAAGTTTCACAAAAACAATTTAAATAGAAATTTAAAAAAAAATACAATTAAAATACTTACATACATACTTATACGGCCTCTCCTGACCGTGCACCGTCCTCGGATGCACTGGTGATCTCTTCTTCGGGAGAACGGCATCTTGCTCGCCATGGTCACCAATATGTGGTTCGTGTGTTCTTGAGAAAGCTGAAGGATCAGTACACGCAGCTGAAGGCTCACCAACGTCATCAGGGTATTCGTCATCGCAATCAGGAACTGACCTCAGGAACACAGAATGACCGCACCACATTGGCAGTCCGTTTCAACCAGCAAGGCAGACACTTGCCTCACACCACACGCAAGCCAACATATCACGCGCGCATCCTTAACATAAGGAAGTTACACATTAGAAACAGCTTTTGACGGCTACCTTCAATATGAGAGCGAGGTGACGGCATCCTAATTGACCGTTCACGGGAAGCACGTGGCAACTTATTCTAAAATTAACGGTTGTTTAAAAGGCTTAATTGTGAACGAAATCCTATCCCACTTCTGATTTTAGCAACCAGAAGGGATAATCAAATAAAAAAAACAATTTAAAAAACCTACGAAGTGATTTAACCAAAAATAACTTCATTAAAGAACAAATCACGGTATTCTCGAAATCACACTAAATCTACCTTAAAATTTACTTATACTATCAAAACAACACGACTTTGAGTATTTTAAAATCAACCGTTAACCTTAAAAAAATTACACAAAAATCACCGAATAAAATTACACAAAATGTACTCACAGTATGCGGCGTCGACACCAACCACCTTTCTTGTCAACGTCCGAGCAGCAACAGAGCCCGTGGCACACTGAGGCCTTTCTTTTATAGAAGGCGGGTGGGGATCGAAACCACCCACTATGATTTCTGCTTATATTTTTTTATTTATTTAGTTATTAAGCTTAAAACATCACACACAGTACAAAATCTACTAATTATTTTACAAAATCTTACATCTGAAATGTGTGTCAATTAATGTAAACATAAGTTTCACAAAAAAAATTTAAATAGAAATTAATAGTAAAAAAAATATACAATTAAAATACTTACATACATACTTATGCGGCCTCTCCTGACCGTGCACCGTCCTCGGATGCACTGGTGATCTCTTCTTCGGGAGAACGGCATCTTGCTCGCCATGGTCACCAATATGTGGTTCGTGTGTTCTTGAGAAAGCTGAAGGATCAGTACACGCAGCTGAAGGCTCACCAACGTCATCAGGGTATTCGTCATCGCATTCAGGAACTGACCTCAGGAACACAGAATGACCGTACCACATTGGCAGTCCGTTTCAACCAGCAAGGCAGACACTTGCCTCACACCACACGCAAGCTAACATATCACGCGCGCATCCTTAACATAAGGAAGTAACACATTAGAAACAGCTTTTGACGGCTACCTTCAATATGAGTGCGAGGTGACTGCATCCTAATTGACCGTTCACGGGAAGCACGTGGCAACATATTCTAAAATTAACGGTTGTTTAAAAGGCTTATTGTGAACGAAATCCTATCCCACTTCTGATTTTAGCAACCAGAAGGGATAATCAAATAAAAAAAAAACAATTCAAAAAAACCTACGAGGTGATTTAACCAAAAATAACTTCATTAAAGAACTAATCACGGTATTCTCAAAATCACACTAAATCTACCTTAAAATTTACTTATATACTGCTCAAAACAATTAGCGGAACAAGATTTTTCTCCTTTCTATTGCTCAAACTAAAATTAGATTTAAATTAACTTGTACGCTATTTTTTACCTTGTTAATTTGATAATTACTACAATTAATAAAAAAATTCAATTTGTATTTTTTTTTTATTAAAAAAAAAATTAAAATGTGCATTGTAGACGAGAAACTAATTGGTGATAAAAAAGGTCCATCAAAGAAATATTCTTATATCGTTTGAATATTCGTCTTTAGTGACTTTCAGTAACGTGTGTGGCCTCCATGAGCCCTAATCACGGCTTGACAACGACGCGGCATGCTTCGTATGATCCTCCGAATATCTTCTTGTGGAATTCGCTCCCATTCTTCAATCAACGCTTCAGTGAGCTGCTGCAGTGTTTGAGGTGCAATCGGACGCTTCCGGATGCGCCTGTCAAGCAAGTCCCAAATGTGTTCAATTGGATTTAGGTCAGGGCTCATGGAAGGCCACTCCATTACACGGATTTCCTGCTGTCGTAAGTAATCTGACGTGATGGCTGCAGTATGCGGCCTGGCATTATCTTGCATTAAAAGAAAATCTGGGCCCATATACCATATGCTGCGGGCCAAACATGATCTTCGAGCACATTTTCAATGTAAGTTTGAGGACACAAGCGCCCGGGAACAACGACGAGATCTGTGCGCTCGTCCAAACTAACTCCGCTCCAAACCATCACAGAGCCACATCCAAATTTGTCATATTCCTGGACTGCTGCTGCACTGTATCGCTCGCCTGGGCGTCTGTTAACACGGAGACGACCATCGCAACGTGTTAGACGGAATCGTGATTCGTCAGTAAAAAGCACTGGCCTCCAATGTCGAAGTTGCCAATTAGCGTGATTTTGCGCGAACTGTCGGCGAGCTTGTTTATGTTGAATTGTTAGACGTACAGCCCGAACTGGTCGGCGTGATCTCAAATTGGCTTCCAACAACCTATTTCTTACTGTCTGTTCGGAAATTTCTACACCAGTAGCCGTCCTTAGTGTATTTTGTAGATCTCTTGCAGTTGTGGTGCGGTTACGTAAAGCACAGTTGACGATGTAGCGATCTTGCAAACGTGTAGTTTTTCTCTTTCGACCTTGACCTCGCCTTTGTGAGTATTCTCCCGTCTCACGGTATCGCTTCCAAAGTCTGTAGATAACAGAAGGGGCTACTTCTAGATCATTTCCTACATAATGCATAGTTCGACCCTCTTCAAGCAAAGCGATAGCTCGGGAGACATGCAATTCAGTCAGATCTGGCATTATGACCTAAACTCACTCGCTTCAATGAATAACAATACTCAAAAGGCTCACTTCAATTTCTATTAATACTCAAAAGATTGAAAAAAAACTACTTAAAATGTGTTTTCTGTGATTAGAAAGTAATGAAAATTCAAAGACGTCACTTGGTTTTTCGTCTACAATGCACATTTTAATTTTTTTTAATAAAAAAAATACAAATTGAACTTTTTTATTAACTGTAGTAATTAACAAATTAACAAGGTAAAATATAGCGTACAAGTTAATTTAAATCTAATTTTAGTTTAAGCAATAGAAAGGAGAAAAATCTTGTTCCGCTAATTGTTTTGAGCAGTATACTATCAAAACAACACGACTTTGAGTATTTTAAAATCAACCGTTAACCTTAAAAAAATTACACAAAAATCACCGAATAAAATTATACAAAATGTACTCACAGTATGCGGCGTCGACACCAACCACCTTTCTTGTCAACGTCCGAGCAACAACAGAGCCCGTGGCACACTGAGGCCTTTCTTTTTTAGAAGGCGGGTGGGGATCGAAACCACCCACTATGATTTCTGCTTATATTTTTTTATTTATTTAGTTATTAAGCTTAAAACATCACACACAGTACAAAATCTACTAATTATTTTACAAAATCTTACATCTGAAATGTGTGACAATTAATGTAAACAAGTTTCACAAAAAAAAATTTAAATAGAAATTAAAAATTAAAAAAAAAATACAATTAAAATACTTACAAACATACTTATACGGCCTCTCCTGACCGTGCACCGTCCTCGGATGCACTGGTGATCTCTTCTTCAGGAGAACGGCATCTTGCTCGCCATAGTCACCAATATGTGGTTCGTGTGTTCTTGAGGAAGCAGAAGGATCAGTACACGCAGCTGAAGGCTCACCAACCTCATCGGGGTATTCGTCATCGCAATCTGTGCAAAATAAATCCTGTTAGTTAATCACGACGACATTTCGTTAGTGCCTAGTCTATCATACATCACGCATCCAAGGCCCTCATACAAAATCACACTACCACAACTTTAGTTGAAACACTTCACTTTCAAAAGTATGCATACATCATCTCACAAAAAATCTCGCACATTCTCATACTTGAACTTGTACAAGTTCCCACGTTAGTAACGTGAACCAGGACTGCGTCTGAAGTGTTCAAAGAACACATCTTCCGGGAAAGCGCCCGCCACGCACTCAGGATGCACGTCTGCCGAGGCCCGCTTCTCAAGGTTGCTAGCCTCAGGAACACACCATGACCGCACTACATTGGCAGTCCGTTTCAACCAGCAAGGCACACACTAGCCTGTAAACATAAGTTTCACAAAAAAAAATTAAATATAAATTAATAGTAAAAAATACAATTAAAATACTTACATACATACTTATACGGCCTCTCCTGGCCGTGCACCGTCCTCGGATGCACTGGTGATCTCTTCTTCAGGAGAACGGCATCTTGCTCGCCATAGTCACCAATATGTGGTTCGTGTGTTCTTGAGGAAGCAGAAGGATCAGTACACGCAGCTGAAGGCTCACCAACCTCATCGGGGTATTCGTCATCGCAATCTGTGCAAAAGTTATCCTGTTAGTTAATCACGACGACATTTCGTTAGTTCCTAGTCTATCATACATCACGCATCCAAGGCCCTCATACAAAATCACACTACCACAACTTTAGTTAAAACACTTCACTTTCAAAAGTATGCATACATCATCTCACAAAAAATCTCGCACATTCTCATACTTGAACTTGTACAAGTTCCCACGTTAGTAACGTGAACCAGGACTGCGCCTGATGTGTTCAAAGAACACATCTTCCGGGACAGCGCCCGCCACGCGCACAGGATGCACGTCTGCCAAGGCCCGCTTCTCAAGGTTGCTGGCCTCAGGAACACACCATAACCGCACTACATTGGCAGTCAGTTTCAACCAGCAAGGCACACACTAGCCTGTAAACATAAGTTTCACAATAAAAATTTAAATAGAAATTAATAGTTAAAAAAAAAATACAATTAAATTACTTACATACATACTTATACGGCCTCTCCTGACCGTGCACCGTCCTCGGATGCACTGGTGATGTCTTCTTCGGGAGAACGGCATCTTGCTCGCCATGGTCACCAATATGTGGTTCGTGTTCTTGAGGAAGCAGAAGGATCAGTACACGCAGCTGAAGGCTCACCAACCTCATCGGGGTATTCGTCATCGCAATCTGTGCAAAATAAATCCTGTTAGTTAATCACGACGACATTTCGTTAGTGCCTAGTCTATCATACATCACGCATCCAAGGCCCTCATACAAAATCACACTACCACAACTTTAGTTAAAACACTTCACTTTCAAAAGTATGCATACATCATCTCACAAAAAATCTCGCACATTCTCATACTTGAACTTGTACAAGTTCCCACGTTAGTAACGTGAACCAGGACTGCGTCTGATGTGTTCAAAGAACACATCTTCCGGGACAGCGCCCGCCACGCGCACAGGATGCACGTCTGCCGAAGCCCGCTTCTCAAGGTTGCTAGCCTCAGGAACACACCATGACCGCACTACATTGGCAGTCCGTTTCAACCAGCAAGGCACACACTAGCCTGTAAACATAAGTTTCACAAAAAAAATTAAATAGAAATTAATAGTTAAAAAAAAATACAATTAAATTACTTACATACATACTTATACGGCCTCTCCTGACCGAGCACCGTCCTCGGATGCACTGGTGATTTCTTCGGGAGAACGGCATCTTGCTCGCCATGGTCACCAATATGTGGTTCGTGTGTTCTTGAGGAAGCTGAAGGATCAGTACACGCAGCTGAAGGCTCACCAACGTCATCAGGGTATTCGTCATCGCAATCAGGAACTGGCCTCAGGAACACAGAATGACCGTACCACATTGGCAGTCCGTTTCAACCAGCAAGGCAGACACTTGCCTCACACCACACGCAAGCTAACATATCACGCGCGCATCCTTAACAAAAGGAAGTTACACATTAGAAACGGCTTTTGACGGCTACCTTCAATATGAGAGCGAGGTGACGGCATCCTAATTGACCGTTCACGGGAAGCACGTGGCAACTTATTCTAAAATTAACGGTTGTTTAAAAGGCTAATTTGTGAACGAAATCCTATCCCACTTCTGATTTTAGCAACCAGAAGGGATAATCAAATAAAAAAAAACAATTAAAAAAAACCTACGAAGTGATTTAACCAAAAATAACTTCATTAAAGAACTAATCACGGTATTCTCAAAATCACACTAAATCTACCTTAAAATTTACTTATACTATCAAAACAACACGACTTTGAGTATTTTAAAATCAACCGTTAACCTTAAAAAAATTACACAAAAATCACCGAATAAAATTACACAAAATGTACTCACAGTATGCGGCGTCGACACCAACCACCTTTCTTGTCAACGTCCGAGCAGCAATAGAGCCCGTGGCACACTGAGGCCTTTCTTTTATAGAAGGCGGGTGGGGATCGAAACCACCCACTATGATTTCTGCTTATTTTTTATTTATTTATTTAGTTATTAAGCTTAAAACATCACACACAGTACAAAATCTACTAATTATTTTACAAAATCTTACATCTGAAATGTGTGACAATTAATGTAAACATAAGTTTCACAAAAAAAATTTAAATAGAAATTAAAGATTAAAAAAAAAATACAATTAAAATACTTACATACATACTTATACGGCCTCTCCTGACCGAGCACCGTCCTCGGATGCACTGGTGATCTCTTCTTCAGGAGAACGGCATCTTGCTCGCCAAAGTCACGAATATGTGGTTCGTGAGCTCTTGAAGAAGCAGAAGGATCAGTACACGCAGCTGAAGACTCACCAACCTCATCGGGGTATTCGTCATAGCAATCTGTGCAAAATAAATCCTGTTAGTTAATCACGACGACATTTCGTTAGTGCCTAGTCTATCATACATCACGCATCCAAGGCCCTCATACAAAATCACACTACCACAACTTTAGTTAAAACACTTCACTTTCAAAAGTATGCATACATCATCTCACAAAAAATCTCGCACATTCTCATACTTGAACTTGTACAAGTTCCCACGTTAGTAACGTGAACCAGGACTGCGTCTGATGTGTTCAAAGAACACATCTTCCGGGACAGCGCCCGCCACGCGCACAGGATGCACGTCTGCCGAAGCCCGCTTCTCAAGGTTGCTAGCCTCAGGAACACACCATGACCGCACTACATTGGCAGTCCGTTTCAACCAGCAAGGCACAAACTAGCCTGTAAACATAAGTTTCACAAAAAAAAATTAAATAGAAATTAATAGTTAAAAAAAAATACAATTAAATTACTTACATACATACATATACGGCCTCTCCTGACCGTGCACCGTCCTTGGATGCACTGGTGATCTCTTCTTCGGGAGAACGGCATCTTGCTCGCCATGGTCACCAATATGTGGTTCGTGTGTTCTTGAGGAAGCTGAAGGATCAGTACACACAGCTGAAGGCTAACCAACGTCATCAGGGTATTCGTCATCGCAATCAGGAACTGGCCTCAGGAACACAGAATGACCGTACCACATTGGCAGTCCGTTTCAACCAGCAAGGCAGACACTTGCCTCACACCACACGCAAGCTAACATATCACGCGCGCATCCTTAACAAAAGGAAGTTACACATTAGAAACGGCTTTTGACGGCTACCTTCAATATGAGAGCGAGGTGACGGCATCCTAATTGACCGTTCACGGGAAGCACGTGGCAACTTATTCTAAAATTAACTGTTGTTTAAAAGGCTAATTTGTGAACGAAATCCTATCCCACTTCTGATTTTAGCAACCAGAAGGGATAATCAAATAAAAAAACAATTAAAAAAAACCTACGAAGTGATTTAACCAAAAATAACTTCATTAAAGAACTAATCACGGTATTCTCAAAATCACACTAAATCTACCTTAAAATTTACTTATACTATCAAAACAACACGACTTTGAGTATTTTAAAATCAACCGTTAACCTTAAAAAAATTACACAAAAATCACCGAATAAAATTACACAAAATGTACTCACAGTATGCGGCGTCGACACCAACCACCTTTCTTGTCAACGTCCGAGCAGCAATAGAGCCCGTGGCACACTGAGGCCTTTCTTTTATAGAAGGCGGGTGGGGATCGAAACCACCCACTATGATTTCTGCTTATTTTTTTTTATTTATTTAGTTATTAAGCTTAAAACATCACACACAGTACAAAATCTACTAATTATTTTACAAAATCTTACATCTGAAATGTGTGACAATTAATGTAAACATAAGTTTCACAAAAAAATTTAAATAGAAATTAAAGATTAAAAAAAAAATACAATTAAAATACTTACATACATACTTATACGGCCTCTCCTGACCGAGCACCGTCCTCGGATGCACTGGTGATCTCTTCTTCAGGAGAACGGCATCTTGCTCGCCAAAGTCACGAATATGTGGTTCGTGAGCTCTTGAAGAAGCAGAAGGATCAGTACACGCAGCTGAAGGCTCACCAACCTCATCGGGGTATTCGTCATCGCAATCTGTGCAAAATAAATCCTGTTAGTTAATCACGACGACATTTCGTTAGTGCCTAGTCTATCATACATCACGCATCCAAGGCCCTCATACAAAATCACACTACCACAACTTTAGTTAAAACACTTCACTTTCAAAAGTATGCATACATCATCTCACAAAAAATCTCGCACATTCTCATACTTGCACTTGTACAAGTTCCCACGTTAGTAACGAGAACCAGGACTGCGTCTGATGTGTTCAAAGAACACATCTTCCGGGACAGCGCCCGCCACGCGCACAGGATGCACGTCTGCCGAGGCCCGCTTCTCAAGGTTGCTAGCCTCAGGAACACACCATGACCGCACTACATTGGCAGTCCGTTTCAACCAGCAAGGCACACACTACCCTGTTAACATAAGTTTCACAAAAAAAAATTTAAATAGAAATTAATAGTTAAAAAAAAATACAATTAAAATACTTACATACATACTATACGGCCTCTCCTGACCGTGCACCGTCCTCGGATGCACTGGTGATCTCTTCTTCGGGAGAACGGCATCTTGCTCGTCATGGTCACCAATATGTGGTTCGTGTGTTCTTGAGGAAGCTGAAGGATCAGTACACGCAGCTGAAGGCTCACCAACATCATCGGGGTATTCGTCATCGCAATCTGTGCAAAAGTTATCCTGTTAGTTAATCTCGACGACATTTCGTTAGTGCTTAGTCTTTCATACATCACGCATCCAAGGCCCTCATACAAAATCACACTACCACAACTATAGTTAAAACCTTTCACTTTCAAAAGTAATGCATACATCATCTCACAAAACATCTCACACATTCTCATACTTGAACTTGTACAAGTTCCCACGTTAGTAACGTGAACCAGGACTGCGCCTGATGTGTTCAAAGAACACATCTTCCGGGACAGTGCCCGCCACGCGCACAGGATGCACGTATGCCGAGGCCCGCTTCTCAAGGTTGCTGGCCTCATGAACACAGAATGACCGCACCACATTGGCAGTTTGTTTCAACCAGCAAGACACACACTAGCCTGTAAACATAAGTTTCACAAAAAAATTTAAATAGAAATTAAAAATTAAAGAAAAAAAATACAATTAAAATACTTACATACATGCTTATACGGCCTCTCCTGACCGAGCACCGTCCTCGGATGCACTGGTGATCTCTACTTCAGGAGAATGGCATCTTGCTCGCCATAGTCACCAATATGTGGTTCGTGTGATCTTGAAGAAGCAGAAGAATCAGTACACGCAGCTGAGGGCTCATCAACGTCATCAGGGTATTATTAAGCTAACAACATCACACACAGTACAAAATTTACTAATTATTTTACAAAATCTTACAATTGAAATGCGTGACAATTAATGTAAACATAAGTTTCACAAAAAAAATTTAAATAGAAATTAAAAATTAAAGAAAAAAAATACAATTAAAATACTTACATACATGCTTATACGGCCTCTCCTGACCGAGCACCGTCCTCGGATGCACTGGTGATCTCTTCTTCAGGAGAACGGCATCTTGCTCGCCATAGTCACCAATATGTGGTTCGTGTGATCTTGAAGAAGCAGAAGAATCAGTACACGCAGCTGAGGGCTCATCAACGTCATCAGGGTATTATTAAGCTAACAACATCACACACAGTACAAAATTTACTAAATATTTTACAAAATCTTACAATTGAAATGCGTGACAATTAATGTAAACATAAGTTTCACAAAAAAAAATTAAATAGAAATTAAAAATTAAAAAAGAAAATTCTCGAAATCACACTTAATCTACCTTAAAATTTATTTATACAATCAAAACAACACGACTTTGGGTATTTTAAAAACAACCGTTAACCTTAAAACAATTACACAAAAATCACCGAATAAAAATAACACAAAACGTACTCACAGTATGCGGCCTCGACACCAACCACCTTTCTTGTCAACGTCCGAGCGACAACAGAGCCCGTGGCAGACTGAGGCCTTTCTTTTATAGAAGGCGGGTGGGGATCGAAACCACCCACTATGATTTCAACTTATATTTTTTTATTTATTTAGTTCTTAAGCTTAAAACATCACACACAGTACAAAATCTACTAATTATTTTACGAAATCTTACATCTGAAATGTGTGACAATTAATGTAAACATAAGTTTCACAAAAAAAATTTAAATAGAAATTAAAAATTAAAGAAAAAAAATACAATTAAAATACTTACATACATGCTTATACGGCCTCTCCTGACCGTGCACCGTCCTCGGATGCACTGGTGATCTCTTCTTCAGGAGAACGGCATCTTGCTCGCCATAGTCACCAATATGTGGTTCGTGTGTTCTTGAGGAAGCAGAAGGATCAGTACACGCAGCTGAAGGCTCACCAACATCATCGGGGTATTCGTCATCGCAATCTGTGCAAAAGTTATCCTGTTAGTTAATCTCGACGACATTTCGTTAGTGCTTAGTCTTTCATACATCACGCATCCAAGGCCCTCATACAAAATCACACTACCACAACTATAGTTAAAACCTTTCACTTTCAAAAGTAATGCATACATCATCTCACAAAACATCTCACACATTCTCATACTTGAACTTGTACAAGTTCCCACGTTAGTAACGTGAACCAGGACTGCGCCTGATGTGTTCAAAGAACACATCTTCCGGGACAGTGCCCGCCACGCGCACAGGATGCACGTATGCCGAGGCCCGCTTCTCAAGGTTGCTGGCCTCATGAACACAGAATGACCGCACCACATTGGCAGTTTGTTTCAACCAGCAAGACACACACTAGCCTGTAAACATAAGTTTCACAAAAAAATTTAAATAGAAATTAAAAATTAAAGAAAAAAAATACAATTAAAATACTTACATACATGCTTATACGGCCTCTCCTGACCGAGCACCGTCCTCGGATGCACTGGTGATCTCTACTTCAGGAGAATGGCATCTTGCTCGCCATAGTCACCAATATGTGGTTCGTGTGATCTTGAAGAAGCAGAAGAATCAGTACACGCAGCTGAGGGCTCACCAACGTCATCAGGGTATTATTAAGCTTACAACATCACACACAGTACAAAATTTACTAAATATTTTACAAAATCTTACAATTGAAATGCGTGACAATTAATGTAAACATAAGTTTCACAAAAAAAAATTAAATAGAAATTAAAAATTAAAAAAGAAAATTCTCGAAATCACACTTAATCTACCTTAAAATTTATTTATACAATCAAAACAACACGACTTTGGGTATTTTAAAAACAACCGTTAACCTTAAAACAATTACACAAAAATCACCGAATAAAAATAACACAAAACGTACTCACAGTATGCGGCCTCGACACCAACCACCTTTCTTGTCAACGTCCGAGCGACAACAGAGCCCGTGGCAGACTGAGGCCTTTCTTTTATAGAAGGCGGGTGGGGATCGAAACCACCCACTATGATTTCAACTTATATTTTTTTATTTATTTAGTTCTTAAGCTTAAAACATCACACACAGTACAAAATCTACTAATTATTTTACGAAATCTTACATCTGAAATGTGTGACAATTAATGTAAACATAAGTTTCACAAAAAAATTTAAATAGAAATTAAAAATTAAAGAAAAAAAATACAATTAAAATACTTACATACATGCTTATACGGCCTCTCCTGACCGTGCACCGTCCTCGGATGCACTGGTGATCTCTTCTTCAGGAGAACGGCATCTTGCTCGCCATAGTCACCAATATGTGGTTCGTGTGATCTTGAAGAAGCAGAAGAATCAGTACACGCAGCTGAGGGCTCACCAACGTCATCAGGGTATTATTAAGCTTACAACATCACACACAGTACAAAATTTACTAATTATTTTACAAAATCTTACAATTGAAATGCGTGACAATTAATGTAAACATAAGTTTCACAAAAAAATTTAAATAGAAATTAAAAATTAAAGAAAAAAAATACAATTAAAATACTTACATACATGCTTATACGGCCTCTCCTGACCGTGCACCGTCCTCGGATGCACTGGTGATCTCTTCTTCAGGAGAACGGCATCTTGCTCGCCATAGTCACCAATATGTGGTTCGTGTGATCTTGAAGAAGCAGAAGAATCAGTACACGCAGCTGAGGGCTCATCAACGTCATCAGGGTATTATTAAGCTAACAACATCACACACAGTACAAAATTTACTAAATATTTTACAAAATCTTACAATTGAAATGCGTGACAATTAATGTAAACATAAGTTTCACAAAAAAAAATTAAATAGAAATTAAAAATTAAAAAAGAAAATTCTCGAAATCACACTTAATCTACCTTAAAATTTATTTATACAATCAAAACAACTACTTTGGGTATTTTAAAAACAACCGTTAACCTTAAAACAATTACACAAAAATCACCGAATAAAAATAACACAAAACGTACTCACAGTATGCGGCCTCGACACCAACCACCTTTCTTGTCAACGTCCGAGCGACAACAGAGCCCGAAGCAGACTGAGGCCTTTCTTTTATAGAAGGCGGGTGGGGATCGAAACCACCCACTATGATTTCAACTTATATTTTTTTATTTATTTAGTTCTTAAGCTTAAAACATCACACACAGTACAAAATCTACTAATTATTTTACGAAATCTCACATCTGAAATGTGTGACAATTAATGTAAACATAAGTTTCACAAAAAAAATTTAAATAGAAATTAAACATTAAAGAAAAAAAATACAATTAAAATACTTACATACATGCTTATACGGCCTCTCCTGACCGTGCACCGTCCTCGGATGCACTGGTGATCTCTTCTTCAGGAGAACGGCATCTTGCTCGCCATAGTCACCAATATGTGGTTCGTGTGATCTTGAAGAAGCAGAAGGATCAGTACACGCAGCTGAAGGCTCACCAACGTCATCGGGGTATTCGTCATCGCAATCTGTGCAAAAGTTATCCTGTTAGTTAATCACGACGACATTTCGTTAGTGCCTAGTCTATCATACATCACGCATCCAAGGCCCTCATACAAAATCACACTACCACAACTTTAGTTAAAACACTTCACTTTCAAAAGTATGCATACATCATCTCGCAACACATCTCACACATTCTCATACTTGAACTTGTACAAGTTCCCACGTTAGTAACGTGAACCAGGACTGCGCCTGATGTGTTCAGAGAACATATCTTCCGGGTCAGCGCCCGCTACGCGCACAGGATGCACGTCTGCCAAGGCCCACTTCTCAAGTCTGTTGGCCTCAGGAACAAACCATGACCGCACTACATTGGAAGTCAGTTTCAACCAGCAAGGCACACACTAGCCTGTAAAAAAAAGTTTCACAAAAAAAATTTAAATATAAATTATTAGTTTAAAAAAAAATACAATTAAAATACTTACATAGATACTTATACGGCCTCTCCAGACCGTGCACCGTCCTTGGATGCACTGGTAATCTCTTCATCGGGAGAACGGCATCTTGCTCGCCATGGTCACCAATATGTGGTTCGTGTGTTATTGAGGAAGCAGAAGGATCAGTACACGCTGTTGAAGGCTCACCAACTTCATCGGGGTATTTGTCATCTCAATCTGTGCAAAAGTTATCCTGTTAGTTGATCACGACGACATTTCGTTAGTGCCTAGTCTATCATACATCACGCATCCAAGACCCTCATACAAAATCACACTACCACAACTTTAGTTAAAACCTTTCACTTTCAAAAGTATGCATACATCATCTCACAAAAAATCTCGCACATTCTCATACTTGAACTTGTACAAGTTCCCACGTTAGTAAAGTGAACCAGGACTGCGTCTGATGTGTTCAAAGAACACATCTTCCGGGATAGCGCCCGCCACGCGCACAGGATGCACGTCTGCCAAGGCCCGCTTCTCAAGGTTGCTGGCCTCAGGAACACACCATGACCGCACTACATTGGCAGTCAGTTTCAACCAGCAAGGCACACACTAGCCTGTAAACATAATTTAACAAAAAAAATTAAAAATATAATTTAAAAATTAAAGAAAAAAATACAATTAAAATACTTACATACATGCTTATACGGCCTCTCCAGACCGTGCACCGTCCTTGGATGCACTGGTAATCTCTTCATCGGGAGAACGGCATCTTGCTCGCCATGGTCACCAATATGTGGTTCGTGTGTTATTGAGGAAGCAGAAGGATCAGTACACGCTGTTGAAGGCTCACCAACTTCATCGGGGTATTTGTCATCTCAATCTGTGCAAAAGTTATCCTGTTAGTTGATCACGACGACATTTCGTTAGTGCCTAGTCTATCATACATCACGCATCCAAGACCCTCATACAAAATCACACTACCACAACTTTAGTTAAAACCTTTCACTTTCAAAAGTATGCATACATCATCTCACAAAAAATCTCGCACATTCTCATACTTGAACTTGTACAAGTTCCCACGTTAGTAAAGTGAACCAGGACTGCGTCTGATGTGTTCAAAGAACACATCTTCCGGGATAGCGCCCGCCACGCGCACAGGATGCACGTCTGCCAAGGCCCGCTTCTCAAGGTTGCTAGCCTCAGGAACACACAATGACCGCACTACATTGGCAGTCCGTTTCAACCAGCAAGGCACACACTAGCCTGTAAACATAATTTAACAAAAAAAATTTAATTAGAAATTAAAAATTAAAGAAAAAAATACAATTAAAATACTTACATACATGCATATACGGCCTCTCTTGACCGTGCACAGTCCTCGGATGCACTGGTGATCTCTTCTTCAGGAGACCGGCATCTTGCTCGCCATAGTCACCAATATGTGGTTCGTGTATTCTTGAAGAAGCAGAAGGATCAGTACACGCAGCTGAAGGCTCACCAACGTCATCGGGGTATTCGTCATCGCAATCTGTGCAAAAGTTATCCTGTTAGTTAATCACGACGACATTTCGTTAGTGCCTAGTCTATCATACATCACGCATCCAAGGCCCTCATACAAAATCACACTACCACAACTTTAGTTAAAAGACCACTTTCAAAAGTATGCATACATCATTACACAAAAAATCTCGCACATTCTCATACTTGAACTTGTACAAGTTCCCACGTTAGTAACGTGAACCAGGACTGCGTCTGATGTGTTCAAAGAACACATCTTCCGGGACAGCGCCCGCCACGCGCACAGGATGCACGTCTGCCAAGGCCCGCTTCTCAAGGTTGCTGGCCTCAGGAACACACCATGACCGCACTACATTGGCAGTCAGTTTCAACCAGCAAGGCACACACTAGCCTGTAAACATAAGTTAACAAAAAAAATTAAAAATATAAATTAAAAATTAAAGAAAAAAATACAATTAAAATACTTACATACATGCTTATACGGCCTCTCTTGACCGTGCACAGTCCTCGGATGCACTGGTGATCTCTTCTTCAGGAGACCGGCATCTTGCTCGCCATAGTCACCAATATGTGGTTCGTGTATTCTTGAAGAAGCAGAAGGATCAGTACACGCAGCTGAAGGCTCACCAACGTCATCGGGGTATTCGTCATCGCAATCTGTGCAAAAGTTATCCTGTTAGTTAATCACGACGACATTTCGTTAGTGCCTAGTCTATCATACATCACGCATCCAAGGCCCTCATACAAAATCACACTACCACAACTTTAGTTAAAAGACCACTTTCAAAAGTATGCATACATCATCACACAAAAAATCTCGCACATTCTCATACTTGCACTTGTACTAGTTCCCACGTTAGTAACGTGAACCAGGACTGCGTCTGATTTGTTCAAAGAACACATCTTCCGGGACAGCGCGGCGCCCGCCACGCGCACAGGATGCACGTCTGCCGAGGCCCGCTTCTCAAGGTTGCTAGCCTCAGGAACACACCATGACCGCACTACATTGGCAGTCCGTTTCAACCAGCAAGGCACACACTAGCCTGTAAACATAATTTAACAAAAAAAATTTAATTAGAAATTAAAAATTAAAGAAAAAAATACAATTAAAATACTTACATACATGCATATACGGCCTCTCTTGACCGTGCACAGTCCTCGGATGCACTGGTGATCTCTTCTTCAGGAGACCGGCATCTTGCTCGCCATAGTCACCAATATGTGGTTCGTGTATTCTTGAAGAAGCAGAAGGATCAGTACACGCAGCTGAAGGCTCACCAACGTCATCGGGGTATTCGTCATCGCAATCTGTGCAAAAGTTATCCTGTTAGTTAATCACGACGACATTTCGTTAGTGCCTAGTCTATCATACATCACGCATCCAAGGCCCTCATACAAAATCACACTACCACAACTTTAGTTAAAAGACCACTTTCAAAAGTATGCATACATCATTACACAAAAAATCTCGCACATTCTCATACTTGCACTTGTACAAGTTCCCACGTTAGTAACGTGAACCAGGACTGCGTCTGATTTGTTCAAAGAACACATCTTCCGGGACAGCGCGGCGCCCGCCACGCGCACAGGATGCACGTCTGCCGAGGCCCGCTTCTCAAGGTTGCTAGCCTCAGGAACACACCATGACCGCACTACATTGGCAGTCCGTTTCAACCAGCAAGGCACACACTAGCCTGTAAACATAAGTTTCACAAAAAAAAATTTAATTAGAAATTAATAGTTAAAAAAAAAATACAATTAAAATACTTACATACATACTTATACGGCCTCTCCTGACCGTGCACCGTCCTCAGATGCACTGGTGATCTCTTCTTCGGGAGAACGGCATCTTGCTCGCCATGGTCACCAATATGTGGTTCGTGTGTTCTTGAGGAAGCTGAAGGATCAGTACACGCAGCTGAAGGCTCACCAACGTCATCAGGGTATTCGTCATCGCAATCAGGAACTGGCCTCAGGAACACAGAATGACCGCACCACATTGGCAGTCCGTTTCGACCAGCAAGGCAGACACTTGCCTCACACCACACGCAAGCCAACATATCACGCGCGCATCCTTAACATAAGGAAGTAACACATTAGAAACAGCTTTTGACGGCTACCTTTAATATGAGAGCGAGGTGACGGCATCCTAATTGACCGTTCACGGGAAGCACGTGGCAACTTTTTCTAAAATTAACGGTTGTTTAAAAGGCTTAATTGTGAACGAAATCCTATCCCACTTCTGATTTTAGCAACCAGAAGGGATAATCAAATAAAAAAAAACAATTTAAAAAACCTACGAAGTGATTTAACCAAAATTAACTTCATTAAAGAACAACTCACGGTATTCTCGAAATCACACTAAATCTACCTTAAAATTTACTTATACTATCAAAACAACATGACTGAATATTTTAAAAACAACCGTATACCTTAAAACAATTTCACAAAAATCACCGAATAAAAATAACACAAAACGTACTCACAGTATGCGGCCTCGACACCAACCACCTTTCTTGTCAACAACGTCCGAGCAGCAACAGAGCCCGTGGCACACTGAGGCCTTTCTTTTATAGAAGGCGGGTGGGGATCGAAACCACCCACTATGATTTCTGCTTATATTTTTTTATTTATTTAGTTATTAAGCTTAAAACATCACACACAGTACAAAATCTACTAATTATTTTACAAAATCTTACATCTGAAATGTGTGACAATTAATGTAAACATAAGTTTCACAAAAAAATTTTAAATAGAAATTAAAAATTAAAAAAAAAATACAATTAAAATACTTGCATACATACTTATACGGCCTCTCCTGACCGTGCACCGTCCTCGGATGCACTGGTGATCTCTTCTTCAGGAGAACGGCATCTTGCTCGCCATAGTCACCAATATGTGGTTCGTGTGTTCTTGAGGAAGCAGAAGGATCAGTACACGCAGCTGAAGGCTCACCAACCTCATCGGGGTATTCGTCATCGCAATCTGTGCAAAATAAATCCTGTTAGTTAATCACGACGACATTTCGTTAGTGCCTAGTCTATCATACATCACGCATCCAAGGCCCTCATACAAAATCACACTACCACAACTTTAGTTAAAACACTTCACTTTCAAAAGTATGCATACATCATCTCACAAAAAATCGTGCACATTCTCATACTTGCACTTGTACAAGTTCCCACGTTAGTAACGTGAACCAGGACTGCGTCTGATGTGTTCAAAGAACACATCTTCCGGGACAGCGCCCGCTACGCGCACAGGATGCACGTCTGCCGAAGCCCGCTTCTCAAGGTTGCAGGCCTCAGGAACACACCATGACCGCACTACATTGGCAGTCCGTTTCAACCAGCAAGGCACACACTAGCCTGTAAACATAAGTTTCACAAAAAAAAATTTAAATAGAAATTAATAGTTAAAAAAAAAATACAATTAAAATACTTACATACATACTTATACGGCCTCTCCTGACCGTGCACCGTCCTCGGATGCACTGGTGATCTCTTCTTCGGGAGAACGGCATCTTGCTCGCCATGGTCACCAATATGTGGTTCGTGTGTTCTTGAGGAAGCTGAAGGATCAGTACACGCAGCTGAAGGCTCACAAACGTCATCGGGGTATTCGTCATCGCAATCAGGAACTGACCTCAGGAACACAAAATGACCGCACCACATTGGCAGTCCGTTTCAACCAGCAAGGCAGACACTTGCCTCACACCACACGCAAGCCAACATATCACGCGCGCATCCTTAACATAAGGAAGTAACACATTAGAAACAGCTTTTGACGGCTACCTTCAATATGAGAGCGAGGTGACGGCATCCTAATTGACCGTTCACGGGAAGCACGTGGCAACTTATTCTAAAATTAACGGTTGTTTAAAAGGCTTATTTGTGAACGAAATCCTATCCCACTTCTGATTTTAGCAACCAGAAGGGATAATCAAATAAAAAAAAAACAATTCAAAAAAACCTACGAAGTGATTTAACCAAAAATAACTTCATTAAAGAACATAATATCACGGTATTCTCAAAATCACACTAAATCTACCTTAAAATTTACTTATATACTGCTCAAAACAATTAGCGGAACAAAATTTTTCTCCTTTCTATTGCTTAAACTAAAATAAGATTTTAATTAACTTGTACGCTATTTTTTACCTTGTTAATTTGATAATTACTACAATTAATAAAAAAATTCAATTTGTATTTTTTTTTATTAAAAAAAATTTAGAATGTGCATTGTAGACGAGAAACTAATTGGTGATAAAAAAGGTCCATCAAAGAAATATTCTTATATCGTTTGAATATCGACCGCGAACGAGCTACGCATATACACTGATGGCTCAAAGACAGGGAGCGGCTCCGGTGCTGGCATATTCTCTCAAGATCTCAACATCAAAACACACCTACCCCTAGGCATACACAGTTCGATTTTTCAATGCGAGTGTGTTGCCCTAACCGAAGCAGCCAGAGGCGTAAAGCGGTTGGGAGTTAATAACTTTTGTATTAAGCTCGTATCCGACAGCGCGTCTGTGCTGATGGCGTTAGGGGGTGACACGACAAACAGCAAACTGGTGCTGGAGTGCCACAATGCACTGGAGGCATTAGCCCTGACGAACAGGGTCACCCTACAGTGGATTAAGGGACACAGCAGATCTCTCGGCAATGACGCAGCCGATGAGCTTGCGAGGAGAGGCTCGGAAATGTTGCCGGCAGGCCCGTATCCGCTCCTACCCTTGCCCTTCTCGCAAGTGCGAACATGGATTCGCCAGAGATCTGAGGAACTCCAGCACCAACGTTGGTCATCAAGTGTAGACTGCAGGCAATCCAAATTGGTTCTGCCAGTGACTAACACAAGAATGACTAAACAACTTTTAAATCTAACCAGAAATAACCTCAAAATAATGATAGGGACAATCACGGGCCATTGCCTCCTTAATAAACACCTTTATGTCCTAGGCGCGACAGACAGCCCCATGTGCAGAGGCTGTTTCAACGCAGAGGAAACAGTCACCCACGTAGTCCTGGAGTGCGAGGCTGTGGCTAAACAACGTACAGAAATCCTCGGAACAGTGAGGTCGCTCCGAGAAGCCTGCGAAGTGCCCAGGAAGCTTCTGTGCTTCTGGAAGGAGTTAGGCTGGCTTAGTTAGCCAGGGCTCACGTACAACGGACCTAGTGAGCGTCTAAGTGCGGAAAACGAGTCCACAAACCATACCATACCATACCATCGTTTGAATATTCGTCTTTAGTGACTTTCAGTAACGTGTGGCCTCCATGAGCCCTAATCACGGCTTGACAACGACGCGGCATGCTTCGTATGATCCTCCGAATATCTTCTTGTGGAATTCGCTCCCTTTCTTCAATCAACGCTTCAGTGAGCTGCTGCAGTGTTTGAGGTGCAATCGGACGCTTCCGGGTGCGCCTGTCAAGCAAGTCCCAAATGTGTTCAATTGGATTTAGGTCACGGCTCATGGAAGGCCACTCCATTACACGGATTTCCTGCTGTCGTAAGTAATCTGACGTGATGGCTGCAGTATGCGGCCTGGCATTATCTTGCATTAAAAGAAAATCTGGGCCCATACCATATGCTGCGGGCCAAACATGATCTTCGAGCACATTTTCAATGTAAGTTTGAGGACACAAGCGCCCGGGAACAACGACGAGATCTGTGCGCTCGTCCAAACTAACTCCGCCCCAAACCATCACAGAACCACATCCAAATTTGTCATATTCCTGGACTGCTGCTGCACTGTATCGCTCGCCTGGGCGTCTGTAAACACGGAGACGACCATCGCAACGTGTTAGACGGAATCGTGATTCGTCAGTAAAAAGCACTGGCCTCCAATGTCGAAGTTGCCAATTAGCGTGATTTTGCGCGAACTGTCGGCGAGCTTGTCTATGTTGAATTGTTAGACGCACAGCCCGAACTGGTCGGCGTGATCTCAAATTGGCTTCCAACAACCTATTTCTTACTGTCTGTTCGGAAATTTCTACACCAGTAGCCGTCCTTAGTGTATTTTGTAGATCTCTTGCAGTTGTGTTGTGGTGCGGTTACGTAAAGCACAGTTGACGATGTAGCGATCTTGCAAACGTGTAGTTTTTCTCTTTCGACCTTGACCACGCCTTCGTGAGTATTCTCCCGTCTCACGGTATCGCTTCCAAAGTCTGTAAATAAAAGAAGGGGCTACTCCTAGATCATTTCCTACATAACGCATAGTTCGACCCTCTTCAAGCAAAGCGATAGCTCGGGAGACATGCAATTCAGTCAGATCTGGCATTATGACCTAAACTCACTCGCTTCAATGAATAACAATACTCAAAAGGCTCACTTCAATTTCTATTAATACTCAAAAGATTGAAAAAAACTACTTAAAATGTGTTTTCTGTGATTAGAAAGTAATAAAAATTCAAAGACGTCACTTTGTTTTTCGTCTACAATGCACATTTTAATTTTTTTTAATAAAAAAAATACAAATTGAACTTTTTTATTAATTGTAGTGGTAATTAACAAATTAACAAGGTAAAAAATAGCGTACAAGTTAATTTAAATCTAATTTTAGTTTAAGCAATAGAAAGGAGAAAAATCTTGTTCCGCTAATTGTTTTGAGCAGTATACTATCAAAACAACACGACTTTGAGTATTTTAAAATCAACCGTTAACCTTAAAAAAATTACACAAAAATCACCGAATAAAATTACACAAAATGTACTCACAGAATTCGGCGTCGACACCAACCACCTTTCTTGTCAACGTCCGAGCAGCAACAGAGCCCGTGGCACACTGAGGCCTTTCTTTTATAGAAGGCGGGTGGGGATCGAAACCACCCACTATGATTTCTGCTTATATTTTTTTATTTATTTAGTTATTAAGCTTAAAACATCACACACAGTACAAATTCTACTAATTATTTTACAAAATCTTACATCTGAAATGTGTGACAATTAATATAAACATAAGTTTCACGAAAAAAATTTAAATAGAAATTAATTGTTAAAAAAAATACAATTAAAATACTTACATACATGCTTATACGGCCTCTCCAGACCGTGCACCGTCCTTGGATGCACTGGTGATCTCTTCATCGGGAAAACGGCATCTTGCTCGCCATGGTCACCAATATGTGGTTCGTGTGTTATTGAGGAAGCAGAAGGATCAGTACACGCAGCTGAAGGCTCACCAACTTCATCGGGGTATTCGTCATCGCAATCTGTGCAAAAGTTATCCTGTTAGTTAATCACGACGACATTTCGTTAGTGCCTAGTCTATCATACATCACGCATCCAAGGCCCTCATACAAAATCACACTACCACAACTTTAGTTAAAACACTTCACTTTCAAAAGTATGCATACATCATCTCACAAAAAATCTCGCACATTCTCATACTTGAACTTGTACAAGTTCCCACGTTAGTAACGTGAACCAGGACTGCGTCTGAAGTGTTCAAAGAACACATCTTCCGGGAAAGCGCCCGCCACGCACTCAGGATGCACGTCTGCCGAGGCCCGCTTCTCAAGGTTGCTAGCCTCAGGAACACACCATGACCGCACTACATTGGCAGTCCGTTTCAACCAGCAAGGCACACACTAGCCTTTAAACATAAGTTTCACAAAAAAAAATTTAAATAGAAATTAATAGTTAAAAAAAATACAATTAAAATACTTACATACATACTTATACGGCCTCTCCTGACCGAGCACCGTCCTCGGATGCACTGGTGATCTCTTCTTCGGGAGAACGGCATCTTGCTCGCCATGGTCACCAATATGTGGTTCGTGTGTTCTTGAGGAAGCTGAAGGATCAGTACACGCAGCTGAAGGCTCACCAACCTCATCGGGGTATTCGTCATCGCAATCTGTGCAAAATAAATCCTGTTAGTTAATCACGACGACATTTCGTTAGTGCCTAGTCTATCATACATCACGCATCCAAGGCCCTCATACAAAATCACACTACCACAACTTTAGTTGAAACACTTCACTTTCAAAAGTATGCATACATCATCTCACTAAAAATCTCGCACATTCTCATACTTGAACTTGTACAAGTTCCCACGTTAGTAACGTGAACCAGGACTGCGTCTGGAGTGTTCAAAGAACACATCTTCCGGGAAAGCGCCCGCCACGCACTCAGGATGCACGTCTGCCGAGGCCCGCTTCTCAAGGTTGCTAGCCTCAGGAACACACCATAACCGCACTACATTGTCAGTCAGTTTCAACCAGCAAGGCACACACTAGCCTGTAAACATAAGTTTCACAATAAAAATTTAAATAGAAATTAATAGTTAAAAACAAAATACAATTAAATTACTTACATACGTAGTTGGTCCCAAAGTTCTGTCACTAGCACATTATTTCTACATTTCGAGCAGGATTTTATAAAAAAATTATTGCATTCTATTTTGGAATGTTTGATTATTGTTTTAAAACAAAAAACAATAACTTTCCGTAATTTTTCACGATGGAGTGGACATTGAAAGTAAACCGAATAGTTGTTATTGCGTTGCACCGCTGTGGACACTCGCCGAGTACCATTTTCAAGTTGCTCAAAAATTTGAATATAACGCTTAGGTTTGTGTACGGTACTATTGATAGGTACCTTGAAGTCTCCAGTGTTGAGGACAAGAAAAGAACTGGCTGGCCACGCTCCGCAAGAACACCAGCAGTAATCAAAGCTATCAAGGCGCGGATAGTAAGAAAGTCTGTCCGAAAACAGAAGTTGATGGATTTGTAGATGGGTGTCAGTAGGAAAACAGTAAAAAAGGTTTTAAATGAAGATCTTGGTCTACGAGCATACAAAAAAAGAGTGGGAACTTACTTAATGCTCGTCTAAAAGCAATAAGGCTTAAGAGATCGCGGGTGTTGTTTAAGCGGTACGCGAAAAACCGACACCGTGATATCCTCTTTACGGACGAAAATTTTTTTGATATTGAAGAGAAGTACAATAAACATAATTATACAGTGTACGCTAGGAGTTCTGAAGAAGCTGAAAATAAAGTTCCAAGGGTGCAACATGGACATCATCCATCATCAGTAATGGTTTGGTTGGGAGTGTCCTATTACGGGCTAACTGAGGTTAATTTTTTCGAAAAGGGGGTCAAAACCAGTGCTACAGTGTACCAAGAGACGGTTTTGTATCGCCTTGTCAAAGATGTCCAGCACCCTATTTGCGGGACATCACTTCGTGTTCCAGCAGGACTCTGCGTCTGCATACAAAGCCAAGACAACTAAAGCCTGGTTTGAGCGTCAAAACATCGTCTTAATTAGACATGAGGATTGGCCTTCCTCCAGTCCGGACCTTAATCCTTTGGACCAGAAATTATGACAGGGCTTAGAGAGGAAGGTCTGTGATAAACCTCATGAAAATTTGGAGAATCTGAAGTCATCTTTAAAAAAACCAGTGACTGAAATGGACACGAATATGGTGCGTGCTGCGATAGACGACTGGCCGCGACGCTTAAGGGCCTGTATTAAAAATGAGGGAGGTTATTTCGAATATTTTTATGCTTTTTTTAATCCTTAATTAATTTACTAAGAATTGATATATCACTCATTACAAACTGATCAGTACTTTTGTTTTTATCATTATTTCCATTTATGACAGAACTTTGGGACCGACTACGTACATACTTATACGGCCTCTCCTGACCGTGCACCGTCCTCGGATGCACTGGTGATCTCTTCTTCGGGAGAACGGCATCTTGCTCGCCATGGTCACCAATATGTGGTTCGTGTTCTTGAGGAAGCAGAAGGATCAGTACACGCAGCTGAAGGCTCACCAACCTCATCGGGGTATTCGTCATCGCAATCTGTGCAAAATAAATCCTGTTAGTTAATCACGACGACATTTCGTTAGTGCCTAGTCTATCATACATCACGCATCCAAGGCCCTCATACAAAATCACACTACCACAACTTTAGTTAAAACACTTCACTTTCAAAAGTATGCATACATCATCTCACAAAAAATCTCGCACATTCTCATACTTGAACTTGTACAAGTTCCCACGTTAGTAACGTGAACCAGGACTGCGTCTGATGTGTTCAAAGAACACATCTTCCGGGACAGCGCCCGCCACGCGCACAGGATGCACGTCTGCCGAAGCCCGCTTCTCAAGGTTGCTAGCCTCAGGAACACACCATGACCGCACTACATTGGCAGTCCGTTTCAACCAGCAAGGCACAAACTAGCCTGTAAACATAAGTTTCACAAAAAAAAATTAAATAGAAATTAATAGTTAAAAAAAAAATACAATTAAATTACTTACATACATACATATACGGCCTCTCCTGACCGTGCACCGTCCTCGGATGCACTGGTGATCTCTTCTTCGGGAGAACGGCATCTTGCTCGCCATGGTCACCAATATGTGGTTCGTGTGTTCTTGAGGAAGCTGAAGGATCAGTACACACAGCTGAAGGCTAACCAACGTCATCAGGGTATTCGTCATCGCAATCAGGAACTGGCCTCAGGAACACAGAATGACCGTACCACATTGGCAGTCCGTTTCAACCAGCAAGGCAGACACTTGCCTCACACCACACGCAAGCTAACATATCACGCGCGCATCCTTAACAAAAGGAAGTTACACATTAGAAACGGCTTTTGACGGCTACCTTCAATATGAGAGCGAGGTGACGGCATCCTAATTGACCGTTCACGGGAAGCACGTGGCAACTTATTCTAAAATTAACGGTTGTTTAAAAGGCTAATTTGTGAACGAAATCCTATCCCACTTCTGATTTTAGCAACCAGAAGGGATAATCAAATAAAAAAAAACAATTAAAAAAAACCTACGAAGTGATTTAACCAAAAATAACTTCATTAAAGAACTAATCACGGTATTCTCAAAATCACACTAAATCTACCTTAAAATTTACTTATACTATCAAAACAACACGACTTTGAGTATTTTAAAATCAACCGTTAACCTTAAAAAAATTACACAAAAATCACCGAATAAAATTACACAAAATGTACTCACAGTATGCGGCGTCGACACCAACCACCTTTCTTGTCAACGTCCGAGCAGCAACAGAGCCCGTGGCACACTGAGGCCTTTCTTTTATAGAAGGCGGGTGGGGATCGAAACCACCCACTATGATTTCTGCTTATTTTTTATTTATTTATTTAGTTATTAAGCTTAAAACATCACACACAGTACAAAATCTACTAATTATTTTACAAAATCTTACATCTGAAATGTGTGACAATTAATGTAAACATAAGTTTCACAAAAAAAAATTAAATGGAAATTAATAGTTTAAAAAAAATACAATTAAAATACTTACATACATACTTATACGGCCTCTCCTGACCGTGCACCGTCCTCGGATGCACTGGTGATCTCTTCTTCGGGAGAACGGCATCTTGCTCGCCATGGTCACCAATATGTGGTTCGTGTGTTCTTGAGGAAGCTGAAGGATCAGTACACGCAGCTGAAGGCTCACCAACGTCATCAGGGTATTCGTCATCGCAATCAGGAACTGGCCTCAGGAACACAGAATGACCGCACCACATTGGCAGTCCGTTTCAACCAGCAAGGCAGACACTTGCCTCACACCACACGCAAGCCAACATATCACGCGCGCATCTTTAACATAAGGAAGTAACACATTAGAAACAGCTTTTGACGGCTACCTTCAATATGAGAGCGAGGTGACGGCATCCTAATTGACCGTTCACGGGAAGCACGTGGCAACTTATTCTAAAATTAACGGTTGTTTAAAGGGCTTATTTGTGAACGAAATCCTATCCCACTTCTGATTTTAGCAACCAGAAGGGATAATCAAATAAAAAAAAACAATTCAAAAAAACCTACGAAGTTATTTAACCAAAAATAACTTCATTATAGAACAAATCACGGTATTCTCGAAATCACACTAAATCTACCTTAAAATTTACTTATATACTGCTCAAAACAATTAGCGGAACAAGATTTTTCTCCTTTCTATTGCTTAAACTAAAATTAGATTTAAATTAACTTGTACGCTATTTTTTACCTTGTCAATTTGTTAATTACTACAATTAATAAAAAAATTCAATTTGTATTTTTTTTATTAAAAAAAAATTAAAATGTGCATTGTAGACGAAAAACTAATTGGTGATAAAAAAGGTCCATCAAAGAAATATTCTTATATCGTTTGAATATTCGTCTTTAGTGACTTTCAGTAACGTGTGTAGCCTCCATGAGCCCTTATCACGGCTTGACAACGACGCGGCATGCTTCGTATGATCCTCCGAATATCTTCTTGTGGAATTCGCTCCCATTCTTCAATCAACGCTTCAGTGAGCTGCTGCAGTGTTTGAGGTGCAATCGGACGCTTCCGGATGCGCCTGTCAAGCAAGTCCCAAATGTGTTCAATTGGATTTAGGTCAGGGCTAATGGAAGGCCACTCCATTACACGGATTTCCTGCTGTCGTAAGTAATCTGACGTGATGGCTGCAGTATGCGGCCTGGCATTATCTTGCATTAAAAGAAAATCTGGGCCCATACCATACATACATGCTGCGGGCCAAACATGATCTTCGAGCACATTTTCAATGTAAGTTTGAGCACACAAGCGCCCGGGAACAACGACGAGATCTGTGCGCTCGTCCAAACTAACTCCGCCCCAAACTATCACAGAACCACATCCAAATTTGTCATATTCCTGGACTGCTGCTGCACTGTATCGCTCGCCTGGGCGTCTGTAAACACGGAGACGACCATCGCAACGTGTTAGACGGAATCGTGATTCGTCAGTAAAAAGCACTGGCCTCCAATGTCGAAGTGGCAATTAGCGTGATTTTGCGCGAACTGTCGGCGAGCTTGTCTATGTTGAATTGTTAGACGCACAGCCCGAACTGGTCGGCGTGATCTCAAATTGGCTTCCAACAACCTATTTCTTACCGTCTGGTCGGAAATTTCTACACCAGTAGCCGTCCTTAGTGTATTTTGTAGATCTCTTGCAGTTGTGGTGCGGTTACGTAAAGCACAGTTGACGATGTAGCGATCTTGCAAACGTGTAGTTTTTCTCTTTCGACCTTCACCACGCCTTCGTGAGTATTCTCCCGTCTCACGGTATCGCTTCTAAAGTCTGTAGATAACAGAAGGGGCTACTCCTAGATCATTTCCTACATAACGCATATTTCGACCCTCTTAAAGCAAAGCGATAGCTCGGGAGACATGCAATTCAGTCAGATCTGACATTATGACCTAAACTCACTCGCTTCAATGAATAACAATACTCAAAAGGCTCACTTCAATTTCTATTAATACTCAAAAGATTGAGAAAAACTACTTTAAATGTGTTTTCTGTGATTAGAAAGTAATGAAAATTCAAAGACGTCACTTTGTTTTTCGTCTACAATGCACATTTTAATTTAAAAAAAAAAAAAAAATACAAATTGAATTTTTTTATTAATTGTAGTAATTTACAAATTAACAAGGTAAAAAATAGCGTACAAGTTAATTTAAATCTAATTTTAGTTTAAGCAATAGAAAGGAGAAAAATCTTGTTCCGCTAATTGTTTTGAGCAGTATACTATCAAAACAACACGACTTTGAGTATTTTAAAATCAACCGTTAACCTTAAAAAAATTACACAAAAATCACCGAATAAAAATAACACAAAACGTACTCACAGTATGCGGCGTCGACACCAACCACCTTTCTTGTCAACGTCCGAGCAGCAACAGAGCCCGTGGCACACTGAGGCCTTTCTTTTATAGAAGGCGGGTGGGGATCGAAACCACCCACTATGATTTCTGCTTATATTTTTTTATTTATTTAGTTATTAAGCTTAAAACATCACACACAGTACAAAATCTACTAATTATTTTACAAAATCTTACATCTGAAATGTGTGAAAATTAATATAAACAAGTTTCACAAAAAAAATTTAAATAGAAATTTTAAATTAAAAAAAAATACAATTAAAATACTTACATACATACTTATACGGCCTCTCCTGACCGTGCACTGTCCTCGGATAAACTGGTAATCTCTTCTTCGGGAGGACGGCATCTTGCTCGCCATAGTCACCAATATGTGGTTCGTGTATTCTTGAGGAAGCAGAAGGATCAGTACACGCAGCTGAAGGCTCACCAACCTCATCGGGGTATTCGTCATCGCAATCTGTGCAAAATAAATCCTGTTAGTTTATCACGATGACATTTCGTTAGTGCCTAGTCTATCATACATCACGCATCCAAGGCCCTCATACAAAATCACACTACCACAACTTTAGTTAAAACACTTCACTTTCAAAATTATGCATACATCATCTCACAAAACATCTCACACATTCTCATACTTGAACTTGGAAAAGTGCCCTCGTTAGCAATGTGAACCAGGACTGCGCCTGATATAAGTTCAAAGAACACATCTTCCGGGACAGCGTCCGCTACGCGCACAGGATGCACGTCTGCCGAGGCCCGCTTCTCAAGGTTGCTGACCTCAGGAACACACCATGACCGCACTACATTGGCAGTCCCTTTCAACCAGCAAGGCACACACTAGCCTGTAAACATAAGTTTCACAAAAAAAAATTAAATGGAAATTAACAGTTTAAAAAAATACAATTAAAATACTTACATACATACTTATACGGCCTCTCCTGACCGTGCACCATCCGCGGATAAACTGGTGATCTCTTCTTCGGGAGAACGGCATCTTGCTCGCCATGGTCACAAATGTGTGGTTCGTGTGTTCTTGAGGAAGCTGAAGGATCAGTACACGCAGCTGAAGGCTCACCTACGTCATCAGGGTATTCGTCATCGCAATCTGTGCAAAATAAATCCTGTTAGTTAATCACGATGACATTTCGTTAGTGCCTAGTCTATCACACATCACGCATCCAAGGCCCTCATACAAAATCACACTACCACAACTTTAGTTAAAACACTTCACTTTCAAAAGTATGCATACATCATCTCACAAAACATCTCAAACATTCTCATACTTGAACTTGTACAAGTTCCCACGTTAGTAACGTGAACCAGGACTGCGTCTGATGTGTTCAAAGAACACATCTTCCGGGACAGCGCCCGCCACGCGCACAGGATGCACGTCTGCCGAGGCCCGCTTCTCAAGGTTGCTAGCCTCAGGAACACACCATGACCGCACTACATTGGCAGTCCGTTTCAACCAGCAAGGCACACACTAGCCTGTAACATAAGTTTCACAAAAAAAAATTTAAATAGAAATTAATAGTTAAAAAAAATACAATTAAAATACTTACATACATACTTATACGGCCTCTCCTGACCGTGCACCGTCCTCGGATGCACTGGTGATCTCTTCTTCGGGAGAACGGCATCTTGCTCGCCATGGTCACCAATATGTGGTTCGTGTGTTCTTGAGGAAGCTGAAGGATCAGTACACGCAGCTGAAGGCTCACCAACGTCATCAGGGTATTCGTCATCGCAATCAGGAACTAGCCTCAGAAACACAGAATGACCGTACCACATTGGCAGTCCGTTTCAACCAGCAAGGCAGACACTTGCCTCACACCACACGCAAGCCAACATATCACGCGCGCATCTTTAACATAAGGAAGTAACACATTAGAAACAGCTTTTGACGGCTACCTTCAATATGAGAGCGAGGTGACGGCATCCTAATTGACCGTTCACGGGAAGCACGTGGCAACTTATTCTAAAATTAACGGTTGTTTAAAGGGCTTATTTGTGAACGAAATCCTATCCCACTTCTGATTTTAGCAACCAGAAGGGATAATCAAATAAAAAAAAACAATTCAAAAAACCTACGAAGTTATTTAACCAAAAATAACTTCAATTAAGAACAAATCACGGTATTCTCGAAATCACACTAAATCTACCTTAAAATTTACTTATATACTTCTCAAAACAATTAGCGGAACAAGATTTTTCTCCTTTCTATTGCTTTAACTAAAATTAGATTTAAATTAACTTGTACGCTATTTTTTACCTTGTTAATTTGTTAATTACTACAATTAATAAAAAAATTCAATTTGTATTTTTTTTATTAAAAAAAAATTAAAATGTGCATTGTAGACGAAAAACTAATTGGTGATAAAAAAGGTCCATCAAAGAAATATTCTTATATCGTTTGAATATTCGTCTTTAGTGACTTTCAGTAACGTGTGTGGCCTCCATGAGCCCTTATCACGGCTTGACAACGACGCGGCATGCTTCGTATGATCCTCCGAATATCTTCTTGTGGAATTCGCTCCCATTCTTCAATCAACGCTTCAGTGAGCTGCTGCAGTGTTTGAGGTGCAATCGGACGCTTCCGGATGCGCCTGTCAAGCAAGTCCCAAATGTGTTCAATTGGATTTAGGTCAGGGCTAATGGAAGGCCACTCCATTACACGGATTTCCTGCTGTCGTAAGTAATCTGACGTGATGGCTGCAGTATGCGGCCTGGCATTATCTTGCATTAAAAGAAAATCTGGGCCCATACCATACATACATGCTGCGGGCCAAACATGATCTTCGAGCACATTTTCAATGTAAGTTTGAGCACACAAGCGCCCGGGAACAACGACGAGATCTGTGCGCTCGTCCAAACTAACTCCGCCCCAAACTATCACAGAACCACATCCAAATTTGTCATATTCCTGGACTGCTGCTGCACTGTATCGCTCGCCTGGGCGTCTGTAAACACGGAGACGACCATCGCAACGTGTTAGACGGAATCGTGATTCGTCAGTAAAAAGCACTGGCCTCCAATGTCGAAGTTGCCAATTAGCGTGATTTTGCGCGAACTGTCGGCGAGCTTGTCTATGTTGAATTGTTAGACGCACAGCCCGAACTGGTCGGCGTGATCTCAAATTGGCTTCCAACAACCTATTTCTTACCGTCTGGTCGGAAATTTCTACACCAGTAGCCGTCCTTAGTGTATTTTGTAGATCTCTTGCAGTTGTGGTGCGGTTACGTAAAGCACAGTTGACGATGTAGCGATCTTGCAAACGTGTAGTTTTTCTCTTTCGACCTTCACCACGCCTTCGTGAGTATTCTCCCGTCTCACGGTATCGCTTCTAAAGTCTGTAGATAACAGAAGGGGCTACTCCTAGATCATTTCCTACATAACGCATATTTCGACCCTCTTAAAGCAAAGCGATAGCTCGGGAGACATGCAATTCAGTCAGATCTGACATTATGACCTAAACTCACTCGCTTCAATGAATAACAATACTCAAAAGGCTCACTTCAATTTCTATTAATACTCAAAAGATTGAGAAAAACTACTTTAAATGTGTTTTCTGTGATTAGAAAGTAATGAAAATTCAAAGACGTCACTTTGTTTTTCGTCTACAATGCACATTTTAATTTAAAAAAAAAAAATACAAATTGAATTTTTTTATTAATTGTAGTAATTTACAAATTAACAAGGTAAAAAATAGCGTACAAGTTAATTTAAATCTAATTTTAGTTTAAGCAATAGAAAGGAGAAAAATCTTGTTCCGCTAATTGTTTTGAGCAGTATACTATCAAAACAACACGACTTTGAGTATTTTAAAATCAACCGTTAATCTTAAAAAAATTACACAAAAATCACCGAATAAAAATAACACAAAACGTACTCACAGTATGCGGCGTCGACACCAACCACCTTTCTTGTCAACGTCCGAGCAGCAACAGAGCCCGTGGCACACTGAGGCCTTTCTTTTATAGAAGGCGGGTGGGGATCGAAACCACCCACTATGATTTCTGCTTATATTTTTTTATTTATTTAGTTATTAAGCTTAAAACATCACACACAGTACAAAATCTACTAATTATTTTACAAAATCTTACATCTGAAATGTGTGAAAATTAATATAAACAAGTTTCACAAAAAAAATTTAAATAGAAATTTTAAATTAAAAAAAAAATACAATTAAAATACTTACATACATACTTATACGGCCTCTCCTGACCGTGCACTGTCCTCGGATAAACTGGTAATCTCTTCTTCGGGAGAACGGCATCTTGCTCGCCATAGTCACCAATATGTGGTTCGTGTATTCTTGAGGAAGCAGAAGGATCAGTACACGCAGCTGAAGGCTCACCAACCTCATCGGGGTATTCGTCATCGCAATCTGTGCAAAATAAATCCTGTTAGTTTATCACGATGACATTTCGTTAGTGCCTAGTCTATCATACATCACGCATCCAAGGCCCTCATACAAAATCACACTACCACAACTTTAGTTAAAACACTTCACTTTCAAAATTATGCATACATCATCTCACAAAACATCTCACACATTCTCATACTTGAACTTGGAAAAGTGCCCTCGTTAGCAATGTGAACCAGGACTGCGCCTGATATAAGTTCAAAGAACACATCTTCCGGGACAGCGTCCGCTACGCGCACAGGATGCACGTCTGCCGAGGCCCGCTTCTCAAGGTTGCTGACCTCAGGAACACACCATGACCGCACTACATTGGCAGTCCCTTTCAACCAGCAAGGCACACACTAGCCTGTAAACATAAGTTTCACAAAAAAAATTAAATGGAAATTAACAGTTTAAAAAATACAATTAAAATACTTACATACATACTTATACGGCCTCTCCTGACCGTGCACCATCCGCGGATAAACTGGTGATCTCTTCTTCGGGAGAACGGCATCTTGCTCGCCATGGTCACAAATGTGTGGTTCGTGTGTTCTTGAGGAAGCTGAAGGATCAGTACACGCAGCTGAAGGCTCACCTACGTCATCAGGGTATTCGTCATCGCAATCTGTGCAAAATAAATCCTGTTAGTTAATCACGATGACATTTCGTTAGTGCCTAGTCTATCACACATCACGCATCCAAGGCCCTCATACAAAATCACACTACCACAACTTTAGTTAAAACATTTCACTTTCAAAAGTATGCATACATCATCTCACAAAACATCTCAAACATTCTCATACTTGAACTTGTACAAGTTCCCACGTTAGTAACGTGAACCAGGACTGCGTCTGATGTGTTCAAAGAACACATCTTCCGGGACAGCGCCCGCCACGCGCACAGGATGCACGTCTGCCGAGTCCCGCTTCTCAAGGTTGCTAGCCTCAGGAACACACCATGACCGCACTACATTGGCAGTCCGTTTCAACCAGCAAGGCACACACTAGCCTGTAACATAAGTTTCACAAAAAAAAATTTAAATAGAAATTAATAGTTAAAAAAAAATACAATTAAAATACTTACATACATACTTATACGGCCTCTCCTGACCGTGCACCGTCCTCGGATGCACTGGTGATCTCTTCTTCGGGAGAACGGCATCTTGCTCGCCATGGTCACCAATATGTGGTTCGTGTGTTCTTGAGGAAGCTGAAGGATCAGTACACGCAGCTGAAGGCTCACCAACGTCATCAGGGTATTCGTCATCGCAATCAGGAACTAGCCTCAGAAACACAGAATGACCGTACCACATTGGCAGTCCGTTTCAACCAGCAAGGCAGACACTTGCCTCACACCACACGCAAGCCAACATATCACGCGCGCATCTTTAACATAAGGAAGTAACACATTAGAAACAGCTTTTGACGGCTACCTTCAATATGAGAGCGAGGTGACGGCATCCTAATTGACCGTTCACGGGAAGCACGTGGCAACTTATTCTAAAATTAACGGTTGTTTAAAGGGCTTATTTGTGAACGAAATCCTATCCCACTTCTGATTTTAGCAACCAGAAGGGATAATCAAATAAAAAAAAACAATTCAAAAAAACCTACGAAGTTATTTAACCAAAAATAACTTCATTATAGAACAAATCACGGTATTCTCGAAATCACACTAAATCTACCTTAAAATTTACTTATATACTTCTCAAAACAATTAGCGGAACAAGATTTTTCTCCTTTCTATTGCTTTAACTAAAATAAGATTTAAATTAACTTGTACGCTATTTTTTACCTTGTTAATTTGTTAATTACTACAATTAATAAAAAAATTCAATTTGTATTTTTTTATTAAAAAAAATTAAAATGTGCATTGTAGACGAAAAACTAATTGGTGATAAAAAAGGTCCATCAAAGAAATATTCTTATATCGTTTGAATATTCGTCTTTAGTGACTTTCAGTAACGTGTGTGGCCTCCATGAGCCCTTATCACGGCTTGACAACGACGCGGCATGCTTCGTATGATCCTCCGAATATCTTCTTGTGGAATTCGCTCCCATTCTTCAATCAACGCTTCAGTGAGCTGCTGCAGTGTTTGAGGTGCAATCGGACGCTTCCGGATGCGCCTGTCAAGCAAGTCCCAAATGTGTTCAATTGGATTTAGGTCAGGGCTAATGGAAGGCCACTCCATTACACGGATTTCCTGCTGTCGTAAGTAATCTGACGTGATGGCTGCAGTATGCGGCCTGGCATTATCTTGCATTAAAAGAAAATCTGGGCCCATACCATACATACATGCTGCGGGCCAAACATGATCTTCGAGCACATTTTCAATGTAAGTTTGAGCACACAAGCGCCCGGGAACAACGACGAGATCTGTGCGCTCGTCTAAACTAACTCCGCCCCAAACTATCACAGAACCACATCCAAATTTGTCATATTCCTGGACTGCTGCTGCACTGTATCGCTCGCCTGGGCGTCTGTAAACACGGAGACGACCATCGCAACGTGTTAGACGGAATCGTGATTCGTCAGTAAAAAGCACTGGCCTCCAATGTCGAAGTTGCCAATTAGCGTGATTTTGCGCGAACTGTCGGCGAGCTTGTCTATGTTGAATTGTTAGACGCACAGCCCGAACTGGTCGGCGTGATCTCAAATTGGCTTCCAACAACCTATTTCTTACCGTCTGGTCGGAAATTTCTACACCAGTAGCCGTCCTTAGTGTATTTTGTAGATCTCTTGCAGTTGTGGTGCGGTTACGTAATGCACAGTTGACGATGTAGCGATCTTGCAAACGTGTAGTTTTTCTCTTTCGACCTTCACCACGCCTTCGTGAGTATTCTCCCGTCTCACGGTATCGCTTCTAAAGTCTGTAGATAACAGAAGGGGCTACTCCTAGATCATTTCCTACATAACGCATATTTCGACCCTCTTAAAGCAAAGCGATAGCTCGGGAGACATGCAATTCAGTCAGATCTGACATTATGACCTAAACTCACTCGCTTCAATGAATAACAATACTCAAAAGGCTCACTTCAATTTCTATTAATACTCAAAAGATTGAGAAAAACTACTTTAAATGTGTTTTCTGTGATTAGAAAGTAATGAAAATTCAAAGACGTCACTTTGTTTTTCGTCTACAATGCACATTTTAATTTAAAAAAAAAAAATACAAATTGAATTTTTTTATTAATTGTAGTAATTAACAAATTAACAAGGTAAAAAATAGCGTACAAGTTAATTTAAATCTAATTTTAGTTTAAGCAATAGAAAGGAGAAAAATCTTATTCCGCTAATTGTTTTGAGCAGTATACTATCAAAACAACACGACTTTGAGTATTTTAAAATCAACCGTTAACCTTAAAAAAATTACACAAAAATCACCGAATAAAAATAACACAAAACGTACTCACAGTATGCGGCGTCGACACCAACCACCTTTCTTGTCAACGTCCGAGCAGCAACAGAGCCCGTGGCACACTGAGGCCTTTCTTTTATAGAAGGCGGGTGGGGATCGAAACCACCCACTATGATTTCTGCTTATATTTTTTTATTTATTTAGTTATTAAGCTTAAAACATCACACACAGTACAAAATCTACTAATTATTTTACAAAATCTTACATCTGAAATGTGTGAAAATTAATATAAACAAGTTTCACAAAAAAAATTTAAATAGAAATTTTAAATTAAAAAAAAAATACAATTAAAATACTTACATACATACTTATACGGCCTCTCCTGACCGTGCACTGTCCTCGGATAAACTGGTAATCTCTTCTTCGGGAGGACGGCATCTTGCTCGCCATAGTCACCAATATGTGGTTCGTGTATTCTTGAGGAAGCAGAAGGATCAGTACACGCAGCTGAAGGCTCACCAACCTCATCGGGGTATTCGTCATCGCAATCTGTGCAAAATAAATCCTGTTAGTTAATCACGATGACATTTCGTTAGTGCCTAGTCTATCATACATCACGCATCCAAGGCCCTCATACAAAATCACACTACCACAACTTTAGTTAAAACACTTCACTTTCAAAAGTATGCATACATCATCTCACAAAACATCTCACACATTCTCATACTTGAACTTGGAAAAGTGCCCTCGTTAGCAATGTGAACCAGGACTGCGCCTGATATAAGTTCAAAGAACACATCTTCCGGGACAGCGTCCGCTACGCGCACAGGATGCACGTCTGCCGAGGCCCGCTTCTCAAGGTTGCTGACCTCAGGACCACACCATGACCGCACTACATTGGCAGTCCCTTTCAACCAGCAAGGCACACACTAGCCTGTAAACATAAGTTTCACAAAAAAAAATTAAATGGAAATTAATAGTTTAAAAAAAATACAATTAAAATACTTACATACATACTTATACGGCCTCTCCTGACCGTGCACCATCCGCGGATAAACTGGTGATCTCTTCTTCGGGAGAACGGCATCTTGCTCGCCATGGTCACAAATGTGTGGTTCGTGTGTTCTTGAGGAAGCTGAAGGATCAGTACACGCAGCTGAAGGCTCACCTACGTCATCAGGGTATTCGTCATCGCAATCTGTGCAAAATAAATCCTGTTAGTTAATCACGATGACATTTCGTTAGTGCCTAGTCTATCACACATCACGCATCCAAGGCCCTCATACAAAATCACACTACCACAACTTTAGTTAAAACACTTCACTTTCAAAAGTATGCATACATCATCTCACAAAACATCTCAAACATTCTCATACTTGAACTTGGAAAAGTTCCCTCGTTAGCAATGTGAACCAGGACTGCGCCTGATATGTATTCAAAGAACACATCTTCCGGGTCAGCGCCCGCCACGCGCACAGGATGCACGTCTGCCGAGGCCCGCTTCTCAAGGTTGCTGGCCTCAGGAACACACCATGACCGCACTACATTGGCAGTCCCTTTCAACCAGCAAGGCACACACTAGCCTGTAAACATAAGTTTCACAATAAAAAAATTAAATAGAAATTAATAGTTTTAAAAAAAATACAATTAAAATACTTACATACATACTTATACGGCCTCTCCTGACCGTGCACCGTCCTCGGATGCACTGGTGATCTCTTCTTCGGGAGAACGGCATCTTGCTCGCCATGGTCACAAATGTGTGGTTCGTGTGTTCTTGAGGAAGCTGAAGGATCAGTACACGCAGCTGAAGGCTCACCTACGTCATCAGGGTATTCGTCATCGCAATCTGTGCAAAATAAATCCTGTTAGTTAATCACGATGACATTTCGTTAGTGCCTAGTCTATCACACATCACGCATCCAAGGCCCTCATACAAAATCACACTACCACAACTTTAGTTAAAACACTTCACTTTCAAAAGTATGCATACATCATCTCACAAAACATCTCAAACATTCTCATACTTGAACTTGTACAAGTTCCCACGTTAGTAACGTGAACCAGGACTGCGTCTGATGTGTTCAAAGAACACATCTTCCGGGACAGCGCCCGCCACGCGCACAGGATGCACGTCTGCCGAGGCCCGCTTCTCAAGGTTGCTGGCCTCAGGAACACACCATGACCGCACTACATTGGCAGTCCCTTTCAACCAGCAAGGCACACACTAGCCTGTAAACATAAGTTTCACAATAAAAAAAATTAAATAGAAATTAATAGTTTAAAAAAAATACAATTAAAATACTTACATACATACTTATACGGCCTCTCCTGACCGTGCACCGTCCTCGGATGCACTGGTGATCTCTTCTTCGGGAGAACGGCATCTTGCTCGCCATGGTCACCAATATGTGGTTCGTGTGTTCTTGAGGAAGCTGAAGGATCAGTACACGCAGCTGAAGGCTCACCAACGTCATCAGGGTATTCGTCATCGCAATCAGGAACTAGCCTCAGAAACACAGAATGACCGTACCACATTGGCAGTCCGTTTCAACCAGCAAGGCAGACACTTGCCTCACACCACACGCAAGCCAACATATCACGCGCGCATCTTTAACATAAGGAAGTAACACATTAGAAACAGCTTTTGACGGCTACCTTCAATATGAGAGCGAGGTGACGGCATCCTAATTGACCGTTCACGGGAAGCACGTGGCAACTTATTCTAAAATTAACGGTTGTTTAAAGGGCTTATTTGTGAACGAAATCCTATCCCACTTCTGATTTTAGCAACCAGAAGGGATAATCAAATAAAAAAAAACAATTCAAAAAAACCTACGAAGTTATTTAACCAAAAATAACTTCATTATAGAACAAATCACGGTATTCTCGAAATCACACTAAATCTACCTTAAAATTTACTTATATACTTCTCAAAACAATTAGCGGAACAAGATTTTTCTCCTTTCTATTGCTTTAACTAAAATTAGATTTAAATTAACTTGTACGCTATTTTTTACCTTGTTAATTTGTTAATTACTACAATTAATAAAAAAATTCAATTTGTATTTTTTTTATTAAAAAAAAATTAAAATGTGCATTGTAGACGAAAAACTAATTGGTGATAAAAAAGGTCCATCAAAGAAATATTCTTATATCGTTTGAATATTCGTCTTTAGTGACTTTCAGTAACGTGTGTGGCCTCCATGAGCCCTTATCACGGCTTGACAACGACGCGGCATGCTTCGTATGATCCTCCGAATATCTTCTTGTGGAATTCGCTCCCATTCTTCAATCAACGCTTCAGTGAGCTGCTGCAGTGTTTGAGGTGCAATCGGACGCTTCCGGATGCGCCTGTCAAGCAAGTCCCAAATGTGTTCAATTGGATTTAGGTCAGGGCTAATGGAAGGCCACTCCATTACACGGATTTCCTGCTGTCGTAAGTAATCTGACGTGATGGCTGCAGTATGCGGCCTGGCATTATCTTGCATTAAAAGAAAATCTGGGCCCATACCATACATACATGCTGCGGGCCAAACATGATCTTCGAGCACATTTTCAATGTAAGTTTGAGCACACAAGCGCCCGGGAACAACGACGAGATCTGTGCGCTCGTCCAAACTAACTCCGCCCCAAACTATCACAGAACCACATCCAAATTTGTCATATTCCTGGACTGCTGCTGCACTGTATCGCTCGCCTGGGCGTCTGTAAACACGGAGACGACCATCGCAACGTGTTAGACGGAATCGTGATTCGTCAGTAAAAAGCACTGGCCTCCAATGTCGAAGTTGCCAATTAGCGTGATTTTGCGCGAACTGTCGGCGAGCTTGTCTATGTTGAATTGTTCGACGTACAGCCCGAACTGGTCGGCGTGATCTCAAATTGGCTTCCAACAACCTATTTCCTACTGTCTGTTCGGAAATTTCTACACCAGTAGCCGTCCTTAGTGTATTTTGTAGATCTCTTGCAGTTGTGGTGCGGTTACGTAAAGCACAGTTGACGATGTAGCGTTCTTGCAAACGTGTAGTTTTTCTCTTTCGACCTTGACCACGCCTTCGTGAGTATTCTCCCGTCTCACGGTATCGCTTCCAAAGTCTGTAGATAACAGAAGGGGCTACTCCTAGATCATTTCCTACATAACGCATAGTTCGACCCTCTTCAAGCAAAGCGATAGCTCGGGAGACATGCAATTCAGTCAGATCTGGCATTATGACCTAAACTCACTCGCTTCAATGAATAACAATACTCAAAAGGCTCACTTCAATTTCTATTATTACTCAAAAGATTGAAAAAAAAACTACTTGAAATGTGTTTTCTGTGATTAGAAAGTAATGAAAATTCAAAGACGTCACTTTGTTTTTCGTCTACAATGCACATTTTAATTTTTTTTAATAAAAAAAAATACAAATTGAATTTTTTTATTAATTGTAGTAATTAACAAGGTAAAAATAGCGTACAAGTTAATTTAAATCTAATTTTAGTTTAAGCAATAGAAAGGAGAAAAATCTTGTTCCGCTAATTGTTTTGAGCAGTACACTATCAAAACAACACGACTTTGAGTATTTTAAAATCAACCGTTAACCTTAAAAAAAATACACAAAAATCACCGAATAAAATAACACAAAATGTACTCACAGTATGCGGCGTCGACACCAACCACCTTTCTTGTCAACGTCCGAGCAGCAACAGAGCCCGTGGCACACTGAGGCCTTTCTTTTATAGAAGGCGGGTGGGGATCGAAACCACCCACTATGATTTCTGCTTATATTTTTTTTATTTATTTAGTTATTAAGCTTAAAACATCACACACAGTACAAAATCTACTAATTATTTTACAAAATCTTACATCTGAAATGTGTGACAATTAATATAAACATAAGTTTCACAAAAAAAATTAAAATAGAAATTAAAAATTAAAAAAAATACAATTAAAATACTTACATACATACTTATACGGCCTATCCTGACCGTGCACCGTCCTCGGATGCACTGGTGATCTCTTCTTCAGGAGAACGGCATCTTGCTCGCCATAGTCACCAATATGTAGTTCGTGTGTTCTTGAGGAAGCAGAAGGATCAGTACACGCAGCTGAAGGCTCACCAACCTCATCGGGGTATTCGTCATCGCAATCAGGAACTGGCCTCAGGAACACAGAATGACCGGACCACATTGGCAGTCCGTTTCGACCAGCAAGGCAGACACTTGCCTCACACCACACGCAAGCCAACATATCACGCGCGCATCCTTAACATAAGGAAGTAACACATTAGAAACAGCTTTTGACGGCTACCTTCAATATGAGAGCGAGATGACGGCATCCTAGTTCACGGGAAGCACGTGGCAACTTATTCTAAAATTAACGGTTGTTTAAAAGGCTTAATTGTGAACGAAATCCTATCCCACTTCTGATTTTAGCAACCATAAGGGATAATCAAATAAAAAAAAACAATTTAAAAAACCTACGAAGTGATTTAACCAAAATTAACTTCATTTAAGAACAAATCACGGTATTCTCAAAATCACACTAAATCTACCTTAAAATTTACTTATACTATCAAAACAACATGACTGAGTATTTTAAAAACAACCGTTAACCTTAAAACAAAACGTACTCACAGTATGCGGCCTCGACACCAACCACCTTTCTTGTCTTCAACGTCCGAGCAGCAACAGAGCCCGTGGCACACTGAGGCCTTTCTTTTATAGAAGGCGGGTGGGGATCGAAACCACCCACTATGATTTCTGCTTATTTTTTATTTAGTTATTAAGCTTAAAACATCACACACAGTACAAAATCTACTAATTATTTTACAAAATCTTACATCTGAAATGTGTGACAATTAATGTAAACATAAGTTTCACAAAAAAAATTTAAATAGAAATTAAAAATTAAAAAAAAATACAATTAAAATACTTACATACATACTTATACGGCCTATCCTGACCGTGCACCGTCCTCGGATGCACTGGTGATCTCTTCTTCAGGAGAACGGCATCTTGCTCGCCATAGTCACCAATATGTAGTTCGTGTGTTCTTGAGGAAGCAGAAGGATCAGTACACGCAGCTGAAGGCTCACCAACCTCATCGGGGTATTCGTCATCGCAATCTGTGCAAAATAAATCCTGTTAGTTAATCACGACCACATTTCGTTAGTGCCTAGTCTATCATACATCACGCATCCAAGGCCGTCATACAAAATCACACTACCACAACTTTAGTTAAAACACTTCACTTTCAAAAGTATGCATACATCATCTCACAAAAAATCTTGCACATTCTCATACTTGAACTTGTACAAGTTCCCACGTTAGTAACGTGAACCAGGACTTCGTCCGATGTGTTCAAAGAACACATCTTCCAGGACAGCGCCCGCCACGCGCACAGGATGCACGTCTGCCGAAGCCCGCTTCTCAAGGTTGCTAGCCTCAGGAACACACCATGACCGCACTACATTGGCAGTCCGTTTCAACCAGCAAGGCACACACTAACTAGCCTGTAAACATAAGTTTCACAAAAAAAAATTAAATAGAAATTGATAGTTAAAAAAAAAATACAATTAAAATACTTACATACATACTTATACGGCCTCTCCTGACCGTGCACCGTCCTCGGATGCACTGGTGATCTCTTCTTCGGGAGAACGGCATCTTGCTCGCCATGGTCACCAATATGTGGTTCGTGTGTTCTTGAGGAAGCTGAAGGATCAGTACACGCAGCTGAAGGCTCACCAACGTCATCAGGGTATTCGTCATCGCAATCAGGAACTGGCCTCAGGAACACAGAATGACCGCACCACATTGGCAGTCCGTTTCAACCAGCAAGGCAGACACTTGCCTCACACCATACGCAAGCCAACATATCACGCGCGCATCCTTAACATAAGTAACACATTAGAAACAGCTTTTGACGGCTACCTTCAATATGAGAGCGAGGTGACGGCATCCTAATTGACCGTTCACGGGAAGCACGTGGCAACTTATTCTAAAATTAACGGTTGTTTAAAAGGCTTATTTGTGAACGAAATCCTATCCCACTTCTGATTTTAGCAACCAGAAGGGATAATCAAATAAAAAAAAAACAATTCAAAAAAACCTACGAAGTGATTTAACCAAAAATAACTTCATTAAAGAACAAATCACGGTATTCTCGAAATCACACTTAATCTACCTTAAAATTTATTTATACAATCAAAACAACACGACTTTGGGTATTTTAAAAACAACCGTTAACCTTAAAACAATTACACAAAAATCACCGAATAAAAATAACACAAAACGTACTCACAGTATGCGGCCTCGACACCAACCACCTTTCTTGTCATCGTCCGAGCAGCAACAGAGCCGGTGGCACACTGAGGCCTTTCTTTTATAGAAGGCGGGTGGGGATCGAAACCACCCACTATGATTTCTGCTTATATTTTTGTATTTATTTAGTTAGTTATTAAGCTTAAAACATCACACACACAGTACAAAATCTACTAATTATTTTACAAAATCTTACATCTGTGACAATTAATGTAAGCATAAAATTCACAAAAAAATTTTAAATAGAAATTAAATTTAAAAAAAAAAATACAATTAAAATACTAACATACATACTTATACGGCCTCTCCTGACCGTGCACCGTCCTCGGATGCACTGGTGATCTCTTCTTCAGGAGAACGGCATCTTGCTCGCCATAGTCACCAATATGTAGTTCGTGTGTTCTTGAGGAAGCAGAAGGATCAGTACACGCAGCTGAAGGCTCACCAACCTCATCGGGGTATTCGTCATCGCAATCTGTGCAAAATAAATCCTGTTAGTTAATCACGACCACATTTCGTTAGTGCCTAGTCTATCATACATCACGCATCCAAGGCCCTCATACAAAATCACACTACCACAACTTTAGTTAAAACACTTCACTTTCAAAAGTATGCATACATCATCTCACAAAACATCTCACACATTCTCATATTTGAACTTGTAAAAGTTCCCTCGTTAGCAATGTGAACCAGGACTGCGCCTGATATGTGTTCAAAGATCACATCTTCCGGGACAGCGCCCGCCACGCGCACCCTATGCACGTCTGCCGAGGCCCGCTTCTTAAGGTTGCTGGCCTCAGGAACACACCATGACCGCACTACATTGGCAGTCCGTTTCAACCAGCAAGGCACACACTTGCCTGTAAACATAAGTTTCACAAAAAAAATTAAACATAAATTAGAAATTAAAAAAAAAATACAAATAAAATAATTACATACATACTTATATGGCCTCTCCTGACCATGTACCGTCCTCGGATGCACTGGTGATCTTTTCTTCGGGAGAACGGCATCTTGCTCGACGTGGTCACCAATGTGTGGTTCGTGTGATCTTGAGGAAGCTGAAGGATCAGTACACGCAGCTGAAGGCTCACCAACGTCATCAGGGTACTCGTCATCAAAATCTGTGCAAAATAAATCCTGTTAGTTAATCACGACGACATTTCGTTAGTGCATAGTCTATCATACATCACGCATCCAAGGCCCTCATACAAAATCACACTACCAATACTTTAGTTAAAACACTTCACTTTCAAAAGTATGCATACATCATCTCACAAAAAATCTCGCACATTCTCATACTTGAACTTGTACAAGTTCCCACGTTAGTAACGTGAACCAGGACTGCGTCTGATGTGTTCAAAGAACACATCTTCCGGAACAGCGCCCGCCACGCGCATAGGATGCACGTCTGCCTAGGCCCGCTTCTCAAGGTTGCTAGCCTCAGGAACACACCATTACCGCACTACATTGGCAGTCCGTTTCAACCAACAAGGCACACACTAGCCTGTAAACATAAGTTTCAAAAAAAAAAATTAAATAGAAATTAATAGTTAAAAAAAAATACAATTAAAATACTTACATACATACTTATACGGCCTCTCCTGACCGTGCACTGTCCTCGGATAAACAGGTGATCTCTTCTTCGGGAGAACGGCATCTTGCTCGCCATAGTCACCAATATGTGGTTCGTGTGTTCTTGAGGAAGCAGAAGGATCAGTACACGCAGCTGAAGGCTCACCAACCTCATCGGAGTATTCGTCATCGCAATCAGGAACTGGCCTCAGGAACACAGAATGACCGCACCACATTGGCAGTCCGTTTCAACCAGCAAGGCAGACACTTGCCTCACACCATACGCAAGCCAACATATCACGCGCGCATCCTTAACATAAGTAACACATTAGAAACAGCTTTTGACGGCTACCTTCAATATGAGAGCGAGGTGACGGCATCCTAATTGACCGTTCACGGGAAGCACGTGGCAACTTATTCTAAAATTAACGGTTGTTTAAAAGGCTTATTTGTGAACGAAATCCTATCCCACTTCTGATTTTAGCAACCAGAAGGGATAATCAAATAAAAAAAAAACAATTCAAAAAAACCTACGAAGTGATTTAACCAAAAATAACTTCATTAAAGAACAAATCACGGTATTCTCGAAATCACACTTAATCTACCTTAAAATTTATTTATACAATCAAAACAACACGACTTTGGGTATTTTAAAAACAACCGTTAACCTTAAAACAATTACACAAAAATCACCGAATAAAAATAACACAAAACGTACTCACAGTATGCGGCCTCGACACCAACCACCTTTCTTGTCATCGTCCGAGCAGCAACAGAGCCGGTGGCACACTGAGGCCTTTCTTTTATAGAAGGCGGGTAAGGATCGAAACCACCCACTATGATTTCTGCTTATATTTTTGTATTTATTTAGTTAGTTATTAAGCTTAAAACATCACACACACAGTACAAAATCTACTAATTATTTTACAAAATCTTACATCTGTGACAATTAATGTAAGCATAAAATTCACAAAAAAATTTTAAATAGAAATTAAATTTAAAAAAAAAAATACAATTAAAATACTAACATACATACTTATACGGCCTCTCCTGACCGTGCACCGTCCTCGGATGCACTGGTGATCTCTTCTTCAGGAGAACGGCATCTTGCTCGCCATAGTCACCAATATGTGGTTCGTGTGTTCTTGAGGAAGCAGAAAGATCAGTACACGCAGCTGAAGGCTCACCTACGTCATCAGGGTATTCGTCATCGCAATCTGTGCAAAATAAATCCTGTTAGTTAATCACGACGACATTTCGTTAGTGCATAGTCTATCATACATCACGCATCCAAGGCCCTCATACAAAATCACACTACCACAACTTTAGTTAAAACACATCACTTTCAAAAGTATGCATACATCATCTCACAAAAAATCTCGCACATTCTCATACTTGAACTTGTACAAGTTCCCACGTTAGTAACGTGAACCAAGACTGCGTCTGATGTGTTCAAAGAACACATCTTCCGGAACAGCGCCCGCCACGCGCATAGGATGCACGTCTGCCTAGGCCCGCTTCTCAAGGTTGCTAGCCTCAGGAACACACCATTACCGCACTACATTGGCAGTCCGTTTCAACCAGCAAGGCACACACTTGCCTGTAAACATAAGTTTCACAAAAAAAATTAAACAGAAATTAGAAATTTAAAAAAAAATACAAATAAAATAATTACATACATACTTACATGGCCTCTCCTGACCATGTACCGTCCTCGAATGCACTGGTGATCTTTTCTTCGGGAGAACGGCATCTTGCTCGACATGGTCACCAATGTGTGGTTCGTGTGTTCTTGAGGAAGCTGAAGGATCAGTACACGCAGCTGAAGGCTCACCAACGTCATCGGGGTATTCGTCATCGCAACCTATGCAAAAATAAATCCTTTTAGTTAATCACAACGACATTTCGTTAGTGCCTAGTCTATCATACATCACGCATCCAAGGCCCTCATACAAAATCACACTACCACAACTTTAGTTAAAACACATCACTTTCAAAAGTATGCATACATCATCTCACAAAAAATCTCGCACATTCTCATACTTGAACTTGTACAAGTTCCCACGTTAGTAACGTGAACCAGGACTGCGTTTGATGTGTGCAAAGAACACATCTTCCGGAACAGCGCCCGCCACGCGCATAGGATGCACGTCTGCCTAGGCCCGCTTCTCAAGGTTGCTAGCCTCAGGAACACACCATTACTGCACTACATTGGCAGTCCGTTTCAACCAGCAAGGCACACACTTGCCTGTAAACATAAGTTTCACAAAAAAATTAAACATAAATTAGAAATTTAAAAAAAATACAAATAAAATAATTACATACATACTTATATGGCCTCTCCTGACCATGTACCGTCCTCGGATGCACTGGTGATCTTTTCTTCGGGAGAACGGCATCTTGCTCGACATGGTCACCAATGTGTGGTTCGTGTGTTCTTGAGGAAGAAGAAAGATCAGTACACGCAGCTGAAGGCTCACCTACGTCATCAGGGTATTCGTCATCGCAATCTGTGCATAATATTTCCTGTTAGTTAACCACGATGACATTTCGTTAGTGCCTAGTCTATCATACATCACGCATCCAAGGCCCTCATACAAAATCACACTACCACAACTTTAGTTAAAACACTTCACTTTCAAAAGTATGCATACATCATCTCACAAAACATCTCACACATTCTAATACTTGAACTTGGAAAAGTTCCCTCGTTAGCAATGTGAACCAGGACTGCGCCTGATATGTGTTCGAAGAACACATCTTCCGGGACAGCGCCCGCCACGCGCACAGGATGCACGTCTGCCGAGGCCCGCTTCTCAAGGTTGCTGGCCTCAGGAACACACCATGACCGCACTACATTGGCAGTCCCTTTCAACCAGCAAGGCACCCACTAGCCTGTAAACAAAAGTTTCACAAAAAAAAATTAAATAGAAATTAATAGTTTTAAAAAAAATACAATTAAAATACTTACATACATTCTTATACGGCCTCTCCTGACCGTGCACCGTCCTCGGATAAACTGGTGATCTCTTCTTCGGGAGAACGGCATCTTGCTCGACATGGTCACCAATGTGTGGTTCGTGTGTTCTTGAGGAAGCTGAAGGATCAGTACACGCAGCTGAAGGCTCACCAACGTCATCGGGGTATTCGTCATCGCAACCTATGCAAAAATAAATCCTTTTAGTTAATCACAACGACATTTCGTTAGTGCCTAGTCTATCATACATCACGCATCCAAGGCCCTCATACAAAATCACACTACCAGAACTTTAGTTAAAACACTTCACTTTCAAAAGTATGCATACATCATCTCACAAAACATCTCACACATTCTCATACTTGAACTTGGAAAAGTTCCCTCGTTAGCAATGTGAACCAGGACTGCGCCTGATATGTGTTCAAAGAACACATCTTCCGGGACAGCGCCCGCCACGCGCACCCTATGCACGTCTGCCGATGCCCGCTTCTTAAGGTTGCTGGTCTCAGGAACACACCATGACCGCACTACATTGGCAGTCCGTTTCAACCAGCAAGGCACACACTTGCCTGTAAACATAAGTTTCACAAAAAAAATTAAACAGAAATTAGAAATTTAAAAAAAAATACAAATAAAATAATTACATACATACTTATATGGCCTCTCCTGACCATGTACCGTCCTCGGATGCACTGGTGATCTTTTCTTCGGGAGAACGGCATCTTGCTCGACATGGTCACCAATGTGTGGTTCGTGTGTTCTTGAGGAAGCTGAAGGATCAGTACACGCAGCTGAAGGCTCACCAACGTCATCGGGGTATTCGTCATCGCAACCTATGCAAAAATAAATCCTTTTAGTTAATCACAACGACATTTCGTTAGTGCCTAGTCTATCATACATCACGCATCCAAGGCCCTCATACAAAATCACACTACCACAACTTTAGTTAAAACACTTCACTTTCAAAAGTATGCATACATCATCTCACAAAAAATCTCGCACATTCTCATACTTGAACTTGTACAAGTTCCCACGTTAGTAACGTGAACCAGGACTGCGTTTGATGTGTGCAAAGAACACATCTACCGGAACAGCGCCCGCCACGCGCATAGGATGCACGTCTGCCTAGGCCCGCTTCTCAAGGTTGCTAGCCTCAGGAACACACCATTACCGCACTACATTGGCAGTCCGTTTCAACCAGCAAGGCACACACTTGCCTGTAAACATAAGTTTCACAAAAAAAATTAAACATAAATTAGAAATTTAAAAAAAAATACAATTAAAATACTTACATACATACTTATACGGCCTCTCCTGACCGTGCACCGTCCTCGGATAAACTGGTGATCTCTTCTTCGGGAGAACGGCATCTTGCTCGACATGGTCACCAATGTGTGGTTCGTGTGTTCTTGAGGAAGCAGAAGGATCAGTACACGCAGCTGAAGGCTCACCAACCTCATCGGAGTATTCGTCATCGCAATCTGTGCAAAATATTTCCTGTTAGTTAACCACGATGACATTTCGTTAGTGCCTAGTCTATCATACATCACGCATCCAAGGCCCTCATACAAAATCACACTACCACAACTTTAGTTAAAACACTTCACTTTCAAAAGTATGCATACATCATCTCACAAAACATCTCACACATTCTCATACTTGAACTTGTAAAAGTTCTCTCGTTAGCAATGTGAACCAGGACTGCGCCTGATATGTGTTCAAAGAACACATCTTCCGGGACAGCGCCCGCCACGCGCACAGGATGCACGTCTGCCGAGGCCCGCTTCTCAAGGTTGCTGGCCTCAGGAACACACCATGACCGCACTACATTGGCAGTCCCTTTCAACCAGCAAGGCATACACTAGCCTGTAAACAAAAGTTTCACAAAAAAAAAATTAAATAGAAATTAATAGTTTTAAAAAAAATACAATTAAAATACTTACATACATACTTATACGGCCTCTCCTGACCGTGCACCGTCCTCGGATAAACTGGTGATCTCTTCTTCGGAAGAACGGCATCTTGCTCGACATGGTCACCAATGTGTGGTTCGTGTGTTCTTGAGGAAGCTGAAGGATCAGTACACGCAGCTGAAGGCTCACCAACGTCATCGGGGTATTCGTCATCGCAACCTATGCAAAAATAAATCCTTTTAGTTAATCACAACGACATTTCGTTAGTGCCTAGTCTATCATACATCACGCATCCAAGGCCCTCATACAAAATCACACTACCACAACTTTAGTTAAAACACATCACTTTCAAAAGTATGCATACATCATCTCACAAAACATCTCACACATTCTCATATTTGAACTTGTAAAAGTTCCCTCGTTAGCAATGTGAACCAGGACTGCGCCTGATATGTGTTCAAAGAACACATCTTCCGGGACAGCGCCCGCCACGCGCACAGGATGCACGTCTGCCGAGGCCCGCTTCTCAAGGTTGCTGGCCTCAGGAACACACCATGACCGCACTACATTGGCAGTCCCTTTCAACCAGCAAGGCACACACTAGCCTGTAAACAAAAGTTTCACAAAAAAAATTAAACAGAAATTAGAAAAAAAAAAAATACAAAATAAAATAATTACATACATACTTATATGGCCTCTCCTGACCATGTACCGTCCTCGGATGCACTGGTGATCTTTTCTTCGGGAGAACGGCATCTTGCTCGACATGGTCACCAATGTGTGGTTCGTGTGTTCTTGAGGAAGCTGAAGGATCAGTACACGCAGCTGAAGGCTCACCAACGTCAACAGGGTATTCGTCATCGAAATCTGTGCAAAATAAATCCTGTTAGTTAATCACGACGACATTTCGTTAGTGCATAGTCTATCATACATCACGCATCCAAGGCCCTCATACAAAATCACACTACCACTACTTTAGTTTAAACACTTCACTTTCAAAAGTATGCATACATCATCTCACAAAAAATCTCGCACATTCTCATACTTGAACTTGTACAAGTTCCCACGTTAGTAACGTGAACCAGGACTGCGTCTGATGTGTTCAAAGAACACATCTTCCGGGACAGCGCCCGCCACGCGCACCCTATGCACGTCTGCCGAGGCCCGCTTCTTAAGGTTGCTGGCCTCAGGAACACACCATGACCGCACTACATTGGCAGTCCGTTTCAACCAGCAAGGCACACACTTGCCTGTAAACATAAATTTCACAAAAAAAATTAAACAGAAATTAGAAATTTAAAAAAAAATACAAATAAAATAATTACATACATACTTATATGGCCTCTCCTGACCATGTACCGTCCTCGGATGCACTGGTGATCTTTTCTTCGGGAGAACGGCATCTTGCTCGACATGGTCACCAATGTGTGGTTCGTGTGTTCTTGAGGAAGCTGAAGGATCAGTACACGCAGCTGAAGGCTCACCAACGTCATCAGGGTATTCGTCATCGAAATCTGTGCAAAATAAATCCTGTTAGTTAATCACGACGACATTTCGTTAGTGCATAGTCTATCATACATCACGCATCCAAGGCCCTCATACAAAATCACACTACCACTACTTTAGTTTAAACACTTCACTTTCAAAAGTATGCATACATCATCTCACAAAAAATCTCGCACATTCTCATACTTGAACTTGTACAAGTTCCCACGTTAGTAACGTGAACCAGGACTGCGTCTGATGTGTTCAAAGAACACATCTTCCGGAACAGCGCCCGCCACGCGCACAGGATGCACGTCTGCCGAGGCCCGCTTCTCAAGGTTGCTGGCCTCAGGAACACACCATTACCGCACTACATTGGCAGTCCGTTTCAACCAGCAAGGCACACACTAGCCTGTAAACATAAGTTTCACAAAAAAAATTAAATAGAAATTAATAGTTTAAAAAAAATACAATTAAAATAATTACATACATACTTATACGGCCTCTCCTGACCGTGCACTGTCCTCGGATAAACAGGTGATCTCTTCTTCGGGAGAACGGCATCTTGCTCGCCATAGTCACCCAATATGTGGTTCGTGTGTTCTTGAGGAAGCAGAAGGATCAGTACACGCAGCTGAAGGCTCACCAACCTCATCGGGGTATTCGTCATCGCAATCTGTGCAAAATATTTCCTGTTAGTTAACCACGATGACATTTCGTTAGTGCCTAGTCTATCATACATCACGCATCCAAGGCCCTCATACAAAATCACACTACCACAACTTTAGTTAAAACACTTCACTTTCAAAAGTATGCATACATCATCTTACAAAACATCTCACACATTCTCATACTTGAACTTGTAAAAGTTCCCTCGTTAGCAATGTGAACCAGGACTGCGCCTGATATGTGTTCAAAGAACACATCTTCCGGGACAGCGCCCGCCACGCGCACAGGATGCACGTCTGCCGAGGCCCGCTTCTCAAGGTTGCTGGCCTCAGGAACACACCATGACCGCACTACATTGGCAGTCCCTTTCAACCAGCAAGGCATACACTAGCCTGTAAACAAAAGTTTCACAAAAAAAAAATTAAATAGAAATTAATAGTTTTAAAAAAAATACAATTAAAATACTTACATACATACTTATACGGCCTCTCCTGACCGTGCACCGTCCTCGGATAAACTGGTGATCTCTTCTTCGGGAGAACGGCATCTTGCTCGACATGGTCACCAATGTGTGGTTCGTGTGTTCTTGAGGAAGCTGAAGGATCAGTACACGCAGCTGAAGGCTCACCAACGTCATCAGGGTATTCGTCATCGCAACCTATGCAAAAATAAATCCTTTTAGTTAATCACAACGACATTTCGTTAGTGCCTAGTCTATCATACATCACGCATCCAAGGCCCTCATACAAAATCACACTACCACAACTTTAGTTAAAACACATCACTTTCAAAAGTATGCATACATCATCTCACAAAACATCTCACACATTCTCATACTTGAACTTGTAAAAGTTCCCTCGTTAGCAATGTGAACCAGGACTGCGCCTGATATGTGTTCAAAGAACACATCTTCCGGGACAGCGCCCGCCACGCGCATCCTATGCACGTCTGCCGAGGCCCGCTTCTTAAGGTTGCTGGTCTCAGGAACACACCATGACCGCACTACATTGGCAGTCCGTTTCAACCAGCAAGGCACACACTTGCCTGTAAACATAAGTTTCACAAAAAAAATTTAAATAGAAATTAAAAATTAAAAAAAAAATACAATTAAAATACTTACATACATACTTATACGGCCTCTCCTGACCGTGCACCGTCCACCGTCCTCGGATGCACTGGTGATCTCTTCTTCAGGAGAACGGCATCTTGCTCGCCATAGTCACCAATATGTGGTTCGTGTGTTCTTGAGGAAGCAGAAAGATCAGTACACGCAGCTGAAGGCTCACCTACGTCATCAGGGTATTCGTCATCGCAATCTGTGCAAAATATTTCCTGTTAGTTAATCACGACGACATTTCGTTAGTGCATAGTCTATCATACATCACGCATCCAAGGCCCTCATACAAAATCACACTACCACTACTTTAGTTAAAACACTTCACTTTCAAAAGTATGCATACATCATCTCACAAAAATCTCACACATTCTCATACTTGAACTTGGAAAAGTTCCCTCGTTAGTAACGTGAACCAGGACTGCGTCTGATGTGTTCAAAGAACACATCTTCCGGGACAGCGCCCGCCACGCGCATAGGATGCACGTCTGCCTAGGCCCGCTTCTCAAGGTTGCTGGCCTCAGGAACACACCATTACCGCACTACATTGGCAGTCCGTTTCAACCAGCAAGGCACACACTAGCCTGTAAACATAAGTTTCACAAAAAAAAATTAAATAGAAATTAATAGTTTTAAAAAAATACAATTAAAATACTTACATACATACTTATACGGCCTCTCCTGACCGTGCACCGTCCTCGGATAAACAGGTGATCTCTTCTTCGGGAGAACGGCATCTTGCTCGCCATGGTCACCAATATGTGGTTCGTGTGTTCTTGAGGAAGCAGAAGGATGAGTACACGCAGCTGAAGGCTCACCAACGTCATCAGGAGTATTCGTCATCGCAATCTGTGCAAAATAATTCCTGTTAGTTAACCACGATGACATTTCGTTAGTGCCTAGTCTATCATACATCACGCATCCAAGGCCCTCATACAAAATCACACTACCACAACTTTAGTTAAAACACTTCACTTTCAAAAGTATGCATACATCATCTCACAAAACATCTCACACATTCTCATACTTGAACTTGTAAAAGTTCTCTCGTTAGCAATGTGAACCAGGACTGCGCCTGATATGTGTTCAAAGAACACATCTTCCGGGACAGCGCCCGCCACGCGCACAGGATGCACGTCTGCCGAGGCCCGCTTCTTAAGGTTGCTGGCCTCAGGAACACACCATGACCGCACTACATTGGCAGTCCCTTTCAACCAGCAAGGCATACACTAGCCTGTAAACATAAGTTTCACAAAAAAAAAATTAAATAGAAATTAATAGTTTTAAAAAAAATACAATTTAAATACTTACATACATAATTATATGGCCTCTCCTGACCGTGCACCGTCCCCGGATACACTGGTGATCTCTTCTTCAGGAGAACGGCATCTTGCTCGCCATAGTCACCAATATGTGGTTCGTGTGTTCTTGAGGAAGCTGAAGGATCAGTACACGCAGCTGAAGGCTCACCTACGTCATCAGGGTATTCGTCATCGCAATCTGTGCAAAAATAATTCCTTTTAGTTAATCACAACGACATTTCGTTAGTGCCTAGTCTATCATACATCACGCATCCAAGGCCCTCATACAAAATCACACTACCACAACTTTAGTTAAAACACATCACTTTCAAAAGTATGCATACATCATCTCACAAAACATCTCACACATTCTCATACTTGAACTTGTAAAAGTTCCCTCGTTAGCAATGTGAACCAGGACTACGCCTGATATGTGTTCAAAGAACACATCTTCCGGGACAGCGCCCGCCACGCGCACCCTATGCACGTCTGCCGAGGCCCGCTTCTTAAGGTTGCTGGTCTCAGGAACACACCATGACCGCACTACATTGGCAGTCCGTTTCAACCAGCAAGGCACACACTTGCCTGTAAACATAAGTTTCACAAAAAAAATTTAAATAGAAATTAAAAATTTAAAAAAAAATACAATTAAAATAATTACATACATACTTATATGGCCTCTCCTGACCGTGCACTCACCGTCCTCGGATGCACTGGTGATCTCTTCTTCAGGAGAACGGCATCTTGCTCGCCATGGTCACCAATATGTGGTTCGTGTGTTCTTGAGGAAGCTGAAGGATCAGTACACGCAGCTGAAGGCTCACCAACGTCATCAGGGTATTCGTCATCGCAATCTGTGCAAAATATTTCCTGTTAGTTAATCACGATGACATTCCGTTAGTGCCTAGTCTATCATACATCACGCATCCAAGGCCCTCATACAAAATCACACTACCACTACTTTAGTTAAAACACTTCACTTTCAAAAGTATGCATACATCATCTCACAAAACAATCTCACACATTCTCATACTTGAACTTGTAAAAGTTCCCACGTTAGTAATGTGAACCAGGACTGCGCCTGATATGTGTTCAAAGAACACATCTTCCGGGACAGCGCCCGCCACGCGCACCCTATGCACGTCTGCCGAGGCCCGCTTCTCAAGGTTGCTAGCCTCAGGAACACACCATTACCGCACTACATTGGCAGTCCGTTTCAACCAACAAGGCACACACTAGCCTGTAAACATAAGTTTCAAAAAAAAAAATTAAATAGAAATTAATAGTTAAAAAAAATACAATTAAAATACTTACATACATACTTATACGGCCTCTCCTGACCGTGCACTGTCCTCGGATAAACTGGTGATCTCTTCTTCGGGAGAACAGCATCTTGCTCGCCATTGTCACCAATATGTGGTTCGTGTGTTCTTGAGGAAGCAGAAGGATCAGTACACGCAGCTGAAGGCTCACCAACCTCATCGGGGTATTCGTCATCGCAATCAGGAACTGGCCTCAGGAACACAGAATGACCGCACCACATTGGCAGTCCGTTTCAACCAGCAAGGCAGACACTTGCCTCACACCGCACGCAAGCCAACATATCACGCGCGCATCCTTAACATAAGGAAGTAACACATTAGAAACAGCTTTTGACGGCTACCCTCAATATGAGAGCGAGGTGACGGCGTCCTAATAATTGACCGTTCACGGGAAGCACGTGGCAACTTATTCTTAAATTAACGGTTGTTTAAAAGGCTTATTTGTGAGCGAAATCCTATCCCACTTCTGATTTTAGCAACCAGAAGGGATAATCAAATAAAAAAAACAATTCAAAAAACCTTCGAAGTGATTTAACAAAAAATAACTTCACGCCTTTCTTTTATAGAAGGCGGGTCAGGTATTTCGAAATCACCACTTATTTCTGCTTATATTTTTTTTTTATGTAGTTATTAAGCTTAAAACATCACACACACAGTACTTTCTACTGATTATTTTACAAAACTTACATCTGTGACCATTAATGTAAACATAAAATTACACAAAAAAATTTTAAATAGAAATTAAAAATTTAAAAAAATACAATTAAAATACTTACATACATACTTATACGGCCTCCTGACCTGCAACGTCCTCGGATGCACTGGTGTCATCTTCTTCAGGAGCAACGGAATCTTGCTCGCCAAGTCACCAATTGTGGCGTGTTCTTGAGGAAGCGGAAAGAAGTTAGCAGCTGAAGGCTACCTACGTATCAGGGTATTCGTAACATCGCACTATGAAATATTTCTTGTTAGTTAATCACTTTTTGTGCCTATTATTACTAGTGTCCAAGGTCATACAAAATCACACTACCACAACTTTGTTAAAACACTTCACTTTCAAAAGTATGCATCATCATTCACAAAACATCTCACACATTTCATACTTGAACTTGGAAAAGTTCCTCGTTAGCATTTGTGAACCAGGACTCGCGCCTGATATGTGTTCATGAAGAACACATCTTCCGGGGACAGCGCCCGCCACGCGCACCCTATGCACGCTGCCGAGGCCCGCTTCTTAAGGTTGCTGGCCTAGGAACACACCATGACCGCACTACATTGATCCGTTTCAACCAGCAAGGCACACACTTGCCTGTAAACATAAGTTTCACCAAAAAAATTAAACAGAAATTAGAAATTTAAAAAAAAATACAAAATAAAATAATTACATACATACTTATATGGCCTCTCCTGACCATGTACCGTCCTCGGATGCACTGGTGATCTTTTCTTCAGGAGAACGGCATCTTGCTCGCCATGGTCACCAATGTGTGGTTCGTGTGTTCTTGAGGAAGCTGAAGGATCAGTACACGCAGCTGAAGGCTCACCAACGTCATCAGGGTATTCGTCATCGCAATCTGTGCAAAATAAATCCTGTTAGTTAATCACCATGACATTTCGTTAGTGCCTAGTCTATCATACATCACGCATCCAAGGCCCTCATACAAAATCACACTACCACAACTTTAGTTAAAACACATCACTTTCAAAAGTATGCATACATCATCTCACAAAACATCTCACACATTCTCATACTTGAACTTGGAAAAGTTCCCTCGTTAGCAATGTGAACCAGGACTGCGCCTGATATGTGTTCAAAGAACACATCTTCCGGGACAGCGCCCGCCACGCGCACCCTATGCACGTCTGCCGAGGCCCGCTTCTTAAGGTTGCTGGCCTCAGGAACACACCATGACCGCACTACATTGGTAGTCCGTTTCAACCAGCAAGGCACACACTTGCCTGTAAACATAAGTTTCACAAAAAAAATTAAACAGAAATTAGAAATTTAAAAAAAAATACAAATAAAATAATTACATACATACTTTTATGGCCTCTCCTGACCATGTACCGTCCTCGGATGCACTGGTGATCTTTTCTTCAGGAGAACGGCATCTTGCTCGACATAGGTCACCAATATGTGGTTCGTGTGTTCTTGAGGAAGCTGAAGGATCAGTACACGCAGCTGAAGGCTCACCTACGTCATCAGGGTAATCGTCATCGCAATCTGTGCAAAAATAAATCCTTTTAGTTAATCACAACGACATTTCGTTAGTGCCTAGTCTATCATACATCACGCATCCAAGGCCCTCATACAAAATCACACTACCACAACTTTAGTTAAAACACTTCACTTTCAAAAGTATGCATACATCATCTCCCAAAACATCTCACACATTCTCATACTTGAACTTGTAAAAGTTCCCTCGTTAGCAATGTGAACCAGGACTGCGCCTGATATGTGTTCAAAGAACACATCTTCCGGGACAGCGCCCGCCACGCGCACCCTATGCACGTCTGCCGAGGCCCGCTTCTTAAGGTTGCTGGCCTCAGGAACACACCATGACCGCACTACATTGGCAGTCCGTTTCAACCAGCAAGGCACACACTTGCCTGTAAACATAAGTTTCACAAAAAAAATTAAACAGAAATTAGAAATTTAAAAAAAATACAAAATAAAATAATTACATACATACTTATATGGCCTCTCCTGACCATGTACCGTCCTCGGATGCACTGGTGATCTTTTCTTCAGGAGAACGGCATCTTGCTCGCCATGGTCACCAATGTGTGGTTCGTGTGTTCTTGAGGAAGCAGAAGGATCAGTACACGCAGCTGAAGGCTCACCAACGTCATCGCAATCTGTGCAAAATAAATCCTGTTAGTTAATCACGACGACATTTCGTTAGTGCCTAGTCTATCATACATCACGCATCCAAGGCCCTCATACAAAATCACACTACCACAACTTTAGTTAAAACACTACACTTTCAAAAGTATGCATACATCATCTCACACATTCTCATACTTGAACTTGTAAAAGTTCCCTCGTTAGCAATGTGAACCAGGACTGCGCCTGATATGTGTTCAAAGAACACATCTTCCGGGACAGCGCCCGCCACGCGCACAGGATGCACGTCTGCCGAGGCCCGCTTCTCAAGGTTGCTGGCGTCAGGAACACAGGAATGACCGCACCACATTGGCAGTCCGTTTCAACCAGCAAGGCACACACTTGCCTTACACCGCACGCAAGCCAACATATCACGCGCGCATCCTTAACATAAGGAAATAACACATTAGAAACAGCTTTTGACGGCTACCCTCAATATGAGAGCGAGGTGACTGCGTCCTAATTGACGTTCACGGGAAGCACGTGGCAACTTATTCTAAAATTAACAGTTGTTTAAAAGGCTTATTTGGGAGCGAAATCCTATCCCACTTCTGATTTTAGCAACCAGAAGTGATAATCAAATAAAAAAAAACAATTCGAAAAAACCTACGAAGTGATTTAACCAAAATTAACTTCATTAAAGAACAAATCACGGTATTCTCGAAATCACACTAAATCTACCTTAAAATTTACTTATACAATCAAAACAACACGACTTTGGGTATTTTAATAACAACCGTTAACCTTAAAGCAATTACACAAAAATCACCGAATAAAAATAACACAGAACGAACTCACAGTATCCGGCCTCGACACCAAACACTTTTCTTGTCAACGTCCGAGCAACAACAGATCCCGTGGCACACTGAGGCCTTTTTTTATAGAAGGCGGGTGGGGATCGAAACCACCCACTATGATTTCTGATAAACAAATTGAATTTGTAATAAACAAGTTTCGTGACATTACGTGTACTCGTTCCACGACCGAACCCGAATCGACCACAGAGTCAAACGGCAGTCATAGAAACGAATGTCAAAGATTTCTTTAATATTTATTATTAAGAATGTTAAATGTTTAAAGTGATATATATACTACTTTCAATAATAATAATAATGACTATGGAGTCATTATTATTATCGACCATTGAATAGTCGTTAATTTATAGATCTAGCAACATTGACAAATTAAATAAACCATTCGTATTAACGGCCAATAAAATAATAAAATATTAAAACCAATTCGACATTATTAAATGACAATGACAATGACAGCTGACACTAACACAATTTTTTCAATATTAATTATAAAGACTACAGACTATCAAATAGTGTTTAAGTTGCAGATCCATCAATATTGATAAATAAAATAAACCATATAACGGTTTTAACTAATTTGACCCCGATATTACCAAATGATGATAATTGACAATTCCTTAAACATAAATAATAAATGCTATGAATTTACCACAGACTATCAATCCTTAATATTGTTTAATATTATCTTAAATATATTTATTTACATCTTTATATTTATGTTACAATATAATCATTATATATGAATTTGCGACCATATATATTTATTTACTTGAATTAAATATCAATCTTTATATTTTTGTAACAATATAATCATTATATATGAATTTGCGCCCATATATACATACGAACAAATTGCATTAAACCGGGAAACCAAAAGTGTTTTAAAAATAGGCCACAAGTCTTGTCAACCCCGATATGTTCATGCTCGTCATGGAATACCCTCAGTAAGCTAAGCATGTTACCCTTAGGTACATAACGAAGCAAACGCGGCTCCTCACCACGGGTGAATAACGATAATAGAGCACATCGTTTTGACATACTTATCGTCTGGGATCTAAATTACCTTCTCCGAGCTTACGTATGAGATCGCCGGTCTCGGAGTCGGCTGATTGAGCCATCTGCGCCCAGTTCAAGGGCCGTTCAATGTTATTGATTTGCAACGCTAGTGGATTCCTACTCAAGTAATCCGCATGACCCATCATGGTACCTTTACGATATTGAATTTCAAAATTAAAGTCCTGCAGGTAAATCCACCAGCGTGCAACTCGTGGAAGAAAATGCTTCTTACATTCAGTGGCCTTCAAGGCATTGCAATCGGTGATTATCTTAAAACTTATACCAACCAAGTAATGCCGAAAATGTTGCTGAGCCTTGACGACCGCCAACGTTTCTAATTCATAATATGAATGGTACTTGGGCTCCGCGCCCTGGGTGACCCTACTAAAATATGCTACTACTCGTTTATTACCATCCGTGTGGGCCTGCACGAGCACGGCACCATATCCTGCACTGCTAGCGT